ATTATTATTAGATAAACATGTACTTTCAAGAAATTCATACTTATCAATATTGAAGGGAAACATGAATTTGAGAAACAAAATGAGTTGCTGGAAAATCATCAAGATTTCCAGTAATTTCTTGGTTTGACTCGCTTATATCCTGACAATAATTTTTGTCATAATTATATTGATGTGGCGATTACTGATATTTAGTTATATCTTGATGAGACTTGGTTATATACTTACTTTTGGTCATATCTTACTGTGACTTGGAAATATCTTGGTGTAATAATAATAATGATAATAATAACTTTATTTACCGAAGGTAACACATTAAGACATACACAGATAGCAACATCTTATTTACAATGCGGCCTTCTAAAATGTGGCTTGGTTATATCCTGACTTTTGGTTATATTTTGGAGTGACTTGGTTATATACTTACTTTTGGTTATATCGTAGAGGGACTTGGTTATTTGACCTGACTTTTGGTTATATCTTGGTGTGACTTGGTTATATCCTGACTTTTGGTTATATCTTGGTATGACTTGGTTATATCCTGACTTTTAGTTATATCTTGGTGTTACTTGGTTATATCCTGACTTTTGGTTATATCTTGGTATGACTTGGTTATATCCTGACTTTTAGTTTTATCTTGGTATGACTTGGTTATATCCTGACTTTTGGTTATATCTTGGTGTTACTTGGTTATATCCTGACTTTTAGTTATATCTTGGTATGACTTGGTTATATCCTGACTTTTGGTTATATCTTGGTATGACTTAGTTATATCCTGACTTTTGGTTATATCTTGGTGTTACTTGGTTACATCCTGACTTTTAGTTATATCTTGGTATGACTTGGTTATATCCTGACTTTTGGTTATATCTTGGTGTTACTTGGTTATATCCTGACTTTTGGTTATATCTTGGTGTGACTTGGTTATATCCTGACTTTTGGTTATATCTTGGTATGACTTGGTTATATCCTGACTTTTAGTTATATCTTGGTATGACTTGGTTATATCCTGACTTTTGGTTATATCTTGGTATGACTTGGTTATATCCTGACTTTTGGTTATATCTTGGTGTTACTTGGTTATTTCCTGACTTTTAGTTATATCTTGGTATGACTTGGTTATATCCTGACTTTTGGTTATATCTTGGTGTTACTTGGTTATATCCTGACTTTTAGTTATATCTTGGTGTGACTTGGTTATATCCTGACTTTTGGTTATATCTTGGTATGACTTTGTTATATCCTGACTTTTTAGTTATATCTTGGTGTTACTTGGTTATATCCTGACTTTTGGTTATATCTTGGTGTTATTTGATTATATCCTGACTTTTGGTTTTATCTTGGTGTGACTTGTTTATATCTTGACTAGGTTATATCTTGGTGTGACTTGGTTATATCCTGACTTTTGGTTATATCTTGGTGTGACTAAGTTATATCCTGACTTTTGGTTATATCTTGGTGTGACTTGGTTATATATTTACTTTTGGTTATATCTTACTGTGATTTGGCTATATCTTGGTGTGACTAGGTTGTTTTCTGACTTTTGATTACACTTAAGTGTGACTTGGTTATATCCTGACTTTTAGTTATATCTTGGTGTTACTTGGTTATATCCTGACTTTTGGTTATATCTTGGTATGACTTGGTTATATCCTGACTTTTAGTTTTATCTTGGTATGACTTGGTTATATCCTGACTTTTGGTTATATCTTGGTGTTACTTGGTTATATCCTGACTTTTAGTTATATCTTGGTATGACTTGGTTATATCCTGACTTTTGGTTATATCTTGGTATGACTTAGTTATATCCTGACTTTTGGTTATATCTTGGTGTTACTTGGTTATATCCTGACTTTTAGTTATATCTTGGTATGACTTGGTTATATCCTGACTTTTGGTTATATCTTGGTGTTACTTGGTTATATCCTGACTTTTAGTTATATGTTGGTATGACTTGGTTATATCCTGACTTTTAGTTATATCTTGGTGTTACTTGGTTATATCCTGACTTTTAGTTATATCTTGGTATGACTTGGTTATATCCTGACTTTTGGTTATATCTTGGTATGACTTGGTTATATCCTGACTTTTGGTTATATCTTGGTGTTACTTGGTTATTTCCTGACTTTTAGTTATATCTTGGTATGATTTGGTTATATCCTGACTTTTGGTTATATCTTGGTGTTACTTGGTTATATCCTGACTTTTAGTTATATCTTGGTGTGACTTGGTTATATCCTGACTTTTGGTTATATCTTGGTATGACTTGGTTATATCCTGACTTTTAGTTATATCTTGGTGTTACTTGGTTATATCCTGACTTTTGGTTATATCTTGGTGTTATTTGATTATATCCTGACTTTTGGTTTTATCTTGGTGTGACTTGTTTATATCTTGACTAGGTTATATCTTGGTGTGACTTGGTTATATCCTGACTTTTGGTTATATCTTGGTGTGACTAAGTTATATCCTGACTTTTGGTTATATCTTGGTGTGACTTGGTTATATATTTACTTTTGGTTATATCTTACTGTGATTTGGCTATATCTTGGTGTGACTAGGTTGTTTTCTGACTTTTGATTACACTTAAGTGTGACTTGGTTATATCCTGACTTGGTTAAATACTTACTTGTTGTTATACTTTAGTTTAACTTGGTTATATTCTGACTTTTGGTTATATGTTGGTTTGACTTAGTTATATTCAAACTTTTGGTTTATATCCTTCTTTGGATTTTGTTTTCACCTTAAATCTGACTGAACCTTTGATTAAATCAATTTTAGGGATAGTTTGTAGAGAATTATGACTGTGTGGTATATGTTGTCAGTAAGTGTAATAAGTTCACATCTTTTGTTGAAGAGTTTAAGCTGTAGAAATTAACCACTAAGTATTTTGAAATATAATTGCGTCAGTCAGTATTTTTAGAAAATTATGACATAACATGTCCATGAAAAAAAACCAGTAAAACGGTTATGTTTCTATAAGTAACTTAAAATAATTTGTTCTACTGATCATTAAATAGTGATAAATTAAGTTTGACACTTGTTGTTACTACCACACTTACAGTTGTACTAAACTTGTAAAAATATCGCAAAATCTTTACCAAATTTTGAAATGCTTTTGAATGGAAGCAAAATTGATCAACAGATAAGATCATATGTGCTTTTGTGATAAAAACTTTTGACTAATTGTAGCAATTTTGTATCAAAAACAGTAATTTTCTCTTAGGGTAAATGCACTGCCTAAATTAAGGGAGCAATAATTACTTTTAGTTGTAATAGCTATTCATGGATAAAGTATAATATTACCAGATAATGAGACAACCTTCCTGTCAGAACTTTACAAGTCTCGGTTCATGTCGGGTTCGATAAAATTTGGTTATATCTATTTTTAGGTTATTGAAAAAAAATCGAGGACTAAATTTTGCAAACTTGTTCCTCTCTGTCCTTTGGTTACTGCGTTTTTACTACTTTTGAGTTCAAAATCAAGACTTAAACATGGTTGCCATTAAACAAAATAATGCTGGGAAATTAAAAAAAAAAAGAAAAAAATAACATTTAAATTTAATTACTTTTCTCTTCATCTCCTCAGAAGATAGTACATAGTAGATTTAAAATTATTGAATTTGCAGTTAATTGAATCACAAATGCAGATTTTTTTTTATAACTTTATGTTATTAAGGGTGAAAACATATTTATGTAGCTTTATGTTGAATGCAATTTTTTTCTGTTTATCAATTCAAGATAAATGATTTATTGATAGAATTATATGGAGACATGTTGAATCACATTAAAGGTATCAAGTGTTAAACACATATGTCAAGTGCCTTCCACACAGACTGTAACAAGAACAGTTGAGTACCTATAGTAAAAATAACCCACCCACTTACCCCACTGGGTTATTGTATCAAATTACTCTTCAAACTTTTAAAATAGAACATCAAAGTATGATCATCTTTGTGTAAGAACTTCCTGTGATACTTATCAAAAAGATTCTTTTCACACAAAAATCTGAAAATTATTAATTACGTGTCGTGTCGCCAGTGTTTGAAGTTCATTGATTAATTCTCCTTTTCTTATAAAGATTGTTGTATAAGTTTACTTTGGCCTAGTAAACTAAATTTTTAGAACATTTTTTGTAGTAATATAATAACCGGCTGCTAGGACAACTGGTTTATAATGATATTTTAGTAAGATATGATTTAGATTTTTACTCTGATATGATGTCACTATGTCCTGTGTGATTAAGTCTTCAAAAATACCCCTATCAGGATATAATTACATTGAAGAGTTTAAATAAAATGATAGACTGTGTGTCAGATTCAATAACTTCCTTATTAAATGACTCGCAGTAAGAATGCATAGTGAACACCTTGTAGATAACTGTATGATGTGGTGGTAAGGCAGGCTTCTGACCACCAGTCTAGGGGTTGTATGTTTGAATCTAACCTTTAAACTCTAAACTGAAAAATAAGAAGGACATAACCGTTACCACACTAAATATCATAAATTGACTTGTCTATCTTTCAATCTGGATAAAACTATTCATCATTTTTAGGTAATATTTCAAAATAAGTACTGATTGAATAGCAAACAGTGCAGACCTTGATCAGGCAACCGAGAGTGAAGCTAATCTTGGTCTGCACTGGTAGCATGGGTAGAATCTTTTGCCTATAGTATGCTAAGTGTTTTAAACGTGACATGGTTAAGAACTATTCAAATGTACAAGCAAATAAGTAGTTAAATTGGTGGAGTTACAGGGTTAATATAAGTACTTCACAATATACCATTTGACATTATTCTTATTTATGACATTGAAAACTGTTCAATTATTAAATACAATCGATTGGATAGTTATAATTCACAGCAACAAACAAAAAACCCACTGATTAATCACTTTTTGGTTGTTGTTGTTGTAAAAACTCATGTACAATTAAAGTTTAATTTGTATCTCCAATATATTTTATATCATTTGACAATAATTTAATGTTGTCTTATCATTTCAGGGTTCATTCCCGAGGACAGATTACAGTTTCAAGGTGTATCTACCAGCAACTAAACAGATAGAAGACAGTAAAATAGAAGATTAACCAATGATCTCAGTCCATTTTGATATCTCATCTTATATATCACACTTGTCATTTATTGACCTTTGACCTCCAATTAACCTGTTTTCTGCTGAAACGAAAAGTGATCCGCCTTTGTTGTCAGTATAGAGTCAAGTCAGCCTGCATATCCGTGCAGTCTGACGGGTTCTTTACTATTGGCTGACTTACTTAAAATTTTCATACAGTTTACCTGGAAATTGATAATGGATAGTTCTAAATGCTGTAACTGTTTGCGAAATGAATTCAGCAGGCTAACTATTATTGTTATATTTATTTGCAACTGTTAAAGAACTGCATTCCTTGATTTATAATTTACATACTATTTAAAACTATGAAATTTGATATTTGAAATGAATTGATATATCTGGTTGAATTGATATATCTGGTTGTGTAAAACCTGGAAATATTGAAAGTGCTATATTATTAATGCTTAAACTGTCATAATGACCCTCACTAATTTTGGGTTAGAATCCCACTAGGGGCAATGGATTCTTACATGTGAGATAGCTATCCAGCTAGGTTATTGAAGGCTGGTGAATTTCTGCAGATGCCCGAAGGAAAAAAAAATGTTTGTTAGTGCATCTAAGATTGAAATTTGTCCTGTTTGTCCATAAATATTTGTTCAACCTAAAAAAATATTTTGAAATGAAATATTCAAGATAAGATTTTGGAATAAATATGCAAAATGTGATGATATGTAATGTTAGTTATGGCTATATCTGGTTCCTAATTAAAGTTAGTTAAAAGCATGAATTTTTGTTTACCTGTTTTGTGAATTTTTGTCAACAATCCTGGGAAATATTGTAGGAATACTAAAATAATTTAATATTTATTAAACAAATATAACTAATATTTATTGTACAGTGGACTACATGTGCTAGTATTTGAAAACTAGTGATAAATATAATAGGCAGATACTATGAGTAAAGAGCCAACCAGGGACATCCTTAGTTGCCAAATTTTAGATTTTGAACATTGTTTATGGTACCCTAATATTGGGCAATGCCAAACTCAAAATTGGACTATTCTATTACACAAAGGCAGCAGGATGTGTGTTATATTATAAGCTAAGCTGAAAGAGAGTACTCTAATATTGATTATTCTAATGTTTAATCTTTATTCAGTGTGATTTTTACAGTGTTTCCGGCTCTATACTGATGTCATTGATATATTTATTTTAGTATTTTATTTCTAGAAAATGAATGATTGCCTATACTGAAGTATGAAAAATTTATATAGATTTTGATAGTAAAGAGTCTTAGATATTGTATATTTACTTGTGTTTATTTATGTTTTAGAATGATGAATGTGTTGTAAAAATAATATTGATACCAGTGGACTGATATTTTGTTTGTTAGTTTATTTATATACATGTACAATGCATGATAAAACATAAGATAATTCCTGCTGAATTTTGAGAATGTTTGAATGATTAACAAACATCCGTGTTTCTGTAAAAATGGTTGTTTTATTCTGTTTCAGAAACAAATTTTCATTATAATAGTCATAAAACTGTCTTAACATTATATCTTTTTCAATCACCACTTATATCCTCTATGATCAGGCTTGGATTGTTTCATGTGATTAAGCCATTCAGCTAGTATAGCAGAGGTTGTTGGTTCTACTCAGGTGCCTCCTTGTGCGTGAACTAATACTTAGAAGGGCATCTGAGGTCTTTCATTTGACTATTACAGTGATGCCATGACTTAAAAGCCAACCAAAAAAACAAAACTGTATGATTGTTAACCATTGCATAAAAAAAAACAGCAAATTTGTTAATGTTCAATTAATTGTACTTGTTCAATGAAATTATACTGCTGTAATTTTGGTACATAATAGCATTTAACATATATGTGTATGGAATGGTGATGTTAGTTGTATACAAAATATGCCGTCAATATACGTACAAACTAGTCTACACTGCACCTATGTCCAGTCTGACCAGACTCTATACTGTTGGCTATTTTATTGAATCAATGGAAAGTTCTAAATTCAACGCAATAAGTTTGTTACACAAGAGGGGCAGGAAAGATTTCAGACATAAGTTATTCTATCTGTAATTATGCATGTAGTTAATTTTAGTTGTAATTTTATTGTACTATAATCTTGTCAGAATAGTTCATATAAATTAAAGCAGCATGCCTCCAGATTCATGCTAATTTTCATGAAAATTTTAAAAATGTATATAGAAATAAAAAATATTGTGAAGTGAACAAAGAAAGTAATTTACACATTGCATGCAGCACTTACAATCCATGATAAGTACTAAAAAAAGGGTCAAAATATGGCAAAATAGCCCTAACTGTTGAAATATGATGATATATACTGCAAAATCAGTCAATAATCTGACATAACATTTATATCATTACATGAATTTTGAATCTTTTTATTTTTCTCAAGATCTTGGAACACTTTTCTCATGTTTGATTTTCTTGAATTATTTTTGCTCATCTAGAGGCATGCAGCTTTAAGACTGTTCTTCACTGTGACAATGTTTCAGGTCCTGAAACAAACTAATTATTTTTAAAATCTATATATAGTGAGATACTGTTATTACCATAACAATATTATATTATGTACAGTGAATAAAGATTAAATGATATATGTAAAAGGTGTTGATTATTTATTATAATTCTATTTGTCTTCACCCTGCTTCTCATCATCATCGTCAAACAGAATAGAAGATATTGCTAGTTTTGAATCTCTGTACCACCAGAAGTTTAATGCCTAGGTTGAGTTCCAGGCTGGAAAGTACCGGTATGATTCAGTTTGCTTTTGAAAGAGTGTTACTGTGACACCATGTTAGATCAACAGGACCAAATATCCACTTCAGTGTGAAAAGTTTATCCCGAAAGCAAAAATAAGGCGTTGGATTTAATTCTTTCTATTTAACTAAGGTGACACATCAGTTTCTTATGAATCACATATATATATTAAAAGATGTGTCCTGTGGTTTAAATAACTTATTGCATTGCATGCCTTTACATACAATTGTATCATAGATTGGGGACCTTTCTGTTGAAAATGTGTCCGAGTAAATTGTATACATATACATGCACAGTGCATTAACTGGAGTGCAGATATTAGTTACCCTCACTCCAGAGCATGCCCATTGATTGGCTCATTTTTGATGGGGTTTACTTATTGTGAAGGAAGAGAAAGTGAAAGCGACAGAAATATCATATTCAGATGCTCGTTCATTGGTTATTTTTTCCCGGGGTTCATATTGTGACAACAGGGAACGTGTTTTTATTAACCAGGTTTTCCGAAGGAAAAATCTGGTTATTAGATTGAGGTATGTCGGCGGGCGGGCGGGCGTAAACAATTTCTGTGCGCAACTCCTACATTTCTCAACGGATTTTGACCAAACTGGTTATTAGATTGAGGTATGTCGGCGGGCGGGCGTAAACAATTTCTTCTGTGCGCAACTCCTACATTTCTCAACGGATTTTGACCAAACTTTCACAGAAGCTTTGTCATCAAGTGCCCTGGTGCATATTGTCAGGGTTTTGTGATTGGATAATATTTGACCTAATTATGGCCCTTTGTTTTTTTCCCTTATATAGAATATATAGTGAACAATTTCTTCTGTGCGCAACTTCTAAATTTCTCAAAGGATTTTGTTCAAACTTTTACAGAAGCTTTGTCATCAAGTGTCCTGATGCATACTGTTGGGGTTTTGTGATTGGAAAATTTTTTACCTTATTATGGCCCTTTGTTTTTTTTTTTCCTTATACAGAATATATAGTGAACAATTTCTTCTATGCGCAACTCCTCCTACATTTCTCAAGGGATTTTGTTCAAACTTTCACAGAAGCTTTGTCATCTAGTGCGCTGATGCATATTTTTGGGTTTTTGTGATTGGATAATTTTTGACCTAATTATGGCCCTTTGTTTTTTTCCCTTATATAAAGTATATAGTGAACAATTTCTTCTGTTGCCCAACTGCTTCTACATTTCTCAAAGGATTTTGTTCAAATTTTCACAGATTAGCTTTATCTTCAAGTGCCCTGCTGTGTATTGTCAGGGTTTTATGATTGGATAAGTTTTTACCATTTACCTTATTATGGCCCTTTGTTTTTCCATAAAATTTAATTATTAGTGTGATATATTCTATTAATCACAACAAACTTTATTTAGTTATAAAACAGAAACTATCTAGGTTGTTGCATGCCTGCCAGCTCATCTGCCTGCTTTTGGGTTCTGTAGAGTCAAGGTCAAGGTCATTGTTGCTAAAAATAGAAAATCTGTTTCCAGTTAGGTCACTGTTACTAAAAATAGAAAATAGGTTTCCGGTCTAAAACTTGTTTGGAATAAGATATTTTTATGAAATTTGTGGTAAATCAAGTTTTTATGAAGACCTCACTTGGGATGGCTTTTTGGCCTCCTAGGGTCAAGGTTACAGTTACTAAAAATAGAAAATTCATTAATCATGATTTACATTGCACATAGTTACATTGTTGGTTGCTTGTATTTGTATTTCAACTACAACATATTTATCTACAATGTTGATAATTGAAAACCTGGTTTCATGGCATTGCCATGTTTCTTGTGTTTGACTATGATACAAAAGAGAAAGAACATCAAAACACTCGGCAATCTGATTAATACTCGGGGTGCTACGCCCCCTCGTACAAATCAGATAGCCTCGTGTTTCGACGCTCTTTCTATTACATATCCATCAGACCATGTAGAAGAACTTGTATACTAATGGAAAGCATATCAGGCCTATACATCGTTTGGGTAATGATACATATTTGGCGCATACAAGACACAGACGAGTACAAATACCAATTGCATTTACTCTGAAACTACTAGTTTTATCAATGACAGTCCTTTCCCAAGTTACGCAGATATTAAATACATGTAATATGTTTTCTCAACCGAAGATGAAGTTACAGCAGAAGATAAAAAGCAAATGTCTATAGTTTTTAAATGAAATGGAAACACTTAAGTTTAACCTTGTTTGGTAAATTATTGTTTTCCTTTCTTATATTTTTAGTTTTGATTTTATTGATCAATATGATAGAGTATCAAGGAAGATATTTAAAATCCTAACATCAGGATAATTTAAAGGTATGTAGACTTTACCTTTGGATCTCACAGATATTCAGTGATAATCATGAAACTATTCACGTTAAATTAATTGAATGTAAATCATTCTAAGATTTATGCTGTAGATACATAGAGGATATTTGTTTAGTTCAGTGTAAGATCGGAATATATTTCACCGAGTGAGCACCAAAAGGTATGTTTCACGAGTGGCGCAGCCACGAGTGAAATATGAACTTTTGGTGTTCACAAGGTGAAATATATTTCGATCTTACACTAAATTAAACAAATCTTCTTTTTATTATATGCAAAGAAACGTTTTGAAAAGACATTAAACCTAATACTGAATGAAAAGCGCGCCAAATAATAATACAACGTGACGTCATTTACGACGTCACGTCATTAAGTTGGTACCCAGTACTGTGCACGCTGGTATTTCACTGAAACAACGTAAGGGGCTTAAATGAAAAACAGTGAAATTATCAAAGTGGTAATTTCACTGTTTCAAACAGTGAAATTACCAGTTTTATATCACTGATATATTTCTATAAATCACCGAAAAGCATGTAATAAATGGACATCATGCTACACATAGTCTCATCATGACTTGTGTATGCCTTATACAGGAATCCTTATGTAAAATGATTGAGATAAATTTAAAAAAAATAGCCTAAAACTTATAATCACCAATAAAAACAAAACCCTCTATATTTATTTACTCATAATCAATATATGATTGAAAAAATGCTTATCAAGAGCTTTGAGCTTACTGTTATGTCAAACTATTACAAGCTATATTTAGTACCTTCCAACCTTGTCCGAAAGATGACAACGATAATTTTCGGCAGAACTTTAGTAAAACTAAGATGTCTGCGCCCATGCAAAAATGACAAATTTCATAGAGTTTTGCGTTATTTTAGCTCATTTTACCATAATTTATGGATTTGATGATGCTCATCTTGCATCAAAGGCAAAGGCTGATCAGATAGAACGAACGAGGTAGGTAACATTTCCCTGTTTTTTTTCGAGAATCTCATAAATTATTTGTTTATGTTGTACAAACTAGATCTAGAATAATCATTATTGATCAGATTATTCAACCGTTCAAATCCAATCAAAACATTTAACAGTCCGTCTCTGTGACCCTGATTCTATGTTGGATGATAAATTGGGGGATGATGAAAATGGTGTGTTGGTGTTTTCTTTATTTGTAAACTAGCCTCTTGATTTTGGGAAAAGTTGTTGCTAAAATTGCAAATTTTGGAAAATAAAAACCTGATGTAACATGTAAGTAAGGATTTTTGGATATTTTGATTTTTTTTTTGGAACAAAAAAATACATGATTTAAAAGAAAAATTCTTATGGGATGAGATCATTTATAGGATGTGAAAAGCCCTAGCTGTGTGTCTGTGCAATCTATATTGTGCCAAATAATTCTCCAAATCTGACTGCTACTGCTGTTCCGGTTATTGACATCCTGGGTAATACTTGTAGGCTCTTAGAATACTCTACACAACCAACCCACCATAAAAGAACTCATTTGCCCTGGAGAATTAAATGTGCCAAAAATTAAAGAAAAACAATTAACATACTTTAATACAAGCATCTTGATTATTCATCATTCATAATGCAGTGATAGCATTTGAGTTGAGAAAAAAATGTAGTTAGTAAAATAAATGTTAAAGATATACATTGCTCAAATTTGATATCAGAAAATATTGATAATTTGCTACACAGTCTTTTTGTAAATATAAAATAAGATTTTTTTTGAGTTCACACAATGTAGCTATGTTATGTTTAAAAATTTATACACTATAGATGGTCACAATATTTAGAATATTTATTCATGAATATTTAGTCAGTTATTTTAAGAAAAGACTTAAGATCTAGTCTTTACTTGCCCTGTAATAGGGAACGCAGTTTCTCATGCAAAATTTAATTATTCTGTTATTCAAATTAGACTCATTCAGTATGAATTTCATAGATTTTAATAAATTCCTTTGATTAAAATATATTACTCAAGGATGAGCATAGTATATCTCTCAAAAGATTCCTTTTTACCTCCATGCCCCTCATTACCATTGTTGCTTTGCTATAAGACCTCATCCCATAAAATAAGAATACAAGTCAGTCTGTTTGACTGTGTAAAACATAATTTTGTTGTCCAGATCCAGTGCCTAGTTCATCTTTTTTTTTTGGTTTTACACTATCACAAAATGTTCACTAAATGAACATTCTAGTTGAATATAAGTAGAATTTTTGAAGAGATTGTTTATATCTGTTGTTGCAAAATACCTGTATACTGCTATGCATATTTGATAAAAACCGAAAAAGACAGCGGGGAAAAATCTTATACTATCTTAGTGTATATGAACACTTATTAATTTATATAATGATGTCTTTTCATTTCAGATGTGGATATAATCTGATGAAACTATGGACAGCTGAAATTGCCCATTCCCCATTTGCAGCAGCCCCACTGATAACTGATGTAGATGGAGATGGTAGACTTGATATTATAGCTGCTCCACTAAGTGAGTCTAAAACAGTAGTTGAGGCAGAGAATGGTAAAACACTTACTGAATCCAGGTGGCCAACACAAAAACTAGATACATCGATTTTGGCTTCACCACTACAGGTTAGTTTTATGCTGAAGAAAAGAAAAAACCTAGCACAATGTGCTATATTGGTTTCAGTTGTTTTTTTCCAGGATTTTGGGAACACGACCCATACCCATGGAATTGGGAATTTCAGTGGTGTTTTGTTAAAAATTGGGGAAAAAATAATGACTGAAATTTTGCAGTGATTAAATGGATGCAAACAATTACTGTCTATGATGGCATCTTCAAACATTAAAGCCCTATTACATTGAAGAAGCCCTTATTTTTATATATTATATTTTTATATTTATAACTTACTTGGTTAACCCATTACGTTATATACATGCCTTTTAACGCCTTTTTCACCCCCCCTTTTTGTTGTCTCAAATGGTGAAAAATGCCTTATTTAGGCCCCCAACACTTGTTTTTGTTTGAGAAATGTTGTTAAAAAATTGACCTCTTTTTCGGCGCGGCCCCCCAACCAAAAGATACATCAGGGGGTTGCCAGAAGTTTGGGGGGTTTGAAGGGGGGCGGAGTCCCCCTCATCGCCAAGAAAATTTTGGACTTGTGAGAGGCTAAAAATGACCCCAGATTGATCATAAGGTAACATGTAACCAACACTGAAAAGCATTTGACTCTATCTCAATCCATTGAGAAGTTGCAGCACTTTGAAATCAATTTTGATGGAAAAAATCAACGCAAAATAGTGATTTTTGGCAATTTTGAGATGTCTCCTCATTGCCATGGTAACAGAAAATTAAGCCTGAGCATGTTGTTGCAAGGGCAATGGTCCAGTCAACATTTGTGCCAAGTTTGATTAGTGTTGAAGCAGTTTTTATAGTATTATAGCAATTTGAACTTGTAACGGGAGACTTTTCAATGAAAACAGCCATTTTTCACAAAATGCTCATGAAATAATGGGTTAATGGTTTCAGTAAAGATATAGTTTTTGGAAAGAAATAATTCTAGAAACAGCATAATATGTATGGTTAATGCAACTAAAACATGATATTTAGTGAAGCTGTATAAATAAAGTGAGGCACGTGTCCAATATTTTAATTAGGCACTGTCACTGACATTACCAACATTTTATTGAGTCAGAATATGTATATAATGAACATTACAAATTAAAGCTATAGGAGAGTATCAAATTAAAATATAACAATTTAGCCTAATATAAACATTATTGTGATTCTGTATTAAGTCAAATGAGCCTTAAACTGTTTTAGTGAGTAGTAATTTAAACATAGCCAAAGAAATATTTTACATACTGTGAATTTGTAATATTATTCATGTTTACTTGTGTTTGTTACATGTATATTGACTACTCTAGAATCAGTTGATTTTACTTTTGATATTTAGATGTTTCTACTTATGTATTATATTCATTTAATTTTATTTACAGTTTGACATAGATGGAGATGGTATGCTAGATATACTGTTTGTAACATTTTCTGGTGACATATTATTTTATACACCAAATGGAACTGCCATAAAGGACAAGTTTATGGAGGTAATTGTCTTCTTGAGAGCAATATATAATTATTATTATCATAATTATTATTACTATCATTATTATTATTTTTATTGCTCACTATTTCAGTACAATTTCAGTCACCTATTGTAGCAGATACATCTTCTTAATCTGTGTTATGCCAATAGGTACCAGTGACTGTAAAAAACTTAAGGTGTAAGTCTTCTTGTTTACTTTGTAGATATCACTATCATCTAGTGAACATCAACTAATTTATTTGAATAAAGACTTAGTTTCATAGTTTGCATAGAATATCAAATGGTACTTTAAGTGTCAAGAAGAAATTATTGTCTAAATTCTGATTATGTAAAATATTTGCAGTGTATTATTATTTATTTAATTTTACCCATGAAATATGGTGCTATATCAGTCAAATATATTTCATATTTTTTGAAAATAAATATGAAATATAAATATGAAAGTGGGCGGAGTCAAAACTCATATTTATTTTAAGGGACTTCTTTCGCCGTTTTGTTTGAAAAATCTGATAAATGCAAAACAACTTTTTCTTGAATATTGTTTTAAAAACTATCTAGCATGATAGAAAAAGGTCTAACTAAGAAAATTAATCCGAACACCAATATCTTTAATTCAGTAATTAACGCTGTACAGACGGTTAAAGAGTTGTTTACATGACGTCACAATATAGCGCCAAACAGCGCGTGCTTACGCATAAATTACTGCGCGCTGTACAATTGCAGTTGATAGCAAGCAAGGGAATTCGTTACCATTTTCTTTGATAATGAAATTAAATAAAAAGGTTATTTTTTTCGTTTTTTGTGAAATATGGTATATATTTTCACTCAACATGATAAAATGCCACAAAATATGTGGCATTTTATCATGTTTCGTGAAAATATATTCCATATTTCACGCAAACGAAAAAATATCCTCTTAATATTTGCTTTTAAAATATATTTTTTTAAACTAAGTGTAAAATAGAAATACTGTTATAACTACCTAACAGATAGCACCAGGGTATGTGAAGGAAGATTGGTATAAACAAGTGGTGTCGGTATCTGGGGATGATATCAAAACATATGTAAAGGAAGCCAGTGATAGTGTTAAACATGTAAGCATTCTGTTTGTTCCCTTGTTAGTTTGAACCTTTTTTCTGCTTGTTATGAAAATAACTGTAGATTTTCCTCTGAGATATTACTCTTTAACTTCAATAGGAAACAATTAAGCCTATGGTTTCTTTGATGTTAAGAAACTATCTTGGTAGCTTATTAATAGTGGTTGTGAAATAATGTGAATCTGCTATTTTCTACAGTAAAGCTAGAAAGTGGCCATATGGCCTGTACAGTGTAGGTGTAACTTAGAACCTAACCAATAATAAATGTGCATGTAAATATATAATTGACTTAATGACTTAACAGGAAATGTATTTGCTTTGTGAACAGTCTTATCCAAATTAATTCTTCTAGTCATTCTTTGTTTAAGTCTATAACTAGATTTAAGTTTTAAGTAGTGAAAACTATGCTGATTTCATAAATGCACTGGTACATGTAATAAGTATACATCTGTGTATCAGGACAAGAGTTACCTCCCTGTTGATGCCCATGTTATGGCTACCCCAGTGATTGCTGATATCAACAATGACAACAAGTTAGAAGAGTTAATCATTCCAGTTTCCTATTACTTTGATGATGAAGATTACAGGTATGCACAATATGCTTATATTAGGTGGTTGATAGTTTGGCCCTTAGTTGTTTTTTTTCCATGGGACCCCATTGTTTTTAAGGTACATGTACAGGTATGAATCCTCAGGAACTAATTATATTGAGTTCAGAAATTATCACTGAAACTTGTATTTTATTTAAATCGTCCATTTATGTCTGTAGAATTTTTGTTAAGTGTAGATAGCTTACATCATTGTCATTTTTGCTACTTAGTAGTTTAATAAATAGATTTCAAGACTGAGTGACCTCAAACTATAAATATTGTACTCCCTATCGATTTAGGTTTGAATTCTATCAGGGAATTTATATTTATATGAAGAACTAAGTTAGTGGTTCTACTCTGGTGCTAGCTGGTGTCTGAAATAATGTGTAAAAGGGCACTGGAAGTTTTCCTACACCAAAACATGAAAGTTCATATGATATTTACAGTGTTGGTGCGACGTAAACACAAACCGAACAAATAATAAATGTACTAGTATGTCATTGAAATCATTCTTCAGTCATTGATTTTCTCATAATATATGACACATATACCAAAGACCATATCACTATGATAGTAGATGTAAACCTATTTGAATATTTTCAGACTTTCAGAAAATTTTGAGCATATAAACAACATAAATGAGACAGAGTTAGGAAAGTATGTTGTATCAGGAATCACCATTGTTAACCTAAGAGAGATGAAGGTTCTTCAAACAATCTTCCTTGATCTTACTACAGTAAGTGCTTTATATATTTATATATTACCTAATCACAAGAGAAATTATATATTTATATATTACCTAATCACAAGAGAAATTATATACATGTATGTATATATATTACCTAATCACAAGAGAAATTATATATGTATATATATTACCTAATCACAAGAGAAATTATGCCAAGAATTGCCTTAATAATTCATGTAAAGATAAAAGTACTTTTTTGAATTGAGACAAATTACATAGTGTACAAAACAATAACATGAAGAAAAAAACAAGTACATGGAAAAGTAATTACATCATTATCAATTTTTTTATAATACATGGTTTTTTGTTTACTATTACGTATTTGACCAATAACCAAGCTTAAAGTCACTAATAGGTGTAAATTGAATTGAAATAGAATCTTTGAACTCTTATAATGCTAAAAAAGGTGGTGGCAGATACTTTAAGTGAATATATCTTAATGATGTCACCTATTACCTATCAAAATTTCTTGTTGCCCTTTGTATGCAAATAATATATGGCTATGTGTGTGTGTTCTAAGGGTCCATCCTCCTTAAGAGGCACTGAGAGTATGGACCCTGTCATATATAGCTTTTAATGCCTGTGTATATTTTATAGGTAATCACTAATCACACAAATTTTAATGATGGTTGCAGACAGTTTTGAAACCATGTAAATATTTGTACATCAATAAATAAGTATTTATGTTGTATTGGTACAGTATGCTGGTATGAATGTATATTGCAGAAAGTATCGGGGTTTCCAGCTTATGTCTTGTTCACACCAACTGTGATAGATATGGACAGAAATGGCGGCCATCTTGAAATTGTATTAGGAACGTCTGCAGGAAATGTACATGTCATTGAGACTGAAGGGGAGTTTAAAGACAGGAAAGGCTTTCCATACAGTATGGGAATCATTCATGGACAGGTATAATATAATAGGCAAATAACTCAAAAATGAAATGTTGATATTTTTTTTTCGTACTGCATAACTTTACCATATGAGATTAAACTCACAAGTGATGTAATTATAGGGTAATTAATTTTAGTTTTTCAAATGTTGCAGCCCATAATGTAGCTTATGATAAATTAAATTGATCTCACTGTTTGCGGGAATTCTTTTTTTTTGTGACAAGATTTTTTAAATTTTTACTACATCAGCCTTTACCTTGACATTGACCAAAATGACCAAAGGCTGAATGCTTATGCTAATTTGTTACAGTTATTGATGGTGATATTGTTTAAAACATAAACACAGATTGCAAACAAATTTACTTTAAGAGATCTCTGAAAAATATCTTTAATTTTATTTTATCTATTAAAGATACACTATGCTCAAATTAGATATTTTAAAATATTGATAATTGCTACTTTTTGTTAATATAAACTACACATGTTTTGACTTCTAAGAAAGTAGATATGTTATGCTTTTAATCAACTGGCAGTTTTCTTAAGGAATGACCAGTTTAACTTGACCTGTAATAAAGACCGCAAATTCCCATACATAGTTTGCAAGTTGTTTTATTTAGATAAGACAGTAAGAATTTTATAGATTTTGATGAATTTCTGCATTGAAAATAAAAAAATATTTTACTCAAAGATGAGCATTGAACCCTCATGTTGTATTTCGTTTCTGTTGTTTTTCTTGTGAAGAAGAACTAAAATCTCTGGTTATATTTGTACAGTTGACAGTAGCTGATGTAAACAGGGATGGTACGTTGGAGATTATAGCTATAGATACAAGTGGTAATGTTATATGTTTAAATGATGATGGTACGATAACATGGGAGGCGAAGGTGTCCGGAGATAATTCTCCTGGCAGCAGACTGCTAGACGTAGATGGTGACGGTTATGTTGATATTATCATTCCTACAAATGAAGGGTATGTTATTATATCATTATTTTGTTAATGAGGAATTCTTATATCATCGAAACAAACAAGTACCAATTATTTACATGAGGATCAAATACAAAAATTACTGTAAAATCATTATTATTCATGGTGCACTAATTTTCATGGTTTTTGTGGATAGGTCAATCCATGAATTTAAGATGCAACAAAATTTCATTTTGTCTGCTTTAAAATTATTTTGCGTCACATTTTACCTTTTTGAAAAAAAGACAGTCAATGAATTTAAGAACCCATGAAAATGTTCTTCATAACAAAACCACGAAACTTCATGCCCACAAAATTAAGTGAATTCATAGTATCTTGTGCATTGACTTTATCAATTACTAAGTTGTTTGTTATACAGTCGACTCTCGTTATCTCGAAGTCATCGGGAACATCCAAAAAATATCGAGATATCGAAATGTCGAGATAAACATATTAGGGTTTGAATAATGCAGAAACTGATTTTTACAAAAGACATGTGCATACCTTATGTCAAATGAACTATGATATCCCCATGTCTTGTTTTCATACGCCTAGTCAATATTTAACAAAGTAATATTAGCGGATGTTTACCAGCGGAAATACGGGTGTCTGTGATAAAAACACATAGTGAGGTTTACTCAGTAATACATCAATATAGTGATTGGGTGGTTGATCCGGATATCCTCCCATATTATTTATTGGATCTTTCTCGAGATTGTTCGACCGCTGATTAATTTGGAGGTGATGTTGTGAAACAATATTGCAACGATATCGTTTCTATACTTTCACTATTTCATTTACATTTAAAGTCATAATGAATTGATTCAGTGTTTTGCGAATATTTATAAAGAAAGGTAAAATTCACTCATTTTGAACACAAGTAAATCAACATGCTAATTATTAACTTTTATAATAACAGCTAAACTTGTTATAAACATAATCATCATTATGAAACGCGCTATTGAGCAATTATCGTCTAGTATGTATTTTTCACATGTCTGAAGGGAACAGATGAAAGAAAACTATTAGTCGAGATAAACAAAGGACAATAGTGTGAAAATAACTGTTGGGGCTGAAATTTTACATCGAGGTACTGAAAATATCGAAATAAAAATATCGAGAGAAACAAATATTTCCAATATAGATAAAGAAGGAAGAAAATCGGGACTTTCAAAATTTCATCGAGATAACGAAATATCGAGAAAAGCGATGTCAAGATAACGATAGTTAACTGTATTTGAAGTTATTGAACATAAATAAAAGGATAATAATTTCTTATTTATCAGTTGTTAGGTTTTAGCATACACAAATGTTAATTACAATGTGATAGAGAAATATACAAGACTTAACTTGAAAATTTAAAAACTGATAACAGGAATTTTTTTTATACTTTCAGAGATGTGTTTGCAATAAATGGCGTGACTGGAAAGGTATTAGATAAATGGCCAATCAAAACTGGACACCCAATTTTATCAAATATTTTAGTAACAAAAGTTTCAAATACAAGGAAAGATTTAGACATGGTAAGATACATGTATGTTTATTGTTTAAGGATAGAATGTAGTCAAGTGGCAATACTGCTATTGAAATAAATTGAACTTTGATATACAGCTGAACTTTGATGTAAACCTTAACTGAACTTTAATTATACATAAATGTTTGCTATCTTTTTGAGATTTAAAATAGTTGATGGCTTTACCCAAATGCATGGGAGCATATGAATTGAAAAAAATGTGCACGGTGAGGGGCACCTTGTATTTTCTTCCATCAATGAAGTGGAACTTACTATATAACTTTACTACATTTTGAAGTATCTAGTAAATGGTGACACTTTGACAAAAAAGATTTCCCAACTTAGGTTTTGATGTATGGCAGTACGATTTTCTTCTGTTATTACTGTCTTTCAGTCAAAGTTATTAAGTATTCTTTACATACATGTATGTTTTTGTTCTTCTAATGTTAAAGCTGGGAATAAAACATATGGCCTTAATTCTTCAAAATGAATAAATGATGTTAAATTTACAGGTGTTTTTATCTAATGATGGGGCACTTCATGTGGTTTCAACAGATCAGACTTGCAGAACTCACTTCCCTATTGGAGAAACCTCATTGGTGCAAATATTGTCACATGACCTTGTTGTCCAATCAGAAGGCCTTGAACTATTAATAGCAACTAATGACGGAACACTTATTTGCATGGGAAGTGGTGAAGAGACATCTATTGACACATTTCAAGATGATGTTTACAAACATACACATGCACTTGCATTGCCATCAGAAACTAAATCTCCAAATGATTTTCTATTTGCAGATAAAAAGGTATACAAAATGTATAAATGTTATTATATAGAACACCATTTTAGTTCAAACTACATGTATATGGTATATGTTTTGTCATGATATATGTATACATATACAGTCAAACATGTATTAAGCGACCGTGCAAGGGAAACACCCAAAACAGTCGCTTAAAGAAATGGTCTCTTAAGACAAAGCATGATATAAAAGTCAAAATTTATAAATGACATCTTTCTTTTGCGTTTTTTTTCAACTTTATTTATCTAAATGTTGAATAATTAGTACGCTCCGATAATCTAAATGGATGCTAATGTAAAATATAACTTTCTGATATTTATTGACAAAACAGTTTTGATCCATTTGTACATGTTTGACATTTTTCCAGAATTTTTTAATTTCTCCATTGTTTTTCCTTGTCTCCAACACGAAAACCCTAATAGTGAAGATGTTTTTTGTTGTGTATTTTTTCATTTGAAATAAACAAACTACTTCTAATTGTTACGATTCATTTAATTGCTGATCAAGTTCAAGGTCAATTCAATGCAGTCTAAATGTCAACAAGCGCAGCGTATACACCATCTCAGTAGTGGCGGAGCGTTGCATTGTTTATTCGATATTATTGGATAATACACGTCACACATATACTTAACTTCATTTGCATACACTAAAACGGTTTGGGAAATAGAGTTTTTCACACATTTATTTGTTGTGTTTTGATTGTTGACTCTTGTGACATTACAAGGCGGCATTCTCTAAAAACACAATTACTTGACAGGTAAAAGTGGTTGTTTAATGAAAAGATTTATCTCAATAAGCTGACTAATTAGCAGTCGCTGCTCGCTTTGAGCAACAGTCCCTTAATACATTAAAGATATAGAGAGAAAATGATCGGGGGGAATTTAAAGTGGTCGTTTAAGACAAAAGACAAAAGTCGCTTAATACACGTGGTAGCATGGGCAAGTTAGACTGTATTTATACTGAGATAAACTTTTAAAGATATTTTTAAATTTTCATCATTAAGGCCTAACTGAATCAACAACAACTAGATAGGTCTTCTTTTCAGTTTTTACATGAAATTGCACCCAGTATTTGCTTATACATGAACTTTGTTTAAGAAGTTTTTAAAATGCAAGAAGAGTAAGGGTTGATGTTAAAATTTGGGGTTAGTCAGAATGTTAATATCAGTCATGTGTTTGGGGTTGGATTCGAATATCTGTCCTAAGAGAGACTTGAACACAGATTTTTTTCTTGCATATTCTACCATATTTGAAATAATTTACAGTGAGGAAATTATTTTTCAAAAAGATTTATGTCATAACATCCGTGTTTTCTTACAGTATCATATGAATATACAAGTTCATTCATAACTGTGAAATGATGTCATCTTAGGCATGCAGTGTCATTCTAAAATGAGCGGAATTGACATCATTATATAAAACATGACACTTCTGGCACTGCCTAAGCCAGATAATATTTCAAACATGAGTAAAACTATGGAAAACACCAGTCTGATATATATGAAAAATATAGAAAGGAAGCAAGCCAACATTTTATAATTTTAGCTTTGATTCACACTCAATGTATACTCATAAATGAATAGCATTAGTGATTACTACTAGGGAAAAATTAAGTTTGTTGATAGTCTTACGTAACATCGTATGTTGAAATATTTTTCAGTTTGGTGTGTATATCCTAGAGAGTAGCAGGAATAGGGTTGAAATTACTGGCAGTATGTTCCACATAGACTTTGTTATAACAGACCCTACATATGTTAAAACAAATGAGAGAACTTCATTGTATACTTTAAAAGTAAGCATACCTTCTTCTTGGACAACAAACTTGATTAAAGATGCGAGGAAGTTAGTTATAATACAGAAATAAAAGTCTGATTTATGTCAGTTAAGTTTATATAGAAATTCAACATTCAATTACCTAACTTTGTACATGACATATTTCTTTTCACTCCCTAGAAGCTGGAGGTGTAGTTGTTATATGAATAGTTTACCACAATAGATAATAAAACCAGTAAAAAATATTTGCTACTCAGAAAAAGACAGTGACAGCATGTCTGAGTGGTTAAGACAAAGGACTGGTAATCTCAGGATCTCTAGTAGCCACAGGGGTTCAAACCTTATCATTGCTTAGTACTGGTTGGTTCCAGGAACAAATTCGAGTTTGTGTCTGTAAGCTTATACTAGCAGCTTCCTGCACAAACAGACTGAAATAAATTCTGTATAAACTATAAAACTAAACAGACAGAAATTGTGGATGCAATAATTTTCACAGGATAATTGTAACAATGGAGTAGTTATTCAGTTTTTATTAACATATTATTTATAATTAATTATGAATTATTTTTTACATATAACTTATAATTAATTATGAATTATCTGTGATTATTTATATATTATTATTCAGGTATTATTTGGGAGCAACCTTCTGCTAAGAGGTGTATATTCTAACCCTGGTGCATACAGTATATTTGTGGACTCCTTCCCTAAACCAAGCCATGGTCATGTGACACTTATTTTAACCAATAAAAATGGTCTAATTGCTCAAGATGGTTTTGCTGTAAGGTAAGTCTGTTTGTAAAGTTTATTTATCAACTGCTAGATTTATATTGAGTTTTTATTTATTTGCTAGGCTAACAAAAAGGTACTTTATCGCATATTTATTTGCATTGGATTAAACACCAGCGTGTTTTGAAAATAAATTTTACTTTAAAATTATCAAAAAAATTTTTTTTACCAGATCACCTCATACTTCATTATTGTGTCCTAGTTTGCAAGCAAGGGACTGTTTAGTGTATCTATGACAAGTCAGTTGGTGTTTTTATATACTTGAATGTTTTACTTCATTAAGATTGTTGCCAACATTTGCTATACTTCCTCAAGATTGTTGCCATGGTCTGTTTTAGTTTAAAGTTAAAAATCATAAAAAAATCTTTGAACAATTTATCAAATTATCATCCTAACCAGACTTTAAACAAAGATTTTTCAAATGAACTTTCTAAAATGTGTAGGAAACTTTTGTAAGGGAATGTGCAAAAATAGCTTTCGTAAATTAAACATATCAGTTAAATATATATAGCCTTATAATATGAAAAGTACTGTTATTTTTTCAGGTTTAATCAGATAATTTTAGAGGATTTACAGTGGTTATTAATGGCACCATTTGTTACAATGGTGATTATTTTACTTGTAAATCATGGATTCCCAGCCAAAGACTTATTACCAGTGACATTCCAATCCAAGGATAGATAGCATTTGTACTTTTTAGTTTAAACTTTATTTAATAAACCTTCAGTGCAGGGTTTTAAAATATTACATTTTTATTTTCTGTGAAGCTACACATGTGGAGGACAACTTCTTTGAGATTGAAGGCTTAAAAGATGTTTGTTATAAACAGACTTCAGACAAATTTAATTTACTTTACCAAGAAATGTGTATGGTGTTGGAAAAAGTACTTGCAGTGTAAGGCCATGGTGAAATATTTTTAGAATGACTGTCAAGAAGTGTTTGAAGATAACTTTTATGTTGATTAGTGTGGGAACAAAATATACATTCATACTGAACTATTCGTTATAACATAAATGAATAATCTGTCAATCATGTGTTATAAATAATATACAGGATAACATAACATGGTTAAAATCTAAGTCCATAGTGGCATTTTAAGCTCACCAGAATTGATGTCTCAAGAATAGCTTAATGCTGTGTCTCTTATAATTGACAATAATTATTGTTAATTTTGCTATATGTACCTGATTGATTTATTTCAGGGTGGCTATGTAACATCCTTTTGAGCCTCTGACTAAAGTTGTTACTTATTATTATACAATAATGGCCTTTTTAAGGGGCCATCTAAGCTGTATTGGAAAAGTTTTTTAAGAAAAACTTGTGGACAAAAGGATCATCGCACACTTGTTCTGTGGCAACTGTAGAACATTGACGAGACAATTTGGTTAACTGCTATATAAGGCAAAAGAAATGTTGAACAATCTCCCAGCTTCTGAATTTGTTCAACACTTGACTTGATATAATCACTGTTTATGAAGCGTTACTGCTAAAACTACCAATAGAAGTAGAACTGGAAAATGTCTCGAGATCAACTTCTTAGGAATCTATGCAATATAAATCTGGTGAGCTATGCTGGGCTTAGTCTTCTAAGATAAGCCTTTGTTGGTCTGTCCTGTTGTCTGTAGACTGACAAAACATTGGAATATGGGGGCATCTGTCACTATTGGCAGATTTCCAGTTTAAATGTGTTTTATTTTGATAAGGTTTGTATTTAATAATATTTAAATTTCAGTGCAACTTGACAATATTGTTTTCTGTGACATGAAATATGTGTCTTGTTTATTGAGTGGGCTCAAGAGAGTAAAATAAGAACATCTTTCTGTAGAAACAATAGACTTGTGTGATATATTTTGCTTGAGGTACAGTATATTTCATGTGAGATACAATAATCCAGTGATTTATGCAATGTTTGAATATTGTGTTTATGTGTTACAAGACCAGATTGAGTCATAATAATTTTTGTGTTCATGTGACATAATCATTGCCTCATGACTATTTTACATGTGTTTACTTTGTAGATGTGATAACATTATTGATATGTAATAAAACATTATTGATATGTAATAAATTATGAAACTACATGTGGTAGCTTATTATATCACATAATTATACATGTTCTTTTATATGGGACAAGAGAGAATAGCATACAACATATATATCATAAATATTGTAATGTATTATATGATATTCAAAGCCCATGCTAAGGTTTTAGATAAATTTGTGATATTATCTATCCCCCCTGTCACTTGTATGTATGTGATGGGAGGGGTGAAGTCAGAGAGTGTTGCTGCAGATACATTTCCTTTGCCCTACATGTACATTTATACATGTATGTACCAATACACAAGTATTCACTATAAATCATGAAATGGCTGCAAACTCAAAATATGTCATGTGACACTTGTAATTAGATCATGGGCAATTGTGTGGCTTTTCATAGCAGCAAGTTTATTAATATGCAATTTTGTATTATTTCTCTTCCACCATCACTTTTCAAGAAATCTCAAGTCTTTTTCTTGTTCATACTTTTAATAAAAGAAGTATAAGGCACACATTTCATAAAATATGAAATTAAGTCTCATAAAATAACAAATGATTCTATAAAACTAAAATCAAACTATTCTGCTGAAAAACATGACATGTACAATGCCAGAGCTGTCAATATAATGCCATTTACTTGTATATGTACATCTGTACTTCGTTCACAAAACTTCATAAAATGAACATTTTCACATGATTTCAAAAATTAACAAATAGATAAAAACTTAATTGTATTATTTTTACATAATTGTTTTTATACTAAGATATTTAACAGTTTGATAGAAGGAAAACAACAATACCTGTCATGGACAGCATACTTGACTGTTCTTAGAGTTTGACAGAAAAACAACTGCCATGCTGGAATTTTCGAAATAGAGTAAGGGGAATAATTCAGTAGAATTTCAGGTTTTATGGTCATGCACAAGAAATGACCTATGGAAGGGTATCTGAAGTTGCATGTAAATGCTCCTGAGTGGTCTATAAGAAATGAAGATCCGTGTAAAACCCTAACATTGTGTTACAACAATGCTGCTAATGCATAGTTAGGAAGGATAACTCCATATACTATTCTTTGAACAGATGAGCTAAAAATACATACATATAAATATCTGATAAGAAATCATTTACAATGAAAATATGAATAACACAAATTTTATGAAATACATACTTGCACTTTTAATAAATGTACATGTATTTGGCACATAATTTGCATAAAATGGACGGGAAGACTAATTTAATCAAATGTTTTACTAAATTTTCATGAAATTAAAAAAAAATTAAAATGAGATTTGCAAAACATGGAGAAAAAAACACAAATGAGATTTACTCAACATAAAGAAAATTAATTTAAATGTGATTTGCAAAAAATTCAAATAAGATTTATTTATTAAAGAAACAGAAAAAATAATCATTTACATCTATGGAATGTATTCAAACAGTGTTGCAAATTTTAATTTGAGTGCTTGCAAAGAAATAAAAAAAAAGTTTATTATTAATCAAAGATACCAAAAAAACTTCATCATTTACATTAATGGAATGTATTTAGACAGTATTATAAATTTTGATTTGAGTGAAATCAAATAACAAGCATGATTATAAATTATGAGCTTAAGCCACCCACTTATTCATGAAAAATGTAATAAAGTTATCTGAATCTAAACTTAACGGACTATTATACATTCTGAATAGCTTATTGACTTTACAAATATTGACATTTATACCAGTAATTTTGAGAAATTATAAAAACATAAAGATAGATTCCTACTCTGATCTTTTATTTGAATAACAATAGATAAATAGCAGAACAAAACTACTTTAGTTTTGGATTTTGTTTTTGTCTAAAATGTTAGTTTTATGCCCATACAGAAGAATAGTTGGCCAGGTATATTTCATTAATTGCCAATAACTATCAAAAAGAGCTGTTCTTTAGCTAAAATTTCCTTAGAAAATCTGATAACCAAAGATCAATTCTTATCTTGATAGATCTACAATGATGAAATTGTCTGAAATTTCTATGCAATTCTAAATGTCTTAAGGTCCCAGCTTGCTACAGTTCTACTTCTTTACTATCAACTGTTATTTTGTTTGTTATGCCCAGTTCTTTATAAATTAATCACACTATAATCATTATTCCCAAATAATCGTAAGCTTTTGAACTCTTTAAAAGATATTTACTATAAGTTCTAGTAACATCAAATGTCTTTCTGAGCAATTCTCATCTGGAGAATGATCTACAATTATAAGAATGTCCAATATATCTTGGCAAATTCAAATATCTTGGCAAATTCCAAATATGACTTTTATGTGAAGATTCACAACCAGTATCTGTAGATTCTCTACCAACACTACCAGTATCTGTAGATTCACTACCAGTATCTGTAGATTCACTACCAGTAACTGAGTACTGCCACAGTGCCTGGTCTTTCGGGAGATGCTGTAATTAACTTAGTTTCATTGACCCACATTAAATGTAACAATGATGGATGTCTATGTACAATATTCATCTGAACTCCTTTCTGAAAAAAAAAAATAAACATATGACAAAAGTTTTATCAGAATTATCTGATACAATGTATATATATATATATTTATATATGTCATGGAGGCAAATCATTGTCCCTTAGATGCTGAACAATTAAGTATAGTTGAATGTGTGACTTATTAGCTCTTAACTGCAGTATCACATGTTTTGTTTATCTTTAAAAAGTATGTTTTTAGATATTTTGTTTATCTGTTTCAATTTAATTTTCGAAATTATTCTTCACTCAATTTATTATTCATTTCAAATCAATTTCTAAAATTATCATTTAAAATGATATCTATATATGATAACATTGTTGATTTAGTATTAGTGCTGCAAATTCATAGGGTAAAATGACACCGAAGTGGTCCATGTCAGCCAACAGCAAGTTTTATATACCAAATTGTTCGTCTTGGTCTGTAGTTTCCGAAATGAATATTCATTTGGTTCAAGTCCGATGCGTAGCTTAAAAATCCAAGATGGCGTCAAAGATGGCCGCCAAATCCCCAAATATTCTAGAATATTAATTTTTGCTCATATTTGTCCCGCTTTTGTATTTCAAGTGATTTTTTTGCACGGAAGATATCGTTTAAAGCGTTTTATACGAAGAGATTTAATTTTATTGGAGAAAACAGGTTGCTTTTTGCTTTTTTATACGTAAATAAGCAAAATAATGCTAAACATATGGATTTTTGCTATGATAATCTTGTCTTAGGTTAAATAGAGAAATATCTATTACTTATTTTGTTATTCAACTATTGTAATGTATTCATGACAGTAATGCTTTAATGCTTTCATATCATATCTTTAGAAATCTATCTATGTAATTATGCAGTAAGACATATAAAATGAGAGGCGGTACATTAAAATAGTTTTTCAATGTAAGGTTGTAACTGGTACTTACTTGTTCTATCAATTATTTCCCCAAATTTTGTGTTTCTGTCAAATTATAGCTTCTCTAGTGCACTCCATGTAACTGATTAACATACTAAACTAGGAATATGATAATTTGCTTCTGGTTTTTTAATGAATTAGTGTTCAAATCGTACCCCACCCACTATGAATAAAAATCTAAAGATACTCTGACCCCTCGATTATACTGATTATATGGAATGACAATTTTTACGTAAGTTAATAAACATAAGGTGATTTTCAAAGTGTGATACTATTACAGGTATCCTGTCAGATCTAAAAATCTGTTCAAAAATGTGTTACCAATTTAATAAGCATGATTTTGTCGTAAGTTCACCTAAGGATTTGAAAAGTACAATGTATGCAAAACAACCTCTGCTCCTTTATTTATATGTTACACACTTTTTTTATATCAAATGAAATGTAATTTTTTTTGAAGTTTCTTAAATTGACAAAATAGTCATATAAAAAGTTTGATATTTTATCTACATAGATCATTACTCTGTTGACCTTCGGTTTCATGAAACATGCATAGTAGTCGAATAAAACATAATGTTTCTATAAAATCGTTCAGCTTGGCATTATATTTGTGTTTGTGTTATTTAAATTCCTTCTATTTGACCTTTTTCGAGTTATGTGGTTCTTATATTTCTTTTAAAATAGTGTATAATAACCCTTTGGATAAATAGTGTATAATAACCCTTTGGACATGTTACCTGCTTTTAAAGTTTATATTTTGACCTTTGATCCCGTTTTATAAATCCATTTTATTTAGTTTCGCCCATTGTTCTCTATTTCTTGTGGACAATATGTTGTATGTCGTGAAATTCCACGAACATATTACATTGAAGATACCATGACCACTTTCGTATGAATACATCTATGGACGTGTCTTCACTTCCTTTAAAAGTTCACCATTTTTTTGTAAATTGAGATTTTTGCTTAAGCCGGTGCTAGAGGGTGTGGATGGTAGGTAACTTGCAATTTCCACTACCGGTATGTTCCTATATGACGACACAGTGTAAATAAAATAAATCCCGCCAAGTAAAATTCTAACAATTGTTATGGTTACATTAGACGAAATAAATAAAATACATGTACATGATCGTGTAAATATGTACAATTAAGGTACAACCTAATTACCATAACCAAAGTACTCGATGCAAGAAAGGAAGGCAGAGCAACAAGAACGTCACTAACCAAGACAGAAGACGAAATTAAAACTGTTACAATTAAGAACGCACAAAACGTCAAAAATGAAAATGTTGCAGGCTCGGTTTGATTGAGCCTGTTCATGAACGGCACTGTCAAGTGCAAACTACAGTACACGCCCCCTAGCACCGAATTAAGCAGAATTCAACATTTAATCATGGTTATGGTGAACTTTTGGATTTAGAAACAACCGCAGACGCGCTTATATTGTGGTTATCATGGAACCTTCAATGTGACACGTTAGTGTCATTCCATAAAAAGCGGCGTATGGTCCCCAAGTACAAGAATGTGTGTGCCCTAAACAAGAAAACAATGAGCGCAACTAAATAAAATGGAATTTTGAAAGGGGATCAGAGGTTATGAAGCCTGCATGCCACAGATAATTTGTAATTTCCACATGAATCAGGCCTGCTTATACCTAGACGTAAAAGAGTTTTTAAAGTACAATTAAATTTTAAATATATCTGAATTACGACGACAGGACTTTGTAAAATATTTACGTAATTTATGATAGCGATAGCCTTGTTAAAGAAGTTTGCCAGTAATAAATAAATTGCGTTCATTAGAATCATCCACACGACAGCAGGCCCAGGCAAATCTAATTAACTTAGAAATATATATACCCAATATGATGTTGCATGAAGTACATGTGAACAGTTAACAACGTTATTTAAAAAAAAAAACAATTACATGTATCATAGATTTTAGTTATGTTATTGTTAATGATAGAAATGTTTAAATTTGAAAATATTAAGAGTTTGTTTTATTCATTTTACGTTCACTTGGATATATTTAAGATTTCACTTGATCAAATTTGATTATTCATGATAAGGATATCATCTAGGTAGCGGTAAGTGCTATTTAATTCCGGTTGTGAAATAGTAGAGAGACTTAACATAAAATCCCTCTAGTAACAATATAAAAGTAAATAAAGTAAACTAACATGTCATTGGCATTATGATTGTAAAAATCAGGAAAAGAGAAGATCCTTTGAGAGCAATTAAACATGGCAAAGTTGATAATTCAAACTCAGTTTGATGGGGTCTGTTCATGAGAGACCATATCTCACGTCTCTTAGTACCAACTAAGTAGTATCCAATCCTCAACTATAAAAGTTTTGCAATCAGTGATCCCGAAGGACCAAGTCGTCCGGTTAGCTCAATTGGTAGAGCGTTGGACTGTGAATCGGGCAACCCATGTTTGATTCCCGGACGGGGCAGGTCACTTTCGTTGCGATTGATCATGAAATAGTTTCTACGGTTATTTGCACTGTACCACTGCTCTGCTATGTACAGAAGTTTTAGTTCATTGCGAAAGTGAGGGCAACTAGCACTGGTAAACTGTTTGACAGCCTGTCCAGGAACGATTCGGTGGCTGAACTGTGCTCTAAGGACCTATTAATATAACACTGGTAACCTGCTGTTGCAGACTCGGATTGATTGAGCCTGCCCGTACGAAAAAGATAGCAGGATTCCGCCTAATATAAGCAGGAAAACGCTTAAAATTTCCGTGTATATAAGATTTTCCTGCTAATTTAAGACGGACACGGAATTTTGTAAAAAATCCTGCTAAGCAATTTCATATTCCGCCTAAGGCTTAGGCGGAAAATATGGGATGAGCAATAATTTAGACGGGTTTTAGGACTTAGAATTTTGTCAGTTATTTGTTAACAGGAATTATGTACTTAGACTTTCTTGTTAACCAGAAATTGAACTTAGAAAATTTTACTAGACAGATTTCTGAATTTGGAGAAATTTCTGCAGATGACAGGTATATAATAAATCGATTATTAAGTGATCAACAATTATTTTGCTGCTTTTATTCATTGTTAATTTTCAAAACTAAAATATTGTTTGTACAAACATAAACATACATAATCATTAATTGATAAAAAAACTCCACAACAAAACTAAAACTTAGAACATATTATATAATGATGTTGTGATGACTTTTGCATAGAATATATTTCACTTTGTTAAATTTGGGTATGAACTAAACTCATATATTAAGCTTTTTAATGTAATATAATTAAATGAGTAATATCCCTGAAAATTTCTTATCAACAGGATAAATAAATAAATACTGCCTCTAGTAACCACTCTACTATGATTTAACACCACAGACCTGATAACACACAGGTCAGATAGTAAATTCTGCTACAGTCCAGACTGTTCCATGCGATTTATTTGGGGGGAAGCAACAGTTACTTTGTACATTTTATATGATGAGTCTGTTAAGAAGGACTTTGCAAAGTTTTTTTAAAGATATTTATTATGAATTTTGGATTCTTTTTCCATTTATTTTCTGTAATTTTATATAATTGTGAAAATAAAACGATGGGTTGGATTATCCCTGTTTACCATCATATCATGGACTTGTCCATAATTTGAAATCTAGGAAATATGGGTCAGCAGAAGCTTAGACAGTGGAAATAAAGCAAATAACAAAGGATTTTATTGATAGTTAAAAATTGTGGTGATAATATATAAGCAATTTTTGAGATAATATTTTGTTTAAAGTGTAAGGATGGAATATTTTTGAATTTTTCAAAGAAAAAAAAAAAAGACTTAGCCTTGTGAATGAAAATGACAATAATCTGGATATGCTCAGTTGTAAATGAATTTTGAATGCTACATTATGACCTTGGATAAGAAGATAAATACCAATATCATATAAATTCAGGTAAGTAACTTTTGGATACATTTAAACAATAAAAATATATTTCAAATAAATTAAATAATTTTGCATTAAGTTTGAGAGTAAATTTGTAACACTAAGTTTGGTTGTAATGAATTATAGTTTAAATGCATGTATAATTATAACTGGATACAATGACAAGAAACAATAATATAAGATATTAGTGGTGGCAGTGTTTTACTGATGACTGTTTGTGTTTCAGGATATGTCTCAAGCTGGTGTAAAAAGAATGGGAGGGGAGGAGTCACGGACAAGGATATTAACGATACCATAAGTTAAAGCAGATCAGTTATGCTTGGAATAAAAATGAAAACAACTGGCTAAACAAAAAACATTTACAGTGAAGTAAAATGAAATAATTTGCCATGGATTAAAACAATACAATAGCAGTGCAATAAAAATATAACTCGTGTTTCTGTTTTTTGTGTGACTCTTTTACGTACTGTACATGCACCCTAATGTAGAAAACATTATGGTAAAGCTCACAAAAATAACTTAAAAGCTTTGTAAAAATTTATTGTGATCACCTATTGTCTGTCTGCAATTTTGAACACATCTGCGGATGTTTCTAAATTCAAAATTTTACTATTTCACGTTTAAATGTTGAATTCTGCTTAAGCCGGTGCTAGGGGGCGTGGACGGTAGTATGCACTTGACAGTACCGTCCATGAACAGGCTCAATCAAACCGAGCCTGCAACATTTTCAATTTTGCCGTGTTGGGCTTTCTTTAGGGATTCTGTTTTTATCTATTTTTTGGATTCCAATTATTCTTATGCAGCTAAAAAATAATGTTGTATCCATCCATAATTCAGCTTTATTAGTGTACTATCACAAAACTGAATAACTTCATTTCCTTAGGCGGATTTTTTGCTAGTATTCCTAAAATAGGAAGAATTTTCTCCTGCTAGTGATTTTCTAAGTAGGTATTTTTTTCCTGGTTAAAATATTTTAGGCGGAATTTTTTCCGGCTAAGAATTTTCCTAAGGCGGAATTTTCTCCTGCTAATGCTTTCTTTAAGCTGAATTTTTTCCTGCTTAAATTTTCTAAGGAGGATTTTTTTCCTGCTACCCTAACTGTTTTCCTCCTAAGAAAATTTGCATATTTCGCAGCGTATTCCTGCTTATAGGAGGAATCTGTGATATGTAAACCTGAAATGCCTTAGACGGATTACGCCTAGTAGCTAGGCGGAATTTCTGCTTTTTTCAGGGCGGAAGTTTTCGTACGGGTGTTCATGAACGGTACTGGAAAGTGCAAGTTACTCTACGCCGCCCCCCCCCCCCTCGCATATTATTACTCTCAAATACCCGCCAGGGAAAAGATGAACTATTGAATCCAATTGAAAGCTTTTCTTAATTCCTCCAATGAAGTTAACAACAAACTTGAAACAAAATGCTCAAAATCATATACAGGAGCTGTCAGTAGGACAGCGTGCTCGACTATTCTCAGTGCTTGATAGTTAAAAATGGGACATAATATTGTAAAAAAAGGCTGTCCATGAACAGGCTCAATCAAACCGAGCCTGCAACATTTTCAATTTTGTCGTGTCGGGCTTTATATAGGGATTCTGTATGTCTCTATTTTGATACAGTGACCTCCTCTGTACACAGGTTGAGGATATGTCGATGGAATTTTGAAATTATCTGAGGTGGTAATGTAAATTCAAAGTTGAAAAAGGGGCATAATTCTGTCAAAATGCTTGATAGACCTCCTCCAGTGTTCAAGTGGAGGGCATGATGGTAAACAAGTGTGCAAGTTTCAAAGCCATATGTCAATGGACTTTGAGATGGTACGCAAACTTTAACGCCGACGCTCGGGCGACTAGGATAGTTGTCCTTAATCGTCGAATAGTTGAGCTAAAAAGAAACTGCCCTCATAATATATATTTTCAATTCACTCAATATATATTTATTTATATTTATATAATATTTTATTCATAATTCAGATACAGTCTAGCAGAAAAGTATCTTACTGTAAACTGAATAACCTACCCATTTTAAATGTTCTAGCAAATTACATTTTACATTTTAATGTATATATTATATCCGTCATCAATAATGACAAAACTCCAAATATGGTTCAATTGTAGATTATCATATGTTAAGCCAATGCCTTAAAACAAGAGCTGCATGTCTGACAGCACGCTCGAATATTTAAAATCAACAGCCTGCATAATAAAGAAATTCTCTTATTCATAAAGTAGTATAACTCTTTGAAATAAAAACATGTTAGAGGGAAGTAACCTACAATAATGATGGTTGTGGAGATAAATCTTGTCCGAGAAATTCTGTAAGTTAATAAATAGATATTATTATTATTTCTTAATAAATGCTTAACTTATGGGTCTTGAACAGTGACCTACAAGTATAATCAAAATCACATTTGAAGACTAACAATGAATGTTTATGGCTAAGGAGAAACACACTTAACAAAAGGCTAGCATAAGGTCAACGCAAATACCGAATTGCAGGTCAGTAAATTAGTTCCTTATTGTGTGCATAAAACAAATAAAAGAGATATTTCAACATGTAGACAAATATGCAGGGCATTTTCTATGAAAGGTAAGATGTCTCATCACTAACCAATTACATAAAATTGTTAATCTTTTTAATATCACTATTATAATATAAAACAAAAAAGTATTTAATTTAAAGTTGACTCCCCGTTCGTAATACCCCACCCACTTTGTATATGAATTTAGATCAATAAAACATATTTATGGCATAGTTCACTTATTCTTACTTATACTAAATATGTGTAGATTTAGATTTAAAGCTATATTAAACGAAATCATGAATGCTATTCAGTTTAATCAAGAATAAAACTAATACGTTACACATATTCAGATATTCAGAAAAGGACACCCAGTTTGCAACATATTTTTTTCTTTTTTCGTTTAAATTAGGCGATAAAAACTAGAAAAAAAATCAATAAAGTCAAAATTTATAGCATGAGTAAGTTGAAAATAAGGAATTTTATGCAAAATTTCAATTGATTTACAAAACTGAAAAAGGAAATAAGCCAACGGAAATATACTAGAATATTTAGGGATTTGGCGGCCATCTTTGACGCCATCTTGGATATCTTAGCTTCGCATCGGGGTTGGGCCAAATGAATATCCATTCCAGAAACTACAGATCCAGACGAACATTTTGGTATATGAAACTTGCTGTTGGCTGACATAGACCACTTACCCCTCTAAATAGGCTAGTAAAATGGACTGATTTGCAGCACTATATGTCTCAAAACTAAAACATGGCTTTACCTAAAATAAAGGTTTTAATGTTAAATCACAACAATTGTAAACTTTAAGTTAACTTCAGATATTAATACTCAAATTAACTTTAAAACTATGTCTTTACATAAGAATAGGTCAAGCCATATCAATCAGTATTTCGTGCAGAAATATTGCATGTTTGTGATTACTTACTTTATAGTCCCAAACTATGACTTTTTTCTGGTCACCACCACTGACTAGTCGTTCTTCACATATATGTAGACATCTAACAATACCTAGATGACCCTGTAGAACATGCTGGCATTTTCCTACATCATATATAAATATCTGTTAATTAATTGGTAGATGCTTGCTAATTAATTGGATTCTTACCAACCCTTAGTCCCCTTAAGTAGCAAAATAGACTTTTCCTCCATTGATTTTAGAATGGCTAATTTAATTTTAAGGGATATCAATATGAAAAATACGAAACTGATAGTGAAAAGAGCCTGGTCAGATTGCATGGATATGCAGGAAGGGTTTGCTATATAGTCTGATAGCATAGAGGTGTTTGACAAAATTTCAGTGAGATATGACTGGTCAAGTCTTTATTCATGTTATTAATTCCATTGAAAATATTCGTATTAGGCATCATATTCCATTATTCTATCAATTTGTGGCATTTGGACAATCTAAAGCAATGACTATTGTGTGCTCAATAGGGTATGGTTTTACTGTTGCTTTTATTAATGTACAAATTAGGTAATGAAAGTAAAACATGTCTAAATCAGTTTTGAAAACTAGTTTTGATATGAGTTCAGGAAGAAAGCTGGTTTACCATTATAGTTCCATATCCTGACAGTACTATCTGATGATCCAGATGCTATCACATGATGGTTTGCTGCTAGACAGTACTGTAATGATATCAATACTGATTATACCTCATTTACAAGATTTAAAAAATATCTTAGCTCTTTAGGCAGCAGAAAATTTTCATGTATCATATACATGTACATGTATACCTACTAGTTATTATGAGAATTAAAAATAAAATGGATACTAACTATCATTAACCTTTTTCATGCTAGCCCAACGGCACGCTTATGCCACAAATATTGAGCATTAATTTCAATATGAACATCTGTACACATCAGCTTCTTCGTTAAAGGCCAATTATGCCTCAAACATGCTATTATTTTTATTTCTCAAAAACATTCTATTTTTGGTATCTTTTTATGGTTTCAAAAAACAACAAAAAAACAAGAAAAAAAAAACTAATTTGCCATATAGATGAACTAGCTTTACTTCTTTTGCTCTGATGGCAATTGGTATAGTTATAGTACATTAGTATTTTGTTTGGATGTCAAAATACTACTTTGTTTACATTTTGCTACCTTTACAACACATAACTGCACATTCAACATAACTTTCTTCAGCTGTTAAACATCTAACATGCTCTAATTACATTATTACAACATTATTTAACACATGTTTGACATTTTTAGTACCCAGGAATAATGTGCCTTTAAAGTATTAAGATCTTAAATAAAGGACATGTTTGACTGTACTTACCACTTCCCCTTCATGACCTTGCAGTATATGTGAACATCCTGGTGGGGAAATTTGCCAGATCCTTAAATCATTGTCTCCACTACCACTAACTATCTTCTCTCCATCAAAATAACAACATGTCACTACTGTATACATGTAATACAAAATGTAAACATATATTATAACAATATGATAATCTGAGCATTATAATAACAGAGCAGTGGTAACCAAATGAAGCCAAGCAAGTATGTACAGCTATGTGTGAACACATTCTATACCGACTACTCAATTTTTATAGTTTGACCCTTCAATTAACTAAAACACAACTCTCAGTTCACAAATGTATACCATTAACCTTGATAAAAAATAGAGTTTTGTAAACAGTTCTGCCTTATCATTTTTCCAAAGCTGAAATAACAGGTTTCTTGCCATCTTCTTTTATTGGTTATCAACAGGTTTGTAAACAGTTGACTCAAAAAATAAGTACTTCCGAGTTCTGACTGTTTAGAAATTAGGAATTCCTATTAAGCTTAAAACAATCAATTTAAAACAAACAAGAACGTGTTTGATAAACACAAATGCCCCCGGCTCCGATTCTTGTCAGTAGCAATATTTCAAAAAATGTTTACCCATTCACTCAGTTATGGACAGAAACATTGCCAAAAAATTGTAAACACAAGTTATATAGCTTGACAGAGTCATGGCATTTTGTAATTGTGAAATATATAAGTTGCCAAGTCATTGCTATGACTTGTGAAGTGATAAATATTCAACTTTATCAAATATATATAAATGTAAGAAATCTATACTTGGCACCCTTGACCTTGACCCACTGACACCTATAGAATATCATGCAAGTTATCTTCCTACCAAATATGAAATACACCTGTCAATAAATAAAGGCTGTATGGGTAAAAATGTTAAAATCTATTTTTAGCATTGATGACCTTGACCAAACTGACCCCTAACTCCATGCAAAGGAAGAATACCATGCAAGTTATCTTCCAACCAAATATGAAATAAATCTGTCAATAAATAAAGGCTGTATGGGCAAAAGTGTAAAAATCTATTTTTAGCACTTGTGACCTTGACCCAACTGACCCCTAACTCCATCCAAAGTAAGAATAACATGCAAGTTATCTTCCTACCAAATATAAAATATATCTGTCAATAAATAAAGGCTGTATGGGCAAAAATGTTAAAATCTACTTTTAGCACACACTGATCCCTAACTCAATCAAAAGGAAGAATACCATGCAAGTTATCTTCCTATCAAATATAAAATACACCTGTCAATAAATAAAGCCTGTATGGGCAAAAGTGTGAAAATCTATTTTTAGCACAAGTGACCTTGACCCACTGATTCCTACCCCAATCAAAAGGATGAATACCATGCAAGTTATCTTCCTACCAAATATGAAATATATCTGTCAATAAATTAAGGCTGTATGAGTTAAAGTGTAAAAATTTATTTTTAGCACTGGTGACCTTGACCCGACTGACCACTTACTCCATCAAATTTTATGTTCCTATCAATTATAAATGACATCTGTCTATAGAATATGGTTAATACACCTGTAAAAATCTATTTTTTACATTGGTGACCTTGACATTGGTGACATTGACCTTGACCCAAATGACCCCTTACTATACCCAAAGAAGGAAGACCTTCCTTGGCATGTTTGCATTAAACATGGAAGACATCAACCAAAAAATAAAGGCTGTATGAGCAAAAATCTTTAAATTTATTTTCTAAACCAGTGACCTTGACTCTGACCCTAGAGACTACTTACTCCACAAAAAACTAGAACTATCATTAAATGTGATTAATACCCCCACAAGACTGCTTCGGAAATGAGGATGTTATTAGTAACAGAATACCTTGTAAAAGAATTGAAATATAGAGTTATGGTTGTGGGCAATTAAAGATAGTTGTGGTTCTTATATGTTGCATTTCCTTTCAATGTGGTTGGCCATTGATGAAGTTTAATTGAATTACTCTGTAATAAGTCCAGAAAAAACAAAGAAAAGGAACAAAGGGCAATAACTCTATAAATACTGAAGATGGAGTTATAGTTCTTGTGCACTGCACTTCCTCTTATTGTGCTTGACCATTGTATGAAGTTGTTTTGAATTCCAACCAGTATGTTTTAAGTTATGCTCCTGACAAGGAAAAGTATCAAAGGGCAGTAACTGTATTTTGTCAAAATGGAGTTATGGCTCTTGTGCACTGCACTTCCTTTTAATGTCCTTGACAACTGTATGAAGTTGTATTGAATTCCAAACAGTAGTTTTCAAGTTATGCTCTGGACAAGGAAAAGTAACAAAGGGCAATAACTCTGTAATTAGTCAAGATAGAGTTATGGTTCTTATGCACTGCACTTCCTCTCAATGTGCTTGACCATTGTATGTAGTTATATTGAATTCAAACTATTAGTCTTCAAGTTATGGTCCGGACAAAAAAAGCAATGGAAAAGCAACAAAGGGCAATAACTCTGTAATTACTTTAGATAGAGTTATGGTTCTTGTGCACTGCACATCCCCTTATTGTGTTTGACAATTGTATGAAGTTGTTTTGAATTCCAACCAGTAGTTTTCAAGTTATGCCCCGAACAAGGAAAAGTAACAAAGGGCAATAACTCTGTAATTAGTCAAGATAGAGTTATGGTTCTTATGCACTGCACTTCCTCTCAATGTGCTTGACCATTGTATGTAGTTATATTGAATTCCAACCATAAGTCTTCAAGTTATGGTCTGGACAAAAAACCAATGGAAAAGTAACAAAGGGCAATAACTCTGTAATTACTTTGGATAGAGTTATGGTTCTTGTGCACTGCACTTCCCCTTATTGTGTTTGACAATTGTACGAAGTTGTTTTGAATTCCAACCAGTTGTTTTCAAGTTATGCCCGGACAAGGAAAAGTAACAAAGGGCAATAACTCTGTAATTAGTCAAGATAGAGTTATGGTTCTTATGCACTGCACTTCCTCTCAATGTGCTTGACCATTGTATGTAGTTATATTGAATTCAAACTATTAGTCTTCAAGTTATGGTCCGGACAAAAAAAGCAATGGAAAAGCAACAAAGGGCAATAACTCTGTAATTACTTTAGATAGAGTTATGGTTCTTGTGCACTGCACTTCCACTTATTGTGTTTGACAATTATATAAAGTTGCTTTGAATTCCAACCAGTAGTTTTCAAGTTATGCCCCAGACAAGGAAAAGTAACAAAGGGCAATAACTCTGTAATTAGTCAAGATAGAGTTATGGTTCTTGTGCACTGCACTTCCTCTCAATGTGCTTGACCATTGTATGTAGTTATATTGAATTCCAACCATTAGTCTTCAAGTTATGCTCCGGACAAGGAAAATGCAACGGACGTCTGGACCGACCGACCGACCAACCGACCACCGGGTGACTCCTATATACCCCCCCCAAACTTCATTTTTGGGGGTATAATTAGAGGACCATTAAAGGTATCCACCTACCAAATATGCAAGATATCATTAAATAAATTAAGCAATTAAGAGAAATTTACGATAAATCCAACTTGCCGCAATAGGTTAACCAGACAAGGCCCTCTTTTCAAAGTGAAAAAAGGGAAATAACTAGGAAATATGGATGACAGTTATATAACTTGGCAATATCATGTACTTTGTAGTGATAAGTAAGTGTGGAAATTATGAAGCCATTAGTATAGATAGAACTTAAGATATTTCCAACTTGCCGTTTTAGGTTAACCATTATTCATTTTCTAAGTGCTGAAAAGGGCAATAACTTGGTAAATATGGAAGCCATAGTTATGTAACTTGACCAGATCATGTACTTTGTATTGATTAGTAAGTGTGTAAACTAAGAAGCCATTGGTACAGGTAGAACTTAAGAAAAATCCAACTTGCCGTTCTAGGTTAACCTCGTACGGACAGACGGATGGACAGAAGGACAGATGGACGGACGGTACAATTACTATATGCCCCGGGCATAAAAAGTATAAAAAGGTACATGTTTTAAAAAATTAAGACAGACAAATAACTTTTTGGTACATTGACCACACACAAAAACAATACCTTCATTATGTCCACTATACATATGAAACTGTTCAGCATGCTCTATATCCCACAGTATTAGTGTTTTATCCCAGGATCCTGTCACAACATGTGTACCATGGCTATACATACACTAGAGTAACAACAACAATACATGCAATAACAACAACAACAACACAAACATGTCCAAAGGTTTATCCTGTAAATTTAGACACAATCCTTCAAAAGAGTGTAAGTTAAGAATGATGTTAGAAACGGCAATAACTAGTTCTTTGATGTGCAATGTATGAAATACAGGACCTTATGTTTAAAGTCTGATAGCTTTTTAATATTGGTCAAAGGGCATTGTTTATACTTAAACACTGAGTTACCTTTGGGCAACATTATCTGCTATCAAGACACAAAATGTTAAACAAAAATTATTTAAAAATTTCATCCTCTATTTACAACCAATTCACTGACTCTGTCCTTACATAAAAACTATGTTTAAAATAAAAACTCAAGACTAGGCATCAATCTAGGGAATACAGGTTTGGGATCATTAATTTTGAATTACAATGTACATTATTCAAAATTTATGTTTAACCATGTGTCTGGTCTATAAGACAGATCCATAGCAAACAAGTCACATCTAAATAAAATATCACATCAACCTTACTGATAAATAATGTATCATTACCAATATCAACATCAGATTATGTGTACCAGTTTGGTGTTTTTTTTGTGCCCCCACATTAGTGGCGGGCATTTAGATTTACCCTTGTCCGTCCGTCCGTCCGTTCTCTTTGTGTCGCACGTAACTCAAAAAGTATTTGACCTAGAGTCATGAAACTTTACAGGAATGTTGATCAGCATGTGAAGTTGTGCACCTGGGTATTTTTGTCTGTATATTTTTAGTATTTTTAGAGTTATTGCCCTTGACTTAGTAAAATTTTGCAATTTTCAACTTGTGTCGCATGTACCTCTAAAAGGATTTGACATAGAATCATGAAACTTTACAGGAATATTGATCAGCATCTGTTGTTGTGCACCTGGGTATATTCGTCTGGATATATTTAGTATTTTTAGAGTTATTTCCCTTGCAATTTTCAACTTGTGTCGCATGTAACTCAAAAAGGATTTGTCATAGAGTCATTAAACCTTACGGGAATGTTGCTCAGCATATTTAGTTTTACACCTGGGGTTTCGCTTGTGGATTTATCAGTATTTGTAGAGTTTTTTCCCTTGACTTAGTAAAAACTGTTTCATTATGTTGTTATTTGTTCCTTGAGTGCTTGAGTTAGAATCGACCAACTTTACAGGAATAATGATCAACATCACTAAATTACAGGAATAATGATTCACATCACTGTGAAGCTATGAACCTGGGACTTTGCATGTGGATTTTTTTTCAGTTTTGTTAGAGTTATTGCCCTTGACTTACAGTAGTAATAAATTTGCAATTTTTCAACTTGGGGTTTGCTTGGGGATTTATTCAGTATTTGTAAAGTTCTTGCCCTTTACTTAGTAAAAAGATTTTTAGTTTTCAAAAAATATTTGACCTAGAGTCATAAGATTGACAGAACAGTGGCGCGGTGGGGGCACCCGTGTCCTATGGACACATTTCTAGTTTAAATATCATTTACTTCTTTTATCCTGTCATAAGGAAAGGGATTCTGGTAATTTTGAAATTTCAACATGTTATAAGGGGCTTTTTGTCTGCAACTGATCATAAACAATTATAAAACTTTGTAAGAATCATCATGATTTTTTTTTCAATTTACTGTGTCTCTTCATTTTAATATACATGTATTTACAAATTTTACAATATTAATGATAAGATCTTGGTAGTGATACATGTTTAAAATTATTTTAAAAAATTGACTTAAAACAAGATAATGAACAATCTTAACAAGCAAATCCTTACAGTAACACATCTAAAATTATCACATCACCTCTAACAGGAAACTACAGAAAAGCAAAAGTACTCTTTTCAAAAGCTATAAACTTTTTCAAATGAAGATCAATCAAAATAAAGCATGTTATACCTCAATATCATCTGTATGACCTCTGAATATGTTGACAAGTCTTCTGTCTGGGAGATACCACATTCGCAATGTTCTATATAAAAAATAACACTTATTCTGTATCATTACTAGGCCTTAAATGGCATATATTTGTATCTTGATGAAAATCATAACTTAATTAAAAGAATGATATATAAAGTGCTATGAGCTTGTAACAAAGCATTCCTTTAAATACTATCACTTTACAAACAATTAATAACATAGCAATTGAATATATATTTAGTTAGGAACATATTTCACATATTCTGTTATTTTGTAAACATATAATCCAAGTGTGTTAAATAATTGAGAAAACAATGTGATTTTACATTATTTTTGGTAATTTTAAAGTAAATTTTGACAATTATAATTTTATACTCTTAAAAGAACTTTTTGATGGTTTATTACTATCCTGGACAGAATTCTATTTGAGACAGATTTTATTACATATATTTATGCTTGTCTGTTTTTGTTTTTTTTCTTTATATTTTTCATATTTCATTATTTATTTGTATTTCTAGAGACTACTTTGTCAAATAAAGCTCTAATGTTAAAGGCAAGAACATTTGTACCAACCTGTCTGTTGCTGCAGAAACTAGAACTTTACCAACAAGTGTCATGTGATCAACGCTGCCACTGTGTCCTTGCAGGGAAAATAACAGGGTGAAATTTGTAGAGTCTATCACACGTATAGAACTGTCAGCACAACCTGTGATTAGTGTGTTCCCCTAAAATATACATGTACACATATTATTGTGTTTTTTGACACTGGACAGGAAATAAATTCACAAAATCAAATTTAATACATACTGGGATCCTACATATTAAAATATGATGTTTTTTCGCTGTACCTTTTATTTAAAACAATAAAAAAGAATGGAATTTTACCCAAATAATATTGGGTTCATAATGCAAGTAAACATTACTTTAACAAACATGAAATTAAACATTTGACCGTAGAGATGTGTCTTTAAAGTAGGGCATTATAAGAGAGACAAAATCGAGGAAACTACGACTATTGAAAGACAAGGTTAAGATATTGCAAAAAAAAACAATATGTCTCTAAAACTAGACACGGCAGCTACGCAATTTACGAAAAGGTCAATGTATGGGATGTAATTAAAATTAACACTATTAACTCAATTAACGTATTGGTTCTTCATGAATCTTAAACATATGAAACAATTTGATGTTCAAATGGAATTCTGTTATTTGTCATATAGTTTCCTTTTGGTCATCATGTAGCATGTTACAAAAGCCATAAAATCTATCTGATTTAAATTTCATGTAGAGTTTCCTCCCATGTGCGTAACCCGTTTCCTTATATGGCTTTTAATTTGCATTTCTTTGTAAACGACAACAACGAGATACTGTTTGGACTAAATTTAAATTTTTTTAATCATTAAAATATGTTACGATTGTCTCCTGAAATAACGGTGAGAAGAATTAAAAGTAAAACCTATCTAAAATAACCCATTAAGGGTCTCCATATTCAGGCCTGCGCAGAACAGATTATTCCCCCGCATGACCATGTCATGAAATAACTAGTAAACAAAAGGGCATGTTTGTAGATAAAGAACTGAATCAACAATATTTACATGAGAGTGGTTTTGTTGTTATTTACTTTGAAATAAAAAGTGTGTGTACGATTTAGACTGTATGATTTTTGAATCAAAGCCAAAAAAACAACACTTTTTGACAGGAATAGCTTTTGTCCGGTAAACTGATTGTCCGGTAATTTGTAGGACCCCAGTATGGTAACATTATTAGTGCAGTGGGCTTTCATAAAAGGTTTCGACAAAGTTTTATGCTGTCCTCTATTTGCATTACAAATAGATTACTAACAAAAGAATAATTATATACGTATACATACATAATGATAATAAAGTCCTGTCTTGATTTCAAAATCATAACAAAATGCAAAAAAAAATATTTTTAAAAAATATAAAAATTAATGACATAACTTTTACCAGAATAAAGTATGAAAATTAATAGTGTGTTAATATGTTTTTAAAAAATGGTTGCATACTTTCCAAATAATCTTTGTAATAGTGTCAAGGTGTCCATCTAATTTCTTGATACATGTAGCTTGTGCCATGTCCCACATTCTTAATGACTTGTCTTCACTCCCAGAAACTATATACTTTCCTGGTATAACATATAAATAAACAGGGATTATAAGCATTTAGATTTGTTGTCAAAATATATCATTTTCAACATACCTAACATTTTTAAAGACTAATGACTATTAATTAACTCTTACCAATAACACTGATTTAAAGGTACATAAAAGTGTTGCATTAATGATATAAGTATAGAGAGTTTCTCACCATTACATGCTAATGCTGTAACTTTTTCTGCATGTCCTTTCAGCAATGGTGAAACTGAATAACGACCTTTTCTCCAGTTTTTATTTAAATGATGAACTCTAATAAAAATGTTTTTCCACTTACAAATTGGGGATAATCTGGTCTCTTCTGGAACTGGAAAGAACAACTTTCAGTTACATGCATGAAATATTGGTTCATTATATTAAAAACATGGTACATGTACTAAACTGAAAATAAAATATAAATATCTAACCTATTAAATCCATGTGCTGATTGCTGGGTTTAAAGAAACACACTAAACAAATCAGATTTTAAGCATCATAAACAGTTTTTTGTCAAACAGTTACAAAAACTTTGTGACAGGTGACCAATATCTTAAGTAATAATACTAGCTGGCAGTATGAAGCCTTTAAAACAAATACAAATAAATAAAGAAAATTTAACAATTAATAAACTCAATATTGATGCAATATCACAATGAATAAATTTCACAAAGGACAAAATTGCAAATTTAGAAACACATATATACAAAAGCTTAACCATTTCCTTAAAAGTATAATTTTTTTAAGGAATATATACATGTATAGTGAAAGAAAAAGACTGAAAAATGAACAAAATGTTATCTGTAAATAATTTGATTTAATTACTTTAAAGAAATAACAAATGTTTCTGGAGAAACTTGTCCTTTCAGATAACAATATTTTCATACCATATAATTGGAAAACTGGAGAATTTCCACCAATATTTGACATCTTTACATTAAGATGAGTTTCTCTGTTGATGTCGCCATTTAGACCAAATCTTAGCCATCCTCTTCTCATACAATGATGCAACCTGTAAAATATTTACAAAATATGTAAGTGCAATGACTTTTAAATTTTAAAGTAGGTTTACATAAAAAGACATGCATCCACAACATATAAAAATACAAAAAATATTTTGGAATTAACAAGCGTACATTTGGCGACTTCTATTTGTTCCATCTTGTAATGTGTCAAATTTGCAGGACCTCTTTTTGTACAATTGGGGTCCTGCCTCTTATTTGGAAGAAGTAATTATTCCATTTAATTAGAAGATAAAAAAATGAGCACATTAAATAGGTTTGTGTGAAAGGCATTTACCATAATGTGTCTTTATTTGTTATTTCTCTCCATTTAGCACAACATTTTGAGAAAGTCACAAGTTCTTTTTCTGTTAAATATGATAAGATTTTGTCTAATAATTCTGGCAGTAGGTGTTCTGTGAAATCCATCACAACAATTTCATGCCTTCAGTTCATCTATTAACACTTATTCCTGGTATATGAATGCTTAATGATAAGATTCTGAAAAAAAATAATACATTTCTAAATTAGTAATATTGATTTACCTCAGAAGCATGAAATTGTATCAAATGACTGATATTAACAATAATTTTGTTTGTTTGTTTTGGGTTTTACGTCACATCGACACAGTATAGGTCATATCGCGACGTTCCAGCTTTATACTGGTGGAGGAAGACCTCAGGTGCCCTTCCGTGCATTATTTCAGGCACGAACGGGCACCTGAGTAGAACCACCGACGTTCCGTAAGCTAGCTGGACAGCTTCCTCACATGAAAGAATCCAAAGTCCCTGTCGGGATTCGAACCCACAGCGGTGAGGGGAGTGGTTTGAAGTCAACGACTTTAACCACTTGGCCACGGACGCCCATTAACAATAATACCAAAACTATTTCTATAAGGTACAAAATAAATACTTCATGTTTATAAGGGTATTTAAGATATTAATATTCTATAGAATTATAAAATTTCAAGTCTGTCTATGGTTCAACCTCTTCATTAAAGATTTAGCATCATTGTTTTAAAAACAAGTTGTCATTTAAGGCTGCCAGCAATTTCAACAATCAATAATGGCTACATGTTAATTAAATCCCAATCAATCAATTCAATCAGACTAAAACTTTTATTAATGGAATAAGAGTTTTTATAATAAGTGGATCAATACTGGCCCATAAACACTGCCTATATTAACTATTTCTAAAATTCTTACACCAATGAAGAAGCTTGTGATCTTAGTATTCCCTAGACTCCAAAGGTACTTATATTAACTGTTAATTGGCCTTCCACCACATGTCAGCCATTTTACATACTATTTATAAAGACAGATATATCCCAGCAAACACAAGACGTCATACTGACGTCAGATTTAAGTCAGGTTCTGACGTCGGATGACGGTCGGAAAAACGGTTGGATTTGAAAGTTTTTTTGACGTAATAATCTGACGTCGGGTAGACGTCAGAATCTAACCATTATTTAACCTTTTTCTGACCAAAATCTGACCATTATCTAACCTTTTTCCGACCTCAATCTGACCATTATTCGACCTCAATCTGACCATTTTCCGACCTAAATCTAACCAGTTTCTAACCATTTTCCGACCTCAATCTGACCATTTTCCGACCTAAATATTAACCCTTTTCTGCTCTAAATCTGATCATTTTCTGACCAACATCTTATCATTCCCCTAATCCTTTTTGTTTCACCACGTCATAAATATTTTTGGCTAATCCTGATTTTATCTAATGATTTAATGTAACTCATTCTATTAAGTAACTTTCCCTCAAATGAAATGTATAACAGAAAACTAAAAGCAAAAATGTGTTTCATGCTTTTTTAATTTAAGATAAAAGTTGCAATTTTAAGCTGATACATACAATTTTAGTAAATTCTGCACGGTTAAATAATTTTAATAAATTAAACAAAATAAAACATAAAATAAGTTAATTACAAAACAAAAAGTATTACAAAAACAATGACATAAATGAAACTAAGAAAACATGTACAAATATTAAAGAACAAAACAATGTATGCACATTTCTATCAAAGTTTGCCTTAGTTAGCAAATAAAACAATGAAAATATTATAATTTTAAGAAAAGTTAAAAGATTCTGATGATAATGTTTCAAGCAATTTATGACAGATTTTCAGTACTTTAACTATATTTCTACAGCATTTCTAAAACATTTAGTGCCATTTTACATATTTTGACCTTCTCTGATAATTGTCAGTAATGTATAAATTACTGCCTTTTAGTTACTTCACAGAGTTATACTTTTAGATATCCATGAGAATTAGCACGAATTTTGAGGTGTGATGCTTTAAGATATGACCTTCTTTCAGCACCCCTCGTCTGTCCGGAGGATATGTAGCGTTTGTAGCGCCCAATAGCTTGTGTGACATCATTTTCACTGAAAAAAAAAGAAATTTATGAAACATGTAAAAATAACAAGCAAAAATGTTTTCATGGTTATCTTAACTTAATGAACAATTTTGCCAACTTTTTATAAGAGAGCTTTAACAAAAATTAAAAGTAAACATAAATACTGAACATTTAAAAAGCCGCTTTTAAACTCCAGTTTAGTACGGATTAAAGTATGTAATAGAATTAACAAAAATCTTACTTTCATATGTTTCTTTTTACATATTCACGTGTTTCCGTCCCTCCGACCTTTGAGAGCATGTCCAACACTTTAACTACCTGAAAAGAAAATTATATTCTAACTTATGTATATATTCTACGTTTGAAATAGAACAGTTACGCAAGTCTTAAATATTTCATAGTTTTAAATTAAAGATTTAATGCCGAAATGTCTGGAACCAAAACGTCTTGCGTTATTTGGGACCGGAACGTTTTGGGTTATTTGGGACCGAAACGTATTGGTCCGAAATGCTCGAAATCGTACAAATTCATTCTCAATTCTCAGATTTTAACTGACAAAAACATCACAGTTTAAGAAAAATATGAAAACTAAGCATTCTCTTTGGTAGTACGGAAAGGCATATTATAAACTCTTCACAAGCAGAGTTAAAACATGTCAATTTTAAAAATATTTATTATTAGACATTATCGCGAATTTGTGTGACATTTTACTTCAGCTGTTCAAATAATGATAATTAAATTTAAGAGTGCTTGCAATCATGCAATTATTTATCAAATACAAAGTAGAAATAAATCTAAATAAATTGAACTGACCTTTTTGTTCAAGAAAATCTATAATATTCACTTATCAATGCATCCCGATTCCTGACCGACAGCCAAAACGTAACGCCTACGAATTTGAATTTCCATCCACGTGACTTTAGATTCGAATTAAAGGTTAATTATGTTTTCTTTCCCTTTTCTGTCACTATGATTAAATGTTAAAGCACTATTAAAAACTCGTAATTTTGATACATATAATGTACCACAAATGATAATATTACAACGTTAAATGATTGGAACTTGTAAACAGATCTGTGGCTATAAATAGATTTCATAACAATAACACATGTAACTTGCGTATATACAGCGCCACCTATATGTTTTATTAGGTTGCAGCGCCGCGATCTTGGTCTGTATTTATATAAGAACACTTCATTTGTAATCCAAATAACATTTGAAAAAAAGTTTAAATGATTACAACAGCGAATAAGGATTATTTTTTGTTATTTTTTTTACCTACCGTCAGGACACCGACCATAACCTGACGTTAGTACGACGTCAAAAAGAAACGTCTATTAGACATCGGTATTTTAACGTCAGATTTACGTCGTATTTTGGTCGCCGACGTCGTGACCAAAATCTAACATTAATCCGACGTTATTTTAACGTCATGTGTTTGCTGGGATATGCCTTCGAATATATTTACTAAAAAAACAACAAAAAAAAACAACAAAAAAACTGATATGTATCACATGTATAGCCTGTCATCTGCTAGTCAAATATATTAGACGTTACAGGCTTGTTATTGTTTATGTCGGTCAAGCCTGACTTTGCTTTGCCCAGAAGCAAAAATATCTCAAAGCAACGTCATATTTACAGGACTAGTCATCTGCTAGTTCTGAAAATGTTTATCGATGTATTGTAACCTGGCTGCCACTTCCAAGACCGGCAGTGCTGGATAAAGGGGAAACAAAGTTTTTATTTTTTATCTTTCCCCACTGCTGGGTCAATGTGGTTTATACTTAATCATTAAGTTCATGTTTAATTGGCTCTTTGCAATGAGATGACACTTTGCCCTGTCAGTTTAATCAAGTTGCAAATAGCTATCATATTTACATGAATAAGTTTTAAATCAGGGCTATAGCTAAATTTGCCGAAAAAAATCTAAATATATAAAATAGTTATGATCAATCACTAATCACTCAGTCGATAGACGCATGCAACGCAAATATCATCACCAATCACCATCATCTTCAGTAATAGCCTCACTCTTCATAGAGCATAATCGCAATCAGTTTGAATTGAATAGGTGTATATATTCATCTAAATAAAATATCCAAAAACTGTGCAATGATAAAAGAAACAAGAGCATACTGTACATAAGATAAAATTAAGTAACTAATGACGCCTTACATATTCATTCAATCTGTTACAGCAAACGCTTTTACAACTCTGTATAAAATGCAAGCGCGATCTGATATTGACGAGAATACTCTTCACAAAAGAGAACCAGGAAATAAAAAAGTGATCTCCCCTATTTGTTTATAGTTATCATATGATTTGACATGAAAAATGTCATCAGAGAAGTTTGAAAATTTAGAAGATGATTTGTCTTCAGCTATAGATAAACTTCGCCCACATGTTGATAGTATTTCCAGTTATACAGGAGGTAAGATCTTACTGCATGGGCCATTCTTGTCACTATATCAATTTTTATTTTCAATTTAGAAATCTACATTAGAGATTATCTGATTCTACGGTGGCACAAAGGTGACAAGTGTGTGTTTTTATTTATCTCGTGTGCACTAGATTCTATGTCGTGGCCACAAGTTCAAGTTACACTGTCGTGGCCATGAGATAATTAAGTCATGAGCAGTAGATAAATAAGTTGTGGGATCGTGGGAACGAGATACAATGTCGTGGCCACGAGTTACTCAGTTGTAGGCACAAGATAATAAGTCGTGGGAACGAGATACTATGTCATGGCCTTGAGATACTATGTTGTGGTCACACGGTACTATGACTTGGCCAAGATCTTGCAAGAGTTACTAAGTTGTGGGCACGAGATAATTAAGTCAAGGAAATATTCTGGCCATGACTTAGTAACTCGTGGCCACAATATAGTTTTCCATGCGCAAAAGATAAATAAAAACACACACATGTCACTCAATTGTGCCATCGTTTGATTCAGTATCAATACTATCATATTTAGTTACAAAAGTATAGATTTAATTGATATTACTTGTTTTTTTGAAAAAAGAAGTAGAGGTATTGTTATAGTCGGGTCGGCGTTGCCGTTCCCGTCCGCAAACTTGTACGGGATCATATCTTTTTTAGTTCTTGGTGTATTGTCTTCATACTTAGCCACAACAACCCTTGGGACAAGAACTTTCAGTAGACCTCACTAACCATGACCTTTATTAATAAATGACCTTGACCTTCAAGGTCAAAAGTCCAAATTTTTCTTGTTCTTGCTATTATTGGCTGTAACTTTTTATTTTTTAATGCATTGTCTTCAAACTTGAACATTAGAATCTTCAAGGATAACCCTTTAAGATAAAAAGACAGACCTTGACTTACCTTGACTTTGAAGGTCAAATTATTGAAATTTTCATTTTGTTTGGCTATTTTTGGCTGTTACTTTGTTATTTTTTAATGGATTGTCTTCAATCTTAAACATTACAATCTTTAAGGATAGCCCTTTAAAATTACCAGACAGACCTTGACCTTCACTCATAAATGACCTTGACTTTGAAGGTCAAATTATTGAAATTTTCATTTTTTTCTTTGGCTATTATTGGCTGTAACTTTGTTATTTTTGAATGGATTGTCTTGAAACTTGAACATAATAATCTTCAAAGATAACTGTTAAAAATATACCGAAAGACCTTGACCTTCACTCATTAATGACATTGTCTTTGAAGGTCAAATTATTGAAATTTTCATTGTTTTGGCGGTAACTGACTGTAACTTTGCTATTATTGAAGGGATCAACTTCATATTATAACAGAACATTCTTAAGGACCAGACCTTGTTGTTTATCAAACCCAAATTTGCTTGGGCTCTTTAATGACCTTGACCTTGAAGGTTAAATTACTGAATTTTCTCAGATTTGTGCATTAAATGACCATAATTATATATTTATTGGTGTGTGTGTGTGTGTGTATATATATATATTTACAACAACAACAACAAGAATTGCATAATGTTTCTATTTATAGAATTGCGTAATTGTTTCTATTTATAGAAATTGCGTCATTGTTGCTATTTATAGAAATTGCGTCATTGTTTCTATTTTTAGAAATTGCGTCATGTTGCTATTTTTAGAAATTGCGTAATGTTGCTATTTTTAGAAATTGCGTAATGTTTCTATTCATATATATATACAAAATATATAAACAAAACTAATGTGACAAGACAGACCAACTAAATTTATAAAAAGGAAACGTTAAGATATGTTCAAACCTTTCTATGTTTGCGTTTAGAAAAAGTAAAAAGTCGAGCGTTGCCCCCGCCCGGCGGTGGCTCTTGTTTCATTCTTTGTAAATAGGATAAATCTTCAGTCCCTTAAAACATGTCTGTTCCATTCGGTGGACATAATTATTTATTGCACAAAAAAAAAAGCTGAAAGTAAACAGATAATTATGAAAACCGGCAAAACCTGTGCATTTGTTATTTTATATTTTTCGTTTTAAGGTGTCATTCAGTATTTCATGCATGATTTCCATTTTCAATTGTAACACCTCAACAATTATTCTTTAGTTGAAAAGTTGTGTCTTCGCAGACTTTCATTGAGTTACATTAAAAAAATATACACATGTAGTCAATAGCCGGGGAGCCAAAGCCCTTCGGCCCAGGCTCTGACATCCCGATATTTTTTATCAGTTATCATCTTGGAGGATTTTGGAAAAGTGAAAGAGGTTAAGTAAAGGTTTGGCAAACTAATTCTTTATATAGCAAATCAAAGTGAATAAAGAAAGTAATATTTTGATGATAAAACCACTTTATGTCTATGTCTGTATCAGCTAAATGTGATGCGTTTAATTTTGTGTCAAGTGCCACAAATGACTATATAATATATAGTGACAAAACCATTTACACACCTGTTCACAGAACAGGTACTTCACAGAAACCATTCTAATTCTTTTGCAATTATGAAAAAGTCGATAAAGAGACTAAGAAGTTATTTCGTCACAAGTAGAAGTGATTTAATGAGTTCATGACAACAGTATTTCAAAAACATTATGTTGTAAAATATCATTTTCATTTGTTTTCAGAGCAAAAGAAAAATGCCGTACGCCAAGCAGAGAAGAAACTTGAAGAGGCTAATTTCATTGTAAGTTTATTTATAAACTTTTAGTGTTAAAAATCATTTAAAAATGTGCGATCTTTATATAAGGAAATCTTATCATATCAGGATTTTTTGGCTTATATTATAGCTGATATTCAGTCATATTCCCAACTGAATATAGTGTATTATTTTCCCAATCCACAGGAAAAAATTCCCAATTGAAAGTAATAAAATAAAAATATTGAATAACAAGTTCAAAAATCTTTGAAAGTAAGAGCTTCCTCACTGTTATGGTGCTCAAATGTTTGAAGATGCCATCCTAGACAGTGATTCTTTACATTAATGTAATTACTGCAAAATTTAAATCATGCATTTTTTCCTAATTTTTATCAAAACATCGCTGAAATTCTCAATGCCTGCATACAAATGTTTCAGTGAAGCATACAGTATGGGATCTCCTATCACACTTGATATTTCTTATGGCACCATTAATTTGCTTATGTTTTACAGGTGTGTTGGTACTTGTCACAAACCCCAGCCTTTGGTGTGATTCTAAGTCTAATGATTTTGGTCACAGTCAGTCTCACTTAGGAAAGACAAATCTTTTTTTCCCCCTTTAGTCCATAATTTTAGCTTTGTCAAAAGCAAGCACTATTCATGATTTATTTGAAATGTTAACACATTAATACAGAATATAAGTTATGCTGTTGAAAGAAAGAAAAAATTTGAAAGAGAAAAAAAAACAAGAGAGAAGAAAAAATTCAAAACCTTTTTGTGACTATTTTTTATCCTAATTCTATCTTCATATATATGAGCCACGCCATGACAAAACCAACATAATGGGTTTGTGACCAGCAAGGATCCAGACCAGCCTGCGCATCCGCGCAGTCTGATCAGGATCCATGCTGTTCGCTTACAAACCCTAGAACAAGTAGAGAAACTGATAGCGACAGCATGGATCCTAATCAGACTGCGCGGATGTGCAGGCTGGTCTGGATCCATGCTGGTCGCAAATGCATTACGTTGGTTTTGTCATGACACGGCTCATATATATTTTGTACTAAAAAGTGCCTCATGTCAATATTAATCATTGGTCTGTTGACTGCAACAGATTCTTACCAGTTAATTTTTTTTGAAAATTTTTGTAAAACTGATTAATGATTTTGTCCAGATTGAAAAACGGCCAAGTCCAGTTATGATATTTAGCATGGAATATGTTAAAAAACCATGTTTACATACATGATTTTGAAATTTTAAGCTGATATACATTGTATATTAGTAGTATGAAAGATTACACTGATATTCTTTTTATAGATCCAGGAATTGGAAAATGAAGCAAAAGCTGCTCCAATCCAGTACAGAACACAGATGTTGAGTCGCCTTAGAACATACAGACGTAATCTTGACCAACTTTCAAAAGATGTGGTTTGTACAATATTACATACTATTTTGTAATGTAGATTATTTTGTGTAGCACTTCTTGATATATGATGATTGAAGATTTTTGAGAAAAAATACTTAACACACGAATACTGGTATGCATTGAAAAACTTAGGTTTATTGTTTGTTATGACATAAAGGAATGTATCAGTCATAAAGTACTGATATTAAATGTTTGAATGAAAACAGGATTAATTACTGGTCTAATCTACTAATATAGAACTAGGCAAGCTTTCATAATGCCATGCATGCAGTTAAATAATCTAAATTCACAATGGACATTTTCAAATAAAAAGCTGTTGTATTGACTAACACTGCATTTCAGTTCAGGGTGGTAAAAGATAATTAAGTGAATGAATAAATACATGAAGAATGTCAAATGGTTACCAAGATATATTTATCAACATCATTGATATGGCTCTCCATGTTTTATGTTTTTGTGAATATCATGTGGACTCTATTGATGATTTAAATAAAAAAATATTACACATGTTTATTGGAAGAGATGGCATAAAAGCATTTAGAGTATGGACATTTATAAATTCTTATTTGTTTTCCAGAAGCGAAAGAATGAATCAGGACTTTATCAAGCTGACAATTTTGGCTTTGACAGGGATGATGTAAGAAACTTTAAACTTTGTTACATATAATTTGCTTGAATGATGTCAACTATTTGAAGTTCCAAACTAGTCAATTTCACTTGTTCTCCCTCAAAGTCTCATATTATTTAATAGAAATATATAGAGTAAAATGAGTGTCTGCCTCTCAACCCAGGGATCATGGGTTCGAGCCCTACTCGGGCAACAACCATGGTAAGTTGCAAGAACTTGTTTGGAAATCAAGCTTAAATAAATATGGTATAAAATTGTTCAGGTGATCTAGGAGAAAAGTGTTCACAGACAGGTAATTTCATCAGTACAGCTGTGGAATGGTTTTTTTAGTATCCCAGGCTTAAGTTTCTTGTTGCCTTTGGTGAATGACAAAGCATTTACAGTGTAATCAAATGGTTTGATACAGAAACTTACACCAAAGATGATCCTCATAAATGAATTTGTGTTTGGTAATTTTTGAAAATGTTGAACTTTTAATGTGTTTAACAGCCTCTCAAATATTAAAATGATGTATTTAATGGTTAAAAAATAAAAACTAAGCAACAGCCTGAACTTTTGCATGTTAGAATTTATTTCTTGTCTGTATGATGTGTCACAGTCTTTTATCAATTAATGATTTAATAACGGTACATTGGGTTACCTGTCACTGAACTTTCTTATTTAAGTTTATAAAGAAGAATAATAGAACTAATACCAGTTCATTTGTGTTGTTACAGTTTTTGTAACGTAATCATTGCGAAATACTCATAGTTTGATATATACTTTATTGATATTCTCTAAACAGAGGCTAGAGGCATCACAGAGGAATAGGTTGTTACAGGGTCACCAAGCACTGAACAGAACCAGTGAGAGTATAGCACGATCTCATCAAATTGCAGCAGAGACGGAGGATATAGGTACAGAAACACTCGTAGAGCTAGGTAGACAGAGAGAGGTTCTGACACGTACGAAAGATAGGGTATGGCATATTGTATTCTTTGATTGTAGTTGTTTTTCTTCCATGGATTTTTCCACATTCTGAAAAAAGCTTTTTATTCATTATACAGTAGAACTTCGCTAAGTTGAAGTTGAAGGGACACTCATAAAAACTTTAACAAATTGGGACTTCAAGAATCGGTCTCAGTTTAATGACAAAATTCTAGCTGTTGACATTTACAAGTTAATTACAAAAGGCGTAACATAATGAAAGGGCAATAACTAAACAAGTTTATAGTTAATATTTCTGATGTGATTATCAGTATACATGTATATCTTAACTCTCAAAATCAAAGATATCACAATAATTAATGGAGTTTAACTTATTTATGGTGAAATATTCTTGAATTATTCTTTACAGACCACATAAAAACTGCAACACATTGAAAAAATCAACACATAAAAATTCCACTTTTAAGGAAGAAATTGGGACTTTTATTTTACTTTCACACACCAAGAAAATTGACTAATCAAAGTTTGACACATAGAAGTTCTACTGTTTATCATTTGCTAAGTATATGAAAAGATGTGGTCTATATTATTAAAGAAAGTATTGATAGTTTTCATTATTTGATTAAATCTGTAATTAGTGAAATATTGCAAGCAGTGAAATACATAAATGAGCTGTGTCACGACAAAACCAACATAATGGGTTTGCGACCAGCATGGATCCAGACCAGCCTGCGCATCCGCGCAGTCTAATCAGGATCCATGCTGTTCGCTTACCAACCCTACTCGAAGTAGAGAAACTGGAAGCGAGCAGCATGGATCCTGATCAGACTGCGCAGATGCGCATGCTGGTCTGGATCCATGCTGGTCGTAAACCCTTTATGTTGGTTTTGTCGTGACGCGGCTCAAATTTTTCTTACTCATTAATATACGGATGAATAGAATTATCATTCCTCATTTCAGTTGCATGACACTGATGCAAATTTAGGCAAGAGCAGAAAAATATTGAAAACAATGGCAATGAGGTATGTTTTAAGTGTACATGTATATATAAGAGAAATGTGTTACAGATTGCTTGTTTTTTGTTTGTTTTTAAAAATACTAATTATAGCCAGTATTGCATCATATTAAGTGATGGAAAATAGTGTCCTTTTTCCACTGAACGTTTGACCAAAATTAGCATTAAGGAGTTGTACCAAAGTTTGTTATTGTTGTAAGATGTCTGAGCTGGTTTCAGTCATCAAATTCATCAAGGAATCCACACCTCACATAAATTTCCAATTTTGATGTAAATATTGCTATAAATATGAAAAATAATTTTAAGAAATTTGAGGATTTTTAAGTTTGAGGATTATCACACTGTCTGTATTTGTACTAACAAAACAAATGAATGTAGGGGCATCTGTGTCTCCTCTTGACATTATCTAGTTTAATAGTGTAGGATTATACAATGATAATCATAATGATGACAGGGGTGTAAAGGTGACATGTCCCAGCATCAGTGCAAACTATAGAAAATTCATGTTTGAAATTAAAAAAAAAAACATGTTTTAAGGTTAAAAGGATATAGAGCTCAATCTCATAAAAAAATAACTTTATAGAAGTTATAACAGTAATTAGTTTTTTCCAGAATTCTATGGTTGATCAAATGAGTTGTTATATAAAATGTCTGTGTTATTTAAGACGCATGAATATAATATACGAGGGATATCCGGAAAGTTCATATACTTCGTCATTTTTTATTGTATAACACTACATATGTTGTACAAATTTTGTCAGCTAAAATATACATATCTAACGAAGACATTTATCAAAAATTACTGAACTGTGACTTACATTTGTATTTTAACAGTAATTGCATACAACATATATACCTCATCATGGAGCACTTTGACAACGTCAACGGCGTCAAATTAACTTAATGTTTACCCGCTTTTCAATTTCTTCCGATTTCAACAGCCATGATACCTGTCTGGCGTATACTAAATGCATGTTATGTTGCTTTTACTTTATAAATTTCATATTTAAAATCATTATTTAAAAACAAAAATGTCACTGGTTCTTATATTGTGTGTGAGATGTCTGTCTTTTTCAAAGGTTTGTGTAACGCAATATACGATATTTCGGCCATGCTACTTTTGGTCGTCTGGAGCAATTCTTATACCATATACTGTCATCGCCACTTCTTAATCTTGTTGGATATTTAAACACAAGTTGCCTTAAACATATTTTGGTTGGTTTTGTTTTTAAAGTAAAGATTAAAATCTCAGTTGGTGCCATATTAGCGTTGCTATGAGGTTAAATATCATTAAGTTGCTCCGTCCGTGAATTTGACGTCATTTTTGCAACACAAAATTTATGCACCTTCATTGCCTATAACAGTTGTTAACAAGCTGTTTATTTGCGTATGACGTCATACTTTTCACTAAATATCATGTAATAGTATCTCGTGATGTCACAAGATTAAAACGAGAGTTTGCGTTAAAATTACAATTTTTAGCAACTTATTATTCGAGTAGCTATCGTCATGAAATCAAAGTGCTCCGTGATTCGTTGATCATGTTGCCATGGTGATCGGCGCCTTGCGAATATTTCTTTTATCATGTTTTTTTAATTTAGAAATATAAAGCAGATACATACTTGAGCAAAATATTCAGTCATCATATTGATATGACTGCTTATAATAATTCTATAGTCTTGTCTACGAACTTTCCGGACAGCCCTTGTATAACCAAAAGAATATGCAGAAAAAGATATGTTTAATCCTGCTTTTTTAAGTAGCATTTTGTACACATGCCATTCCCTCTAATGAATTGTTTCTTCTTTTTTTTACAGGATGATGACCAACAAGATGATATTAATTGTGATAATTATATTAGAACTTGGAATATTAGGTGGTGTTGTTTACTGGAAATTCTTCTCTTAATGCTAAATGTGATATGGAACATAAACTGTATGTTAGATTGACAGGGTTTGATGCAGATAATTACAACACAGGAAATTGCTATTATTAACTATATGGTTTTATTTTTCATTGTACATTGTGTACTTATGAGAAAAAAACAACAACATACAAACAAGAAATTTACCAGAACAGCTTTGTACATGGTTTTTTTTCTTCTCTTTTTTTTTTTAATAAAAATTTAAAAAGATTGATAAATTGAAAACTGATATGTAGTTGTTAAAATTCAGAAAGAATAACTTATGATAGGTTGTGTTATAGATGTGCTAACTTTTGTGCAAACAATGACGTAAGACTGTTGTTAATTACATCATATTGATGAACAAGTCGTACAATATTAATATTTTGGTCTTTATAATTAAGCTAAATGTTAAACATGTTTGTAACAGAACAATGGGCATTTGCAATATTTCTCTTTCTGTTTTTCTTTATGCTATATTTTAAGCAAGTGTGAGAATGCGTTTGATGTTATCTTTGTATATATGTGGGTGTGTATGAGTATGTTTGTGTGGAAGTGATCAATTTATAGCTTTTATTTTGCAAATCTTGATTTAACGACATACCTTTGAAAGTAATGAGCTTCTTAGCATTAATGCAGTCAGATCTTAATTTTTTCTGTTGATTAGGTTCCTAACTTTTAACGAGTCATCTCCAGCTCAATAAGTTGGTCCTATAGCCAGTCCAGTTTCAAAACATCAATTCCTTTAACCCTTTATGTGATACTGAAATCAAAATTGCTTAGCCTTTGCTACTAGTATAGAGCTAGGCCAGCATGCACATCCATGCAGTCTGACTATGCTCTATTCTATTGGCTGACTAAATTTGAATTTTCTAATTGATATCCTCAAATTTGATATTGGACTGTTCCAAAAAAATTAAGCAGGGGAAGGGTTACTTATTAATTAAACAGTCACAGTTCTTCGCATTTTGATAAAATACTCATTTGGCATTTATACATGTAAATAACTAATTGCTATAATACATTATAATTATATCAAAATGAAAATGATGAGACATTGGAGGGTAAGTGCCTCGAAATGATCATCATGTAAATCATTCTTATTATATTCTGCATATATGTCTTATTTTGTTTAATGTGTTCCTTCTGTTTTCAAATCAATTAACTGTATATATAATTCTATGTTTTGAGAGCTTATACGTATGTGCTAGTGTTAGCATTTTCATTTCATCGCTTTGGCTTAATTTTTTGTGCCTACAGATTTTTAATGGAAACTTTTATTAAGATAATGCTTTAAAATTTTTAAGATACATGATTGTCCTCCCCACTTGTAGGCAAAAATACCTCTTGTTTTGGCATAGAATTTATGTACTCACATTTTGACTGAAACCTATTTTTATATTGCTTTGAAAATAGAAAAGTTATTGGCAAATCATCGTTTCGTACGCTTTTGACCACGTACAAATACTAACCTTAAGACTTATTTATTAGTAAGAGAACATAACTCTGTCATGTACTTTGACCGTGGTGATTGGTACTTTGACATTATAATACCCAACTTTTTGACTTAACAAGTTTTCAAGAACCTATTCTTTATACAGTTCCATTACAAGGTACTGAAAATATCCAGCTTTAATTTGTTTGATTTCCAGGAGTTGTCAAAATTATACTACTGTATGGTGTTAAAGTAAAATAAAACAATACGTCTTGGTATTTGTAATTTGTAAAAGTTGTCTCCACATTATGTCACAGCATTATTTATATTGAGCAATTTCCTTCCTTCTATTTTCAAGTTGTTCATATGGGCTTTTTAAATAAGGCCATGTTTAGATCTACTTGTATATTGGAACATGCTTTACGATGTCACATGAAGTAGGTTTTAGTTGAACAACACTTTATCCAAGACAAAATAAAATATTTGTTTTTATTTGAGATTCTTTAGACATATTAATATCCTTTGAACCATTTCAAGGTTATTTAATTTTTAAGAAATGATTTTTGTTGTTTATTTTTCTAATTGTTAATTTATCGGTAAGTTAAGTAGGAGAAAAATATAAGGAAAGCATCTTCATTAAGTCAGTACTTTCTTATAAGACTTGTTTAACTATTGTACAATATACTTTGTTTTAAGGATATGTATACTATTGTAAATATATATTAAAGAAATGATATTTTTATTATTTTTTGTTTTTCTTTCTTTTTTACTCCATTTGGAAAAACTTAAGTTATGCAGATCTTCAATTTTGAGTCTGTAGTTGTGTGGATTTTAGACTAATTTGACCTCAGACAACATTTTATGTAAAACACTTTGCCATACCATAGCCAGATTAAGGGATTTATAATGCAAATGTTTGCCCTGTCCTAGCATAATTATGCTGTCACTTCATTTGCCTCACCACATCTAAAGTCAATTGATTCTTAAACCACCCTTTCCCCTACTAAGCGTATTATGTCAATCCAATAAATTTTCCTCTACCTTGGTAATAAAGACAACCATTTGCTCAATTTTCCTTGCTTTAACAAATTCAGTTGGTCTATTTTAATAGACATCTGTTGACCAAGTCTGAAATGTTGATCCATTTTCTTTTATGTAAATAATTCATTAAATCTATTACACAATGACATACACTAACACTGCTACCATATATCTTACTGATTTTTAAGTATTTCTAAGGTACAGTGACTAGTGGGAAGGTACAGTTTGAAATTACTTGTGGAAAACAGCTTAGTACTGGTATAAAAATCTCCAATAGCCAGACAGTTCTCAGCCTGCTAGTGGCAAATGACAGGCTCACCTATGCCATGTGATTATAGTCTGCATTGCTTCCTTTCCAGTCACTACTTATGAAAATTTTCCATAAATAATTAAATATGATGGATGGTTTTTTGTCCAGAATGATGGCCAAATCAATTATTTGTTTAGCATGGTAATGGTTATTCATGGTAACAGATTATTCGTGCTTTAACATATAATGAGCAAACCTCAATGGTGCATAAAAAATCAATCATGTTGACTGCATAGTGATTTTTTTTGTAATCTGGCTGCCACAAAAAACATTTCTCTTAAATACATACACAACAAACTACTATCCTCCATAATGAATTTTATTGATATAAAATCATTCAACAAATCTTATGAAATTAACATGAGTATATTTCTGCAACAAGATATTCAACTATTTTCTAGAAAGGTAAGGCTACAGTTGGAATAATAGAAGTTTGTGTTGCTATACGATTATTTCAAAATATTTTATATAAACTTAGAAAAACACATTTCCCTGACAAATAAATCTGACTATTCAACAAACCACTTTGCAAACAGAAAATGATTCTATGAAGAAACATTATACTGATATCCAGATAATGGTTTAATCTTAGTTGTTTTTTTTTTCATTTAATCTTTTTTTTAATCTTTTTTTCTTCAAAATAATAAAGATTTAAATATTTTGTTTTTTTGTTGTTGTTTTTTTCTCTATGATTAAAAGTCACATCCACAAGTACATGTACTTAAATATGTATAAATATAATGTCTGCAACATATCATATTAATAATAGAAATACAGTTTAAATGTTTATTTTGCCCTAAAAAATAATAAAAAAAGAAAAGAATTCTCTAATACATTTTTATATCACATCTGTGAAATTTCTTGAATACATTATATTTTATTTCATTTTTTTCTGACAAAAATAATACATTATAATCTATTAAAAGCAGTACTGCACACCATCAGGAATGCTAAAAACAGACAGGTAAACTGGGCAATCTCCTGGAATACTAGAAGGTCAAGGTGTTAACTCCATGAGTAATCATGTACATGTATATTGTACTACAGAAACAGTATGAACGTAATATATACTCCGTAACTAAATCCCAGAATATTACAATGAAATGTTAAATAATTTAAGACATGAGGACAGTTTTGTTTTTCAGAAAGTTAATGATCAATGTTAATGTAAACACTTCTGTCAGTCAATTTTCACTTTTACAAATACAAAGTTTTCAACTTAAGTACCATTTTAACCATATACATGTGGTACATTATATAAATAAATTTGCGAAATTCAAAAACTTAAATATCACATAAACCATTAAGCATACCTTAAAAAGCAATAAGCATAACTGTCATTTTCATATAAAGTATTAAGTTTTTAACTTTAAAAATACCTTTCTATCGATATAGTTATGTAGTACATCATTTAAAGCAATTTGCAAAATTCAAAAAACTTTAGTACCATTTTAATCATTCAGGCAATTTGCTAAATTCAAGTACTATTTTAACCATATAGTTCATCATAATAGTTCATCATAACAGTTCATCATAACAAGCAATTTGAAAAATTCAAAAAGAATATAAAAGCCTTCCACTACCATTAAAGGTGTATACTAGCAAGAGGAATGGTGTGATATACATGTATGTATGTAATTCTAACATGATGTTTACATATGAGATTTGGCTTTGATCACAAAATATTATCCTAACACTACATTATACTCAAATAATTTAAATCAAATCATAACTTTTGCTTACATCATATTAAAAAGTCAATTTGAATCTTGAAAGGTCTAACAGCACTGATTTTGGCTGTTACATGTAGTTAAATATACATGTACAATACACAAAGCTATTTTTATTCCAACATAATCTCCCTTTTGCATATATTTATTATTTTTGACTTAATGAACTAATTGGTGGATAATTAAACATTTTCGTATACTTCTGAGAATCAAATGTTTTAGGTGTCACTTTATGACACAAAGGAATACATTCTAAAGAGTAATAACAGTTATTAATTTATTTAACACACCTGGGTTATAAAAGGAAGACATTTTTTTACAATCATTCAAAACTGCATGTAATAGGATAAAGCAATTCCTTAGAGTGCCCGCCAACACCAAGTGACATAAATGCACTTGAAATTTCAGCTATAGAATCATACACAAAACATTTTCCAGTGGTCATTACATTAATTCTTGGGTGATTTTTTGTTATACAGCGCACCAACACAAGTTAGGTCATATGGTACTGATTTGGGAAAGATGATTTTTGGCTAAACCCCAGTGTTACAAACTTAAAGCAAAACCAGGGGTCGAAACCACCTCACCTGCTGGAGCTATGAGATGCATAGACTCAAGTAATTTGAACCTATTTACCATTTAGTCGGAATCATATAAGTGTAAATTGCACTACTAGTAATCAGAATTCAGTGCAGGATATGACAATCACAGTAAATTAGTAAAGCATAAATTAGAAACTACTTAAAGCAAAAAAAAAATAATCAAAGATAACCATTCTTACTTCCATGCATTTTTAAATAACAACGTACTTTACAATTCGAAGTAGAAAGAAAACCCTCGTAACAAACTTCAAAATTCAATACAAAATAAACCAATATAGACAGTCAATAAAAATCTGACTAAAAATCGACCATCATCATATTGCACTAAAAATTCTCAACAAAAAAAGTCCTTAAACATTATAAGCACCATGCATTAATTTCAATGCAATCAAACTCAAAATTTCTGCAACAAATAAGCTGTATAAAAAAAAAAGTTTGAAAAATTCTTGTTTGTACATTGTATTTATATTTAATTTAATTGCAGTATAAAAGTGGAAAATAGTCATTAATCCGATTCATTTGTATTCCATTAACATGTTACTTTGACATACATCTGAATTAATAAATGATCCTGTTAGTTTTATTTTTATATTTTATTAGATTGTTACTCTGGCACATAAAGCAAAGGCAAACAAAATCTACTGACCTAATACATGAAAGTATATCAATATTAGGCTATATTAAAGTTTTTTCATGATAAGGACAATGATGGCAACAACACAATGCAGCACTCATAATAGCTTGACCTTTACTTTGAAACAGGTGAGCTAAAATTTAGTGAAAGCACATTATCCTCTATATATATATAAAATTTTTACCTTATAATTTTATACCTTATACCAAAAGTTCAAGTTTACCAATATCTAACATAACAGTTAAAATAAAAACAAAATCTAAAGCACAAATTGTATTTTTAACATCACAGATACAAGTATCATATTATAACTAGGTATTTATTTACCAGAGAAAAAAACACACCAACAAACAAAACAATCATTTTTACAAGAACAAAAAAGAAAATGCATTATTAAAATAGGCAACAAAACATAATATAAATGGGAAAATAAAATTTACAGTGCAAAATCATTGAAGGAAAATCTTTGATACACATTTGCAAAGAACTTGAGCTGTTACATGTAATTCGAAAACATGAATACAGATAATTCTCTAATTCTCTAATAAATGAAATTTTTTCTTTTTTTTTTTCAAACAGGGCACATTTCGATTAATGCTTATCTTACAAAAATTTAGAAAATGTATGCCCAACACACACTAATAATGCAATCTAATCCCATAACCTGCTGAAATTGCAAAACTAGGGTCTGCCAAGCTTTGAAATGTGGAACAGTGAGTCTGTTTAAAATTTAAACATAGATTTAAACATACAAGTACAAAAATTGAGATACCTACAGTTTAGAACCTGGTCAGACTACACTTTAGGACAGGTGGACTTTGCACTAATACTGGTGGCAATGACATATCATTTTTAGTTCCAGAGGATTAAGTGTCAATGTGCTGGCAGTCCAAGGTATTTTCTATACTCAGATAACAACTTTAATGTGTAAAATATTGATCGCCCTAATAAACTATAACAATAAATTAAGTCAATGCTTGTGTAAACAATATCACACATCACATGGATTGTTGATATCTTATAAATATCTTGGCTTAACCTTTTCTTAGTTTTATGTTTCAAATCATTTTGTACCCTTCTAGAGACATGTAACTTGAAGAATGAAATCATTCAAATGTTGCGATTCAATTGCCTTACTTATCATCCACAAAAGCAACCAAACAAAAAATCCTAATGATTAATTTACACACTGAGCAAAAAGCAGGAATGTTATTAAACCCAAGGCTGAATTTACAAAAACAGGTAAAACAATACACACAATTCAAAGACTGAAGACCATATTTGATTATAAAAAAAATCACCCACAATGATACAAAATCAACAATGGCAGTAAAATTTTAAGTTTCTCTTGCAATTAAAATAACCAGTTTTCTCAAAATGACAAATATGATAAATACCACTAAGCTTTACATACAAAGCAACCTCTGTAAAGCGAACTTCTACATAACAATGACCTCTTAACAACAACCAATGTTGCACAGCATTCACCGGAAATAGCCGTTCAAAACATGGAAAATGAAAGTAATAAGGTGTATGTCGAGTTCACCCAAGGTAATGTTTTAATTTATTTCTCCATCATGACTTAATCAATTTTTCCAAACAAAGCTGAATATGTCTAGTTTTAGACCAGTATTTGCTTTTTACTGCAAATTGAATAATTTTTGTTTATTTGGCAATAAATTTAAGTGTTTTTGTTGACATTTGCAAACAATGTTGATATTTAACACTAAATCAAGCCCAAAAGGCATTTTCTGTATCAAAATCCGTCTTTAATAGAAAATATAGACTTCCCTCTACTTGTATTTGAGTTGTCACCCATCAGCTTGAGTTAGTTGTACCCTGAGTGAACCCGACGTACATCATCTTACTTTCAGTTTCAACGTTTTGAGGGGCTATTTCTGGTGAACGCTGTACACCAGTGACAACAGTTTCAATTCTCCCCAAAGTAGGACTTCACAATAAAATTAACAACTTTATAGCAAGATCCAAACATTCTGTTTTCCAACCAGTGTTGCTATGTAGAGGTAAGACTGTATATAAACTTTTTGTTAATTTTTCTACTCCATCATTGCAATAAAAAAAAAATTCCCCCCAAAATTTACAGAAATTTGTCCTATGACAACAGCCCTGTCCAATTATTTTTAATTTTGTCTTCTGTTTCTTTTTTCCTTTTGCAATCTACATTGTGAATGTTCATATACTTTATTCTTAGATAATCAATCTGGTTTTCTCAGTATTTCTTAAATGATGTATGCTTTAAATGGGAATTGTTAACATCACAAATGTGTCCCTGCCCCGCAAAATTATCCAAAATAGTGATGCATCCCTGCTATTTATAACCAGTAAAAAATGTTTGTCTCAAAAGAAAAACCTGACAGCTATATCTGCCTATACATTTAACAATTATCTGAAAGGTGAGTGCCTGTCAACATTTACAATCAGCCACGTTTCACAGCTTATCTTTCCTTTTCTCACATTTCTGACACACCCTCACTGGATAATCCCACCCCCTTAATGGCACTGGGTGTTTATTAGGGGAGCATTTATCACAGACACCCTGACCGCAGGCACGGCAGTGATGAATGGGTAACTTGACAGAGAAATCTTGGTCACAGACACAACATGACTTGATGAGCTCGTCTGGTACCCAGTAGGCAGGCCTGGCTGAGTCTTTCAACATACCTGTAACAAATAGTATAACTATAACACATTCTGCCACTTTACTATGTCATATTTTCACAGTTTCTTTTTAAATTCTTTATATATTTAACCTTCAAACAGTTATAAACCTTTTAAATTATTCAGTTCAGATGAGAAATTTCAGAATACCAAGAATGGTCCTCAGTATTTTTGCAAGCAATCATTTACAGTTATTAGTATTAGATTATACCAGTTATATGGAATTTAAGAATAATTATTTATGTGTTTCTTTGTTCTTATTACAGAGATTCAGCTCAATTTGCTGACCTAAAAAAATGTCTTTCATTCTCTTGCATCTTTATTTCCAAAAACAAAAACAAAAAAATACAAAAAAAATTACTTAATAACTAAAGAATGTATAGTAGCTATGACTACCTTTCTTTTATTAATTCACAAAATAAACAAATGTTAAAGAAAACTAATGCAACAAAACACACTTTCAAAAAGAAAATCCATACTGACATATTGTAGTAAAATATGTACATTCTTTACAGGTCAAGCATTAAAACATTTAAAATTTGCCTGTATGTAAGTGTCTGGGCTATATTTCTGAATTAAACATTACAAAAATTATCTTATTTTATGTATAACACATGAAGCACAGTGTCACATTCCAAGTAAAATAAGGACTGTATGATTGTGTGGCTGTGTGATTAACACATAGGACTAGTAATATAATGATTGAAGGCCACATGACTTCAAACCCAATCAGAACAGGATAAGCCATTAAGCAAGAAACTTTCCACTCATTGCCTAGTAATGATTGGTTCCAGAAATGGTTCCGAGGGTGTACCTATAAGCTCAAAGCTTTCTATTATCAAACTATAATATATATTTTGTATAAACTGACAAGAACTTTACCTAAAGGATAGTTGATAGCTGTAGCTACTGCATCTAGGGCTGATGTCATTGACTCGCCCACCTTTCTAGCTGTCACCTGGGAGTCACTACCAGTACTCGAGTTGGAATCTGAAATCAATTTTAATCTTATGACAAACATTTTATGTCATGATAGTGACTTACTGTATAAATGTATTGTAAACAGACTAACTAACTAAACTAACAGATTGGCTGATTCACACCAATACTGTTAAGATCATATGGCAACTTTCCAGGTGAAAGACAACCTCTAGTACTCCTTCATGCATTATTTCAGGCATTAGAAGGAACCGGAGTAGAACCACAAACATTCCATAAGCTAGCTGAACAGTTGCCTCATGAAAAAGTCAAAAGTCCTTGGCAGAATTCAAACCCACAGTAGTGAGAGACTAATGGTTTAAGGTCAGTGATCTTAACCTCTATGTCATGTAGGACCTGAATTTGCCATAGGGAAATAGATAAGGAATAAAATCTAGATGGCATAAGAAAAATGAAAGGCATAAAATTTAAGAAAAAGTGTTAAATAAAAAAGTAAGAAAAAAGATAAGGGATAACAAGGAGATTTTAGTTTGGAAAGATTAAAATAAATAAATAAATAAATAAAAAAGTAGCAGAAACCAAGATACCATTCATATTGACATTATAGCAATCATCACAGACTCTGACAGAATTATTCCAGCCTTTCTCTGGTACTGTTCTACGTTTAGATGAGCACTCATCACAGAAACCTTCTCCACAAGCTCTACAATGATGTTTCTGCTCCTCTGACAACTTCTTCTCACATTTCTTACATTTCTGAAATATTGTGTAAAATATGATTTAGTTTTAACAAAGATTTGTTATCTTTTAAAAATTGTACATTAATTTTTGCTTGTGAAATCCATTAACTTTAAACAAACATGCTTCCTGGTGCACAGCTATATTTGTGAATTAAACTTGCATGTTTGAATAAATCATGAAATGTAAATTCACATGGTTTTTATATTTGTATGGTAATACTGAAAAGACTTAAAGCACAAAGTTTCTCTACTATTTAAAACACAATTTACATAATAAAACAGAAAAAATTATTTTTCAAACATATAACTGCTACTTTTAGAAATAATATTTCACCATTAACAGCATATTGTGACCTTCGTCACAGGAAACATTCATAGTTACAAAGTAACTGCCAACTGCAAACCAGCCTTATTAGAACCGGCTGTCCTTTCACCATCTGATACATTTCTTGTAAACACATTGTTTCAGTGAAACATTAATCTATATCCAGCAGTTTGAACCACCAAAGCTTCATCTTATACTTTCCTTGCAACTTACTTAACCGATATTCATCTTATACTTTCCTTGCAACTCACTTAACAGTTATTCACAGAAAATTAATTAATCAGATTTTTCAGGTCGGCTTTGTGAATTCTTTAAATTACAGTCATGATTCAGTTTTAGCTGCATAGAAACTTAAGAAGACATACCCCAACGGGGTTAAAGTAATCAAGCATTTGTATGACAAAACAAAACTAAAAAACATAAAATCAGTCAGTGTTAAAATTTGATAGCTTAATGAATTACAATGTAACTAATTGTTTAAGTTCACCTTGATTTTAGAGTTAGGCACCCAATAAGCTGGTGCTATTTGGTCAGCCATCCAATCTGTCATGACCTTGGTGGGCTTTGCGCTCACAGTACCAATAGATTCAGCCACATAACTTATACCATCTATAAATTTACGGGCAGCATTATGAGTACCAATTAGGAACTTGTCACCCTGAAACCAAATCATATATATTCATATAAATGGCATTCCACATATATAAGAAATTACATAACAATTTCATTAATTTGTTTAAATGTTTTTCCCCATAAAAATCAAGCTAATGACATCAGAATATAGACAATTCTCAAATCTATACACATGAAATTTAATAATTATTTTATGACTTTTTACTATTTTGTTTTGTTTTTTAAAGGCAAAAATTGTTACATGACCATTTTAAATTGCTGATTTGCTAAGGGATGGACACCTCATGTTCATGTATTTTTTCAAACAAACAAGCAATCAAGTAGACCCATCAACCTCCTATAAACTAGCTCGACAGTTTTCACAAATAACTGAATCTAAAAGTCCCTGCTAGGATTGAAAACATAGTGGTAAGGGGCAAGTCATTGAGTTTAGCCACATGGACCCCTGGCCATCAGCATATAACTCATTGCATAAACATTATTTGCCTTGAAATGGACAAAAACATCTGAATTTCAGAAATTTTGATACACACCTCTGGCCAAACATGGGCCACTTCTTCATGTACAACATTTTCTACATCTGGATTTCCATACCAATATTGTCTACTACGGAAAATAATTCCACAATTCCTACACTCCAATACATCTCTAAATATAAAGATAACATGATTTTAAACTGTGCAACATTTTGCGGTATAGAAATGAAAAATGGTTTCTGACTTGTGATATCAGGAATATTTGTAAATGTATTTGGCAAACAATTTCCATATTTTCTTCTTACACATTAATAATAATGCTTAATTTATTGATATTAAGTAAAAGTTAAATAGATACTAGTTATCAATTTATCATATTTATTCTGGGGAAAAGTATAATTTGGCTCTTGAAAAAAATAAATATTTACTACAAATGAAACAATAAATGTACATGTACTATATTGAGAGACTTAATGTTCCAATGTGGTATTTCAATGAACTTTTGTCTCTTTGGCCAGCACCAAAATGTAAAGTTCTGAATAAATTACATGTACCACCATATTTGTCACTTACCCAGACCAGACATATTTAGCAACTCCTAGCCAAGCATTATCTTTAGAGGAGGATGTTTTAGGTACCACCCTTACCTGTTTACCATCTCTGTAACATTTCTGTAACACAATGCAAACAGCAACAATATCAGTTGTATTCAATTTTAACCATGTAACATAATAACAGAGGTATGAGTTAAATATCCATTTCAAACTTTTGGAATGTCAAAATTAAGTAGCTGAAATACAGGTTCATTAATCTGACAAGAAAAACCCTAAACATTATCAGTTCTGTTTTGCTACAGCAATCAATTGTTTATTTTCAACACACTGTAACTTTTCTTTTTACATAAAGCAAGAGACATAATAACAAAGTCACATGTATATTGAATAGATAGGTAAAATTGAGGTTAATTGTTTAATCAGACTAGGGCCAAGTGCCATGACCTGTAAACTTCATGCATATTTAATAGCTCAATTCAAATTGTACTGGTGTCCTGATTTCGGTCTGTGGCTTATGCCAAAATCAGAGTAATAGCAATCTTTAATGAGTTCTGTAAAACATTGCTAATTTTACAAAAACTTATAAAATAATGATTATAAGAATATGATATGTCATGAATAAATCATCTTTTTTTTAAATTTATTTATGAACAATAAACATTTTTCGTTTATAAAGCTTACATCTGTGGTTTGAAAAACATAAAATATTTCATAAAATCATTACACACTTCAACCATATTCCTATTTATGATTTAAACAAGAACAAAAATAAATGATTTGAGTTTATACCTTACAAAAGTAAACCTTGTTTTCAAATTGGTGTTGATATTTGCATTTTACACCTTTGTCAGTCACATGTTCATCTTCTTTGTGATTCATACTTCTAGAACATCTTGCCCTATTTAATATAACAACAAGCTATGATGTAACAGCGACCTTTAACCTTTACAAGACCCATTACTTAATCAAGATTCTTTTATATCAACATATGACAGTAGCAGTATTTCAATCAAATACAAACAAAGACTTGGTTAACAGTGCTACTTAATACCAATAAATTATCAGTAATTCAGTTTTATTACCACTACCACCTCATAAAAATAAAGCACTTGAATATGTAGTTGAAGACAAATACAAGTAGTATGATTAAATAACTGTATTTCAGCAATTGACTTTATCCCTCTAAATATCGCACCAAATATATTAAATGAACTTGTCTTTCATTCAATTAAGACAAAATCATCCATCATTTTTAGGAAAATTTACAAAATAAGTATGGATTGAAGAGAGCAAACTAAGATAAGACAGCACATATGTGTAGTTTCAGTTGCTGCAAGCAGACTAAGAAATTAATAAACCTTTAAAATCATGTGTCATGGTCAAGACTTTTACTTGCACAAGTAAATTTTATGTGTCTTTGTGGGCGTCTGTGGCCGAGTGGTTAAGGTTGTTGACTTTAAAAAACTTGCCCCTCACCACTGTGGCTTCAAATCCTCACAGGGAGTTTGGAAACTATCCAGCTAGCTTACAGAATGTCAGTGGTTCTACACAGTTGCCTGTTAATGCCTGAAATAATGCATCGAAGGGCACCTGAAGTCTTCCTCCACCAGTAAAGCCGAAAAGTCACCATATGATCTATATTGTGTCAGTGTGACGTAAAACCCAATTTAACAAACATGTGCCTACATGTGTTTATTGGGAGATGTTTATCGCTGGCAGCTTTTAGACACTCAAGAGGCACACAAGACTATCCAGGATTTTTTACAGAATCAAAATTAAGTGTCGGAAGAAATACTTGTCACAGAAATTAGAATATTAATTAGAATATTAATTAAAATTATCATCATTTACTTACCCACAAGACTGGCATTTACATGTACATGTAAAATACTGATCTGGAAATGTTTCATAAACATGTTTCTCTATCTCGCCGCTAAACTTTTCATTTAAAATCTGCAATAAACAAGGAATATGATACAATTGAGCTGTGTCATGACAAAACCAACATAGTGCGTTTGCGACCAGCCTGGATCCAGACCAGCCTACGCATCCCCGCAGTCTGATCAGGATCCTCAACTTGTAAAAAAGTTGGTAAGCCAACAGCATGAATCCTGATCAAACTGCGCGGATGCGCAGGTTGGTCTGGATCCATGCTGGTCGCAAACGCATTACATTGGTTTTGTCGTGAAACGGCTAAATTTAAGAACAATCTACAGTTCCAAACTTCAAAGTTTATACTGATTACCACTAATTTAACTAAGACAGTAAAATTAAAGTAGAAAGTCTGTAAGGCTCCCACGTTTACATTTTTTTGTAAACGTTTACACGATTGCTAAGAACCGAAACGATACCGTTTAAACAGTGGTACTTCTTTGAATTACACAATGTATAAGAGTAGCTAAATGATGACTTACTTTCGAGTTTAAATACATGTTAGGGTTCTCGGGGACGCTTATTTCGGCGTCCCGGTACGCATGTTTATTACAGCTGGACGCAAATATTTCAGAGCAAGGATTCCACGTACGCTTAATTTTGCCTGGGGACGCATAAACATTACCGATTGTTTACAACCACAAATACACAAATGCGTCAGCGCGTGTCAGTCTATGGTAGGCGGTCCTATGCACATCGACCCGTGAAGCGATTAGCCAATCAGCGCTAACGCTAGCTTCTTTTTTACAAATTTTTAGAGTGGACTTATTTAACCAGAATAAAATTTAATTTGGTATAAAAGTGAAAAAAACAAAAACAACGATTTCCATGTGTTGATGCATTATAATGAAATAATTTCATAATAAATATTAACAACAAAACAATAATTATACTATGTAGTTCAGAGTTTCTTTTGAATAACTATAAACTTTGGAAGTCTCTTGAAGATTCAAAATATCAGCAATACTATTGTGAGCATTGAATGACTAATCTGTAAACATATTAATTGCGACACGCTTTTGGACTCCAACTTTTTCAGGGTTGGGAGTCCATGGACTCCATGTTTGAAAGTCCTAGTGAGAACCCTGATTAATTTGTACAAGTAAATTATATTCAGGGCTCATCATGATTGAGTCGGCAACTATTTTCTGCAATATATCCCCCTTTCACTATTTGAAAGATTAAAGGAGATCATTTTTACCAAAAATGTATTATGCAAAGTACTTGCAAAATCGTTGCAGTACGTACTGCAGTACCAGTACCAGTAATGCAGTTCTGGTCACGAGCGATTATTGCACGGCGATGCTGTGTGGGGGGATGTAAACACCAATTTTCCTATTTTTTACTTTGGAATCAACCAATTAGAATAGATAAAACCCATGATTACAGGTAATGATTAAGATAATTTAAGACAATATGGTTATTTCGATTAAACGGTAAAAAATATCGTAACTGTTTACGAATGAAAATCGAAACGAATCCGTTTAAACGTGTAACCGTGGGGGCCTTAAAAGTCTGTATTGGCACATTTTCTACAATTATTTTAAATATTGATAAAAACAACAGAAAAGTATCATTTGGACATTCTCATGAAATGTTGCTTGGAAAAAGAAAATGTCGAAACATTTATATGATAAATAATAATATTTTGTTCTAGAACATTTTATTATCAGCTACACAAATATATGTAATATCCGATCATGTATCTTACACTTGTCAATAACTTCCATGTATAATTTATCTTTTTGTGGTTTGTTGTTATGTTTAATACTAAATACTGTCAAAGTAATTATTCATGGCATTACAGACCAATTCACTTTAATATGATGATTCTTTACTATATACTGTAATAAATCTTAAAATATCAAAGGTTTCTTAGGCATAACATATTTATCATACCAGGTACACATTACGATGAAACCATAAATTATATTATGTTTAAAAATTTACTACATACAGGTATGTTGAATGATGTCCATTTAAAATTAAATACACAAATTTAGCAACAGAATGGTTGATAACCTACCTGAAATGTTTTGTAGATAATCTCAGGTTTTCTCCTTGACCTAATTGTGTTGTTGTTAAGTTGTTCTTGAACAAACTTGCGTAACTTTATGAAGTCAGTGCACTGGTCCCGATGAGTTTTGGTCCCCACATATTTGAGGTCGCTAAAGTCCATTGAACAGTCTAATTCCTTAAATCTGTCCCTTAGTATAGATTCTGCTCCTTGTCCATCTATATAAACAGCATAAACAGATTATTTAACAGACATAAAAAACATAAGGCCTAGTTCCAGGAAGATGTCAGGGGAAAAACAATTTTCCTTACTAAATTTGAATGCTTGAAATGCAATCTAAATTATTAAATTTTATTCAAAATCATTGTTAGATAAAAATTAAACATACCAAAGGTGTGCTTATATTCTTTTGTCTAAAGGCTAGCATTTTGTTTTGTAAATTACTGATTACCTGACATTAAAAGATTGCATCATATACAATAATTACATTAAATTAATATTATACGTATTTGTTTTCTGTAAATTGAAAAAATTGTTAAACTTGAATTTATTCACTATAATTTGTGTGTGTAGTAATTTTTACCTTGTGCTCCTAAAATATTGGTATTCTGAGTCTCATGAAATACAATGACAGCTGGGCTCAAATTAGTCACATCTAAAGACATCTTATTACGTTTCGACACTGCACGAAGCTCCTCTGTGAAATGCTTAGAGTAAGCTTTAGAAGCATCACTGAGGAAGTAGAACATATCATTGTGTAGCCGCTCAGCACGAGTTCTGTAGATGACAACATCAGAAATAGCCAAAAGTTTTAATAAAAGGCGAGTCCTTTGATTTTGATTAGTGGTAACGCCAAGAAGACCTTCAGTATCAACAATTATGGCATGGTTGTCAATGTCATATGAGGCCCATACTCCAACAGTACAAGAAGCCTGTTGAGCAGAGGTTTTGAAAACTTCTTTCCCACCAAAGAAAGTATGGTTAAGAGTATAAGACTTTCCATCACCGGTGTTTCCAAAAATAGATATAACTTTAACTTTGTCATCTTTATCACACTGCAGTTTATCAATGAAATCATCAGCACTGACTACCTGGAAATGTAATCAAAATTATTTTTTAAATATAAAATTAAATGTCAATTGATCATTTTTATCTACATGTATTGAATAAAGCTTTGCCAAACAAAAATATGGAAACCTAAATACCAATATTGTAACTTTAATATGTTGTCATTCATAAATATTATGCTTCAGTGGAATTAAAATAATTCCAAATCTGCACAATGATTTTTTATAAAGTGCAAATCTTTGAGTATTCCAACTTGAGGATATGTCTAGATTTTGAGTTTCAAATTATAATTCAAATAAATACAAGATCTGGTCACATTACAATAGAAAAAATCTTGCAGAACCAAAACAAATTAAATTATGTGAAATTTACAATTTTGTTTTCAACTGTCTAAATTTCTATGTGTTTAAGTTTAAAATGGTTATATTTATGCAAAATAGAGGATTTTAGTAGGTCAAAATCCTGAAATGCTGGAATAAGCCTAAAAACTTACACAAATGAGTTCTCATACTTATATGCTATATTTTGTCTTGTCTCTTAAACAGATAAAGACAATTAATACTTATTAACAAAATAGCTTATAAATTGAATTAAACTTGTAGACATGGGCTGCCAAAGGGAATGTGTAAAAGGATGCTCTTATAGTAATACTAGTACATGTACATGTGGTTCTCTCTCAGTGCCCAACAATGAACATGTCTAACTCAACTGTCAAATTGACATTACTCAGTCAGTGAAAAATTGAAAATAGATATTTGGGGATTTAATAATGTAATTCCTGTATTTTCTCTAATAACCTTATCATATTAATTTTTTTTCCAAACTGGGGACCAGGAATCGCAAATTAGAGAAATAAAAAAAAGTTATATATCATCAAAATGAATAATTATTGATTTTCTGTTATTTCCTGCTTTCAAAGCAACCTTTAACACAAGTTTGACTGCATTTTTTAATTACCTGCAAAGCTTCTTGTTCATCTACAAGTAAGAAACTTTCACAATCCATAAACCTTTCATCTATTTGGCATTCTTCCAATTCTTTTGTGAGTGAAAACATTTCTGATTTTTGATCAGCATTCAGATTTGGATCAGAAGAAATAATGTCAGGGATACTTGTCTGACTGTGATCTGAATGAATACTTGTATATGACATCATACTATCTGAGCTTGAGATCTCTGCAACTTGTGTGGTTTGTGGACAAGAGATGAAATTCAATGAGTCCTGCTCTAATGATGACAATTCAGGTGGTGGCAGGGGTTTTAAAGCATCTAATAACCCTGTTTGTTGTCTATGTTTGTACTCTTTAAATGTGATTTTTCTATGAGTTCTTCTACTGTCCTTATTATGATAGGTGTCAAAACACTGTAAACAAAAATTACGATCACAATTTTCACAACGGAGATCAGCAAAATTTCTGTCTTCACAATCTAAATTATTCAATAATGATGCAATTTGACACAACTCCTCATAAGGTGGTGGTTCTATTTGCTTAATATCATGAAATCCAAACTCAAGTTTCGATTTATGAAGGGAGGAATTGCACTTTTCACACTGATCACTTTTGCATTGAATGCAGTGGTATTCAGCGACTGCACCCTCTGTTAAACAGCAGAACTTCTCCTGACAGTATCTTTTCGAAGTACGTGTTCTGTATCTTCGTTTATTAACAGCAGCCATGGTGTCATTGTGATTAACTCTTTCTTCGTATTATTTTTAATAGTCATCTTTCTCCATTGTTGTGAACTGCTGATCATTTCCGTAAATAAATACGTTATGTATTCTTCTGTTTGATTGGTTTATCAATGTAAAATTATTTTTGATTGGTTACTTTTCTGACCTCGCGTTACCTCCCTTGTTAATAGAGCATGCTGGGACGTTAGTGAAATCCCAGGAGTAAATTTGATTGAAAATTTAATAATTTTAGCCAAACCATGTCAAAACGGAAAAAGTCTGCCCCAGTTATAGATTCTGACAGTGACGGCAGTGGTAGTGGCTCTAATCTTGACGAAGTAATAATATTGTAAAATGACATTCAGTCAAATACACAGTCATTTTATAAATAATTTGCTCTTTTAAAAAGTTCACGAAACGGTTACAGTGCACATGAGCCAGATTTAAATATAAGCAGTTCAATAAATGTTCTAAAAACAGTATGAATACCTCCCACCTCAAATAAAATGAAATTAGTCGGAGAAATACCAAATAAAAATAAAGTCTTGCCATACCCCACCCACTCCACAAATGCTATAAAAATGAACATGTTGCAAATCTATTTTAAATTTCATGTTTCTAATTTGCAAGAATTATCTTCCACTATGAGAGAGAAAATGCATCATATTTTTAAAAAAATATCTGCAGCACATTGAATATTTTATGACAAAATAATATACATGTTATTGAAACTACTTTTTTTGTCTTATTATTTGTATGGCACTGCTATAAATACAAATGTTGACTCCAATTTCAAATGAATTACCACCTAAATGTAATTTTGATTCAGATTATAAAGAAAGAATTCAATATTAGAATATGCTTTCATTTGAAAAATACTAAGATTGGAACAATATATAAAATTTACATTTTCCCTACTTTTACATAGTTTGATCATATATATTTTGAAATATAATCTGGTGAAAAATTGGATGTTTAAAAATATCGCAAGTTTCGTCTTAACAAACATTGTTGACATTTGTTTAAAACATTATGAGTTCACTTAACAGGACAAATTTTCACAAAATTAAAGGTATCTTTCATTTATCATTCTACATTTACATCTGGACGACAAAAAATATTTTGTCCCAGGTTAAACATATGATATATTACAGAATTTTTCTATTTGAAAGACCATGTATAAAACACTTAACTATGTGACATTATTATACGATTATTTTCAAATGTAGATCTACAAGCATAAATAATGAAAAAATATTAAAAAAATTGTTTAAATAGTAATCTTATGTTCGTTATTAAAAAAAATATTAAATAGTACACTTAAACCAAAATTTAAGAAACAAATGTACATTTCGTAGTCGAAAAGTTCAAATTGCGAAATCGAAAAGTTCAAATTGCGAAATGGAGTCCATTTCGCATTCTATTACTACCGCTATTTGTATGGCAAAACACTGCTCTTCAACATACAAATAGTTTCAATTCTATGTCATACAACTTGATCATAAATGAATTGCACTAAAGTTAATTTTTTGCATTCAAGAATTATTAAAGAAAGAATCTCAATATTGTAGAATATTTAAATATTGGCTTTTTCATTTGAAAAATACTTAATAGCATCTGGGACACAATATATACAATTTACATTTGTTACCCTAAGCATTTTACACTGCTAGTTTTATATACTATATTTTTGAATGATCCAAGCATTCTGTGTTGAAGAAATTTGATGTTTAAAAATATCCAACTGTTTTCTTTCTTAACAAACATTTGTTGAGACTTTGTGATATACACAGTTAAATAGAGTTCACTTTAAGACAGGGACAAATTTAGGGCATCTGACAATATATTAAATTATCTTTCATTTATCATTCTGCATTATCACATCACTGATGATATTACATAGAATGTGTATGATAGCAGATACAAGTAGTAAAATTATGATCACAGTTTGCTGAATGTTTGTTTGCTATAAAACAAATTGTCCAATAGTGTCTTATTACAAAAGACAAATTATGAAAACTGAAAGCAATACAATGTATAAATTTACTGTATAAATTTTTTTCAGTTTATAGATTGCTGTTGAAACATATATATTATACTAATAAATTTACTTTTTGAATTATGTCTATTTACCTTAAAATATGCCATTATTAGCCTGTTGAAATATTACGTATTTTGTTTATAAACTTTGTTTAAACTGTTTTTAAGTTAATAGTAACAAATTTTCATTTTCATGTAGTCTTTGAACTCTTTAAATATATTTAAGCGTGCAAATTAATAGATTGTTGGCTTATTATGGTGATTTAAAACATGTTCTTCTAATTTTTGTTCATTATCATTATTCATTTAAGGCATATTGTGCATAGTATTCTAAGATTTCTCATTAAAAACTTTAAATTACGTTACAACCTGAAAGGAATCATTTAAGAAACAATTAAACTGTTGAATAACTTCAATTCGAACCTGAAAGAATCTTTAGACTATGGCATTTTAAGATTCTCGTTTAAAATTCTAATTACAGTAAATAAAGTCATTGCATAGTCATAGTTCTAAACCTTTTTAAAATCTTCAATTATGTTAAACTGAAAAATTCTATAACAAGTTTGAATTATTTCATTGAAATTTTGAAAATAAGTATACTAATTTAATTTAAGAGTAAAAAAAGTCTATGTATGTTGCCTTAACATTCGATATATTGTGAAGTTTTAAATTTATTAAAGTTAATTCTAATATTAAAGTATGAAATATATTTACATGTATGCATTTATAATAGAATAATAAAAATAAATATTTTAAATTCTATTGAAACTATAATTCATAAATTATTCAATTACCAGTTTATTAGAATAATGTTTATATTAATAGGAACTCAAAGCATTGGCCAAGAGAAAGAGGCGGACATCTGAATCTCAGTCTAAGGCAGCTAGCCAATCTAGTGGAGGGAGTGACTCAGAATCCTCATCTGGTAGTGATGGAGAAGTATGTGTCATAACAAGATCATTTTTAACTTTCATACAATGTCTAAGTTATATAGCATATATGCAAAGTAACTTTTGTCATATTAGAATGTTTTCCATTACATTTATAATGAATTTTATACTCATGGTCATATGATCTTTGAACTTTTAACAACTTTATTTAATGCAATAAAAAAGTTTTTTTCTTTACAAATATTATTGGAATTGGAAAAAAAATCAGCAGGCCAGCAGGCTAGGTATTCAATAAATCATAAAAAAATTATACATAATTTGTAAAATATTTGCAATTATTAATGTGAAGCAATGCAAAATAATTTTAAATTTACTTAAATATGGAACACTAATCTTTTAGTGGAGAGGAGACGGGAAGAAAAGTAGAAAGAAAAAGAAAATATCAAAGAAAACACAAAGAAAGACAATGGTAGCTTCATCATCAGACAGTGAAAGTGAGGGAGAAATAAGATCAGAACCCGAAGAAGGTAGGTCATAAGAAAAATTGTATCATATATTATGTACTTTATTGATTTAGAAAATATATATTTATATAAATTACTCTGTTGTGCTAATTTTGCAAAAGAGTAAATTTTTGTCTGCTCAAAATACTTTTAAGTTTTATCTAGAAAATAAGAAGAATTAGACCACTTTGTGAACTAATTTTTCTTTTAATGGATCTAATTGCTCTATGAAGAATTGAGAATGGTAGAGTGGTTTGCACTTGAAGGCTTTTAGAAAAATTATAGGATTTAACTTCGTACAGTGTTGGCACATGACCTCTAAAGACTTGCAGAAATAGTGATTTAAGAAGTAGAAAAATATTGCTGTTTTTGCCGATTTAAACATTTTTCAGTCATAATCACATTTGTATATAAAATGGTGTGAAAAGATAAATTAGATGTTTTAAAATGTATATTGGCAGGTGAAAAGGAGAGATTTTAGCATTTAGTCATTCAAGTGTCTTGTTCAGTATATACCTGAATACGTACCATATTTAGTGTGGTGCTCCAAAAACTTTTGTAAGTCTCAGTCAAATTTATATAATAAAGTATAAAATTGATATAATTATTGCAACAGGAGAGGTTTCTGATTCTGATGATGACTCTGGTGATGAACAGTTTCATGATGGTTTTGATGAGAACCTGATGGGAGATGATGAAGATAAACAAAGACTAGAGGATATGACGGAGAAAGAAAGAGAGCAGGAACTCTTCCGTCGTATGGAGAGAAGATCTCTACTTCAAACTAGGTATGTCATATAGCTCTGTAATAAGCTGCCAGTAGAAATTGCTGCTAAATCATGATAAATAAAATGCTTTTAACATCCGATGCCATAAATTCCTCCCTGTAATTAAGTCAACACCATTACTGTTTATGTCGCAAAGTCTTGTCAATGTTTGTTAAGAAGAAAAACAATTGGATATTTTATAACATCAAAGTAAATTTTTATGTATCTGTCAAATTTCTTCCAACTTACGAAAGGAAAGAGTGTATCAAACTAGCAAGTTGTGAAAATGTTAAGGGCATGGCCACCCATCCATACCACTCAAGAGCACTTTATTACCAGCTACTTATATATTTTCACGCTGCATTTAAATTTCTCAAGAGCCTGGGCATACTTGCATTGAACCACTTTTTTCAGTATTTATCATAAAATAGTTGTAAGATTTAAATGATTGTTATTGATCAATTTTATTGAGGAAATAGTCCTTAAAACTAGTGTAATGTATCTGTTAGTTTTTTTGAAAAAAAGAGCTGTTTACACTCGACTCTTTAAAGTAGTATGTATTTAATCATAAAGCAAAGGATATATCATTACAGATGTTTTAATATACATTGTAGTAATATTATTATACATGTTAGCAACTTATCTTGAATCTTAATGTATTTTAATGAAATTTGATGAAAATAATCAATTGTTCTGAAATTTAGTGAATGGATGTCACATGGTAGTACTTCTTTATTTCAATTATTTAATTTGCGTAAGTTTCAAAGAGCTAATTTATATATTTTTGGCTATATATATGATGTTGTTTTTAAATATCTGATTATTGTCCTATAATTTTTGTAGCAACTGTTGATTTTCTTTCAAGATTTGAAATAGAGAGAAAATTAAAACATGCCAAAAAGCTTGAACAGAAGAAGAAGAAAGAGAAAGGGGGTGAAGCCTCTGGACCAAAGGGTGTCGTTGGAATGGTAGCTAGCAAACGTAGTCAGGAAAGAAGAAAAGATTTAGAATCAAAGAAAGACAATAAAAAATTGACGGCTATGCAGGAATTAAAAGCAAGGAGAGAAGAGAAGAAATACAGAGGTAGTTGCTTCCTTTGAATATATTTACTAGATTGAAAATATGTTAGACAAGATAATAATAAATTGAGTTTGCTTAGACCTATTGACACCAAATTTAGTATGTGGGAAGCAACTTTGGATTGTTACCCAGGTGTCTGTGAATAAGGTCAAAGTCACTGTTGCCTAAAAAAAAGAAATTCAGTTTTTTTTCATAATATTTTGAGTTTGCTTTGACCTATTGACACCAAACCTGCTGTATGGGTAGCTTATATTAAGATGCAGTTTGGGATTGCTATTTAGATATCTGGGAGCAAGGTCAAGGTCACTTGCTTACAGCAGAATTTTCAGCTTCTACTCAATAACTTCAGTACACTTTGACCTTTAATACTTAACTTGGCATGTGTGTAGAGAACATGAAAATACAGCCTTACATTGCTACTCAGTTATCTTGTATCTTTTTATTTTGAACTGTTAAAACTAACTTTCTGTGTTGGTACAAATAACACCATCATTTTTACTTCCCTTCCATATTTCATTCCAAATTCCTGTCACATCAATACTTTGGTTTACCTGGTTTTTGTCGCATTGCAGTGCTTCTCGTTTATAACTTCTTTATTTCTTAATGTGTCTACTACAAACTTTATATATATGTTTCTTATTGTCATTCAAGTCATTTGGGAGAAGGTTCAATACTCTACCTTGACTATTTCCAGAATTAAATCCCCCTTGAATTTAGATTTTTTCTAGAAATTATTATTTTTTACTTAAACTTCTTCATGTCATATAGCATTTACTTCAAACTCCCACATCTAAATAATATGACAAGGGGTGTAAATGTAGTGTCCATATTTCCAGAATGATCTCCTTCTTAAATTTCCTTTCTTATTTTTTCATGAATTTACTTCAAATTTAAAATATACATTCATTATCAACACCTTTATCACATGTGATTAGATTTATAAGTCATGGGTTTCCATGATTATTTTCATTTGAACTTGAAATTTATTTGATTTTTTTTTTAATTTTCTTCTTTGTTACTGTAAATGGTATATTTGAAAAACATATTTTTTCACTTTTCTTCTTTGTGATTATGAATGGTATTTTCATTAAACTTAAGATAATTGTTCTTTGTTACACTTGCATCATGAATGACAAAGTTCATAAGTCTAGCATCTTTATTTCAAGAGTTATCTCCTCTTTAGTTTAAGACTTTTGCTTTAGAAAAATATTATATCCTGGTAACTACCAGTGTTGTTTAAAGATTTACCCTCAGTCCATCTGTCTGTCAATTCCTAAAACTGTTTTCTATGATCACTTTTAAAGAACTTGGAACTTTTCTGACAATTTTATTTAAAACAGAGAAAAGTTGAAACATTAGTTTTCATTCTGAGAAAATTGGTTCTTTTGATTTTCTGTTGTATAAATATAATTTCCTTCTAGGCAGGGAAACTTAAAACATTACTATGATACTGACAAACTGAAAACTCTAAAGATTTAAGTTCATTCATATCATTCATTCATTCATTCAATGTTAATAATTGAATGGCCAGTGGCCCTTAAGAATGTTGCTGGGGTTCTAACTGGAAGAGTACTTATAGATTGCTTGCAATACTATGATAATATCTTGTTTACATAGACTAATATAGGGTTTCACATATTTAATCTTTTTATGTATAGTAAATGACTTTGAACTAAGATATTTTGCATGAAGTATTGCCGAGTGCACAATAGTAACATGAATCTTGGCTCAGGAGTCAGAATGGCCCAGCCCCAATGTGATCCAGTAACTTATTTCTACACTAAATAATTATGACCTGTTTTAGCTCTCAGGTGAGCATGATGGTCCTCTTGTTGGATTGTTTTTGCAAGGCATTTAGATTTAATAGTTTTCAAGTTTTACAAGATTAACCATCATTTAGATCAAGATAAACCATTGGAATTTTAGCCATCACCTAAAATGAGCAGTTGTTGTTTGTTGCTATATTAAGTTTATTTAAAAAGGATACTGTATCATTTTCCTCCAATAACAGAAGAACAAAAGCAACAAGAGGAAGATAAGAAAAAGCCACTGAAAGCGAGTGACATTTATTCTGATGATGATGACGATGATGATGATGAAGGTGAAGAAAAGGCAGAGAAACAGAAAGAAGAAGGTGAAAGAGAGAAGGATGATTCTGACTCGGACAGTAGTAGAAGTAGCAGTAGTCGTAGTAGTCGGTCTTCCTATAGGTCAGAGTCATCAGACGACGAGTAAGTTAATACATATGAGTTAGTTTATGTTGTGATACAGAGCGAAATAGATATAATCTGACTGATGCATGTCCATTAGTATTAATATAATGTATTGCTGTAGAAGAAGATTGTAAACTTTTAAATTTTAAAACTTAAAGTGTACTCATTTAAACATTTTAGGCCTATAACCTTTTTCAACTTTTTCAAATTCCTCTTTTTGTCTTGCCATTAGACATTACCCTTTTATTCGAAGTTATAGTAAAGTTTATTATGTTTATTCAGTATATAAAACACTGATTTAATGAGATTATCATATTATTCATACTAGATTGTGTTGTCAAGTAAATTTATTAAAAACCTTTTTTAATAAACATTATTAATTGAGATGAATTAAAAACCTCATTAATTTATTGATCAGCGTGTCTTTTTGCACAGCACCTATTGCTATATCTACATGTAGGTAACAAATTTGTTGAATGTAGAAGCATAGGTTCTTGTGATGTTGCTGAAAGTACATGTATAACAAGTACATGTACATTGTATTGGTATTAGATAAAAGATATTGTAAATAATAATGTTTATTTTTAGGTCAAGATCAAAGTCACGGAAAAGATACACACCTATATCCTCAAAAGATGTTTTATCAAAAATCAGATTGTCTCGAAATAAACTTGAAAGGTAACAACAATTGTGAAAAAACTTGATATTTGATTGATAATTGAATAGTTTTTCTGAAACTCACTTTTTATATGCCCGAAAGAATTTCGGGCATATTATGTTATACCCCCTGGCGTCTGTCCGTCCGTCCGTCCGTCCGTCTGTCCGTCCGTCCGTTAGCAATTTGGTTTCCGGAGCATAACTTAAGTTCCATTCGGCCCATAACATTCAAACTTCATAGGATGATTGCCCATATTGGGTAGAAGACCCCTATTGATTTTGGGGTCACAAGGTCAAAGGTCAAGGTCACTATCACCTTAAAACTGAAAACAGTTTCCGGAGCATAACTTAAGTTTCATTTGGCCCACAACATTCAAACTTCATAGGATGATTGTCCATATTGGGTAGAAGACCCCTATTGATTTTGGGGTCACAAGGTCAAAGGTCAAGGTCACTATCAACTTAAAACTGAAAACAGTTTCCGGAGCATAACTTAAGTTCCATTTGGCCCACAGTGTTCAAACTTCATAGGATGATTGTCCATAGTGGGTAGAAGACCCCTATTGATTTTGGGGTCACAAGGTCAAAGGTCAAGGTCACTATCACCTTAAAACTAAAAACAGTTTCCGGAGCATAACTTAAGTTCCATTTGGCCCACAGTGTTCAAACTTCATAGGATGATTGTCCATAGTGGTTAGAAGACCTCTATTGATTTTGGGGTCAAAAGGTCAAAGGTCAAGGTCACTTTTACCTTTAAACTGTAAACAGTTTCTGGAGCATAACTTCAGTTCCATGTGGCCCACAGTGTTCAAACTTCATAGGATGAATGTCCATATTGGGTCGGAGACCCCTATTGATTTTGAGGTCAAAGGTCAAGGTCTCTATTACCTTAATACTGAAAACAGTTTCCGGAGGATAACTTAAGTTCCATTTGGCCCACAATATTCAAACTTCATAGGATGATTGTCCATATTGGGTAGGAGACCCCTATAGATTTTGTGGTGGCACGGTCAAAGGTCAAGGTCACTATTACTTTTAAAACTGAAAACAGTTTCTGGAGCATAACTAAAAACTGAAAACAGTTTCTGGAGCATAACTTAAGGTCTATTTGGCCCACAATATTCAAACCTCATAGGATGATTGTCCATATTGGGTAGAATACCCCTATGGATTTTTGGGTCACAAGATTAAAGGTCAAGGTCACTATTACTTTATAACTAAAAACTGAAAACTGTTTCTGGAGCATAACTTAAGGTCTATTTGGCCCACAATATTCAAACTTTATAGGATGATTGTCCATATTGGGTAGAATACCCCTATTGATTTTTGGGTCACAAGGTCAAAGGTCAAGCTCACTATTACTTTAAAACTGAAAACAGTTTCTGGAGCATAACTTAATCTATTTGGCCCACAATATTCAAACTTTATAGGAGGATTGCTATTGGAAGGAGTTAATACTTTATTTAATTTATGGAATGTCTTACAAATGCTTCATCCTTTATATAAAAAAAAACACTTTCGGGCATATAATGCTCCGCCTAGCGGTGCTCTTGTTATCAGATGCTGTTTTTTGTGATTATTGCTTTTATTATATGGTATAATTATTAGTAGTGCAATTAAATTTAGAATTTCAGTAAGATATCCTGACAAAAAATTAGAAAGAATTGAATACACAAAAGTTACAGCATGGTTGTGTAGGTCAACTTTTCTTAAAGCTAATGACACTGGAAAGTCTTACTGAGTTATTCCTTGTGGACAGGTTAAAAGGTGTAAAATAAATATACAATACTAGTTTCTTATATACCAGCTCTATCATACAAGGATATCCATACCAATCTTTAAATTTTCTAGACGTTTGCTGATATAAATGTATATTTTTGCAGGTGGTGTCATATGCCATTTTTCAAGGACACTGTTGCCGGTTGTTTTGTACGGATAGGTATAGGAAATCATGATAGTAGGCCTGTATATAGGGTAAGTAATTTCTATATTTGAATTTACTATTGATACTTATATGTATATGTATGTGGTATTCTATAGCCAAGTTGATGAGATTTCAAACTGTTTCAGTTTAGTTCCTGAAATAGGGTGGAAAAATAGTAACATAATTATGTTTACAATGCTTTAGTTGTTAAAATCCCTATTTGTACAGACTACAACCATATAATTCTGTGGTATAGCTTTCTAGCTTGTAGCTAAAATGCTTTGAGAAAAAAAATACGGTCATTTAATAAGAGGTTTTTTCCCTGTACTTGTAATAGTTTTTAGTTTTTGATAACATTGTTACATCATTTTCAGGTGGCAGAAATTGTAGATGTTGTTGAAACAGCCAAAATATATCAATTGGGTAGCACAAGAACAAATAAAGGTTTAAAATTAAGGTAAGATCTTGTACTATATTTTAGAATAATGACATGAAACTGACTGTTTATAGTACAGTAAGAACTCTATTGCTAGCATGTGAGGGTCTTGATCAATCTGATCTGAATCAGGTTCCAAAAGTACACTGTTCTTTTTGAATCTGAGTGTCCCAAAGAAGGAGGACACCTTGACCTGTGATTTTCAACCATCCATCAACGTCAAGCTAAAACATTCTTTGAAGTAAATTAGTATATACTTTCTAATACTGGGAAACCGAATTGCATATGGTATTTTTATGATATCAAAAATTTACAAGTTAACAAAAAATGTAGGTGTCCATGCTTTCTATGTCATTAACATTAAAGTTATGCTTACATACCAAAAATGAAATACTCATATATGCCTTGAAAAGTATATTCAAGAGATGTATAAACAGTTTGTCGTGTGAAGTTCTGTCTACAAATATCAGTAGCATGCCTGACTTCCACTTATGTCTCTATTGTTGTGTTACTTAGGTCACTTGCTCTTTACTTCTGTATGTTTTAATACTGCTAGGGAAGAAGAAGTTTTCAATGTGATAAAGTTGGCTTAAAGAAGATGTATTTTTCCATCATTTTTATCTCAATAATTATCCATTTAACCTAGTAGTGCAGTAAGTCTTTCTGACCAATGAAATACATGTACAATGAGTTTTCTTTTATTTGAAACAGACATGGTGCAGCAGAGCGGGTATACAGATTAGAGTTTGTATCAAATCAAGACTTTACAGAGTCAGAATTTTTCAAATGGAAAGAGGCAGTGATGTTGTGCGGGTCAATTTTACCATCAACAGATGATGTACAGAAAAAACTTAAAGATATCCAGTCAGCTCACCAGTTCAAATTTAAAGATGCAGATATTGAAAAGGTTTGTCTTTAAGTACTCAGTAGTTGCATCGTTGTTAAGGTGCTTGCCTCTCAACCCAGAGCATTTGAGCCTTAAAGTGGTCACTATCAGGTTCCGTCATATAACACCAGTACTGATTAATCCCTAACTAAATCAGTCATTTCAAATTATAATCTGATATTTGTTATGCACAAAGCACTTGACAGTGTTACAGTAAAACTTCAAGTTTTATCACAATGTAGGTAAAATAAATATGTTTAAAATGAATAAGTTTAGCTGTTTGTTTGTGTAAAAATGAAGCTGAATTAGATGTTTCTTCTTTTTTTTCTGTGGAAAACTCTTTGTTGTGTCAAATTAAAGTAAGTTTAGAACTATAGTATTAACTTCTCAGAGTTCTCAGTATGATAACATTTTAAAAAAAATTCTTCATGGAAGTTTTGGAATACAACATTAAAAGACAAATTGTTTTATCCAGGAGATTATTCTCAGTACAAATTTAAGTCTACAGAGTTTGGTTCCCTGAGCTTGAATCAATTGCATGAGACGCATGTTTTTCCATAACTTTTTTTGACTAAATGTCAAATGCTGATGTTTTAACTAAGCATTATTTGGCAGCCAATTGAATAAATTTGTTAGTATTGTCATGGAATCCATTTACACATGTAAATCTTATTTTACATCTAGCTCATATAATATTTATAGTACATGTATATTGTATTGATTTGATTTCAGATTGTAGCGGAAAAACAAAGATTTAAAAAGAATCCTCATAATTATGCTTTGAAGAAAACCGATTTACTCAAACAGAGGGTAAGTGCCTAATGACTTTTCATTATTATATTATGAGAATATGAAACCATCTAGTTAATTAAAGTGATAAAATTCAGTGGAATGTATGGTTAGATATATTTCTGCTACTTTAAAGGCATAAACAAAATGTTGGTATTGATGAAAGAATAAAAAATACTTATTTTATGGAAACAGCCATTTTCTCAAAAAAAGATTTGTAATCATATTTCACTTGATAGCTGAAAAAGTCATAGGCTTATTGAAGAAGTTTTTAATTGATCAAATACACTTGTCTTTTAAAGAACCTCAAGATACTTCAGATCAATTACTTTAAATTGATATATTGAGATATACATTATAACCTTAATCTGCATAGATGGCTTGCAAAGTGTCCAATTATACAGAGCCTTTAAACTAGTGTATTTTAACAGATACTGTGTAAGTGATTAAGTAACCGACATGGAAATATTGGCAAATTTCGTAAATTGAGATTATCACTAAAATTTCCTCTTGCGTAAATATCAACAACCTATCATTAAATTCTACTCTTGCACGATTGGCTAATATTTCCTTAAGCGAAATGTCTGTAATTTTATATTTTGCTCACTTTTCAACACGAGGTTATATCTACTTATAACATATAATATATGTTATACTACAGATAAAGTTTTCAAGTTTAAAAACTGTTGAATCCATATTTATAACATGATGATTCTGTACCAATGATTTTATTGATTTGCCACACAGGAAGAGGCAGTGTTGAAAGGTGATCATGAAATGACCATTAAGTTTCAACAAGAACTTGACAGTTTGGAGGAACGAGCGGAAGATCTCGATAAACAGAGAAGTCAAAGTATCAGTTCTATAAGGTATTAATGCGGATACATGTACTTGTTTTATATTGATCAATGCTCATTTGTTATCTGTTGTTCTTACATAATATATGAAATGTCAAACTTTGCTTCCAAACCCCATTTTGAGGATAGAAACAAATGGTATCTCAAAACTGTATTGGATTTGTAAGGTTTTCAACATATAGTGTAATGGTCGATAAAAAACTAAATTTGACGATAATACAGAATTTATCTATGATTTCAGATTATGTTTTGTATTGTATTTAATGTTGAACTAGAATCAAAATGACCTTAACCACCATTGAATTTGGCAAATACTTCTGGTTTGATTTTGGAATGGTCAATCATTAAATCCAGTACACACCATTAAGGTCCCAACGGTAACACGTTTAAACGGATTCGTTTTGATTTTCATTCGTAAACATTTACAATATTTTTTACCATTTAAAAGAAATAACCATAGTATAGTGTCTTACAAAATTTCTTAATCATTGTCTGTAATCATGGATTTTATCAATTCTAGTGGTTTATTCCAAACTAAAAAACGGAAAATGGGTGTTTACAACCCTCCACACAGCATTAACGTGGAAAAATTGCTCATGACATAATACATTTTTGGTAACAAATGGGGATACAATGCAAAAAATACTGACTCAATCGTGATGAGCCCTGCACATTCTTTATTTGTACATGTATTAAAAATAGCAAGTAAGTCATCATTTGGCAACTCATCTACATGGTGTATAAAGTACATAGAGTTACCACCGTTTAAACAGTATCGTTTCGGTTCTTAGCAATCCTGTAAACGTTTACAAAAAATGTAAACATGGGAGCCTTACACACCATTGAAAATCAAAATTTTATGAAAGACTTTAGTGTTTATATTGAAAAACCAGCATTGTTTGAATGGACATAGACTGACTCTATGCTGGTAGTACTTGTATATTGTTACAGTTGATAGAGTTATAAAAAGATTTCGTTATTTTACAGTTATATTAATCAGCGTAACAGATTACGTAACCAGATTGAGAAGGAAGAAGCTATGAAAAAAGAATTTGAGGACATGAAGGGAGCAGCTGCTGATCCTTTCACTAGACGCCACAGTAGACCTACACTAGTCACAAAAGTAAGCGATCTGTGCAAAGCTAGGTTTTATGCTGAATATTTAAGGAATATGTCCAATATGAACACTAGTGGTATTGGATGAAAATATTTCAAGGATTGTCTCATGTGTTATAGGTTTATGCAAAAAAAAATTTTTTAAAAACTAATTGTGAGAATTTTTGTACTATATGTGTAAAACCATATTCTATGTAATTGTATAATTTTGTCACATAAACCACAGCACAGGAGTGTAATAGAGCCATTTAATGAAAACAATAAATCACTAGTGTAATAACACTTAAACATTATATCATTTGCGTTATATATATAAACATAGTGTTAAAGCGTGCTAATGTTAGCATTATTCTATAGGCGCATCAATGAAAAATGACTCTTTTTAACAGTTTACTATTCTTATTTTATATATGTGATAAATAGAATATTATATAACTATTCTTATTTTATATATGTGACAAATAGAATATTATATTCGTGTAGATTCGATACTAAGTTTATAGAACTTGTGTTGCTTTGTTTTATCAATTTTATTGAACAGGTATAATTAACTTCATTTGCTTACGCTACTGGCTTTGGGAAATTAAGTTTTTCACATTATGTAGTGGGTTTTGATTGTTAACATTTGTGATCACATGAGGCGGCGTTCTATAAAAACACAAAATCTTGACAGATAAAACTGGTCGCTTGATGAAAAGATTGATGACAATAAACTGGCTTATTAGTGGCTGCTGGTCCCATTGAGCAAAAGTCGCTTTATACATTAAAGATATAGAGATAAAATGATCACAGAGGTGGGGGGGGGGGGATTTAAAGTGGTGGCTACAGACAAGTCATTTTATGTATGTGCTTACATAGGCAAGTTGAAGTTAAACTGTATATTTTTTTATACTTCCAGTCACGTGATACAGCTATGACTCAAATAGATGAAGCAAAAAAGAAAGAACTGGAAGAACAGCGGAAGAAACTTGTAGAACAGAATATAGGACAAAATATGGTAAGAATGATACAGTTGATGAATGTTTTATAATAATTATTCTTGCAAACTATTGTTTCTTTAGTTTTGTTCAAGACCCATAACTCCATTGTGACTGAATTATACACCTTTGGCAGTTTTGCATGCAAAATTTATATGTACAAGCACTAAGGTATTCACTTGAAACTTCACAAATGTCTTGAAGCTACTCTCCCATGAATGATGGTATTTGATAACTATCAACAAATATGGTGATGTTATAGCCTGTCCTTGTTGAAATCACAAATAACCATGTGTATATCAGTAGCTTGAAGGCCAGTATTAAAGCCTTCAGTCTGTAAGTTAAGTTTAGCTTTATTGTACTTATTTTGTGAACATACACAATTCCTACATTGTTCAGGCTATGGTACTGTGAATAGCTGAGCAAGCTGATCACTTTGAGGTTCTTGTTATCTACTTGCAGATATAATTCTATATAACAGTGAGGTTTTTAGTTGCACACTGTTTCTTTATTTTTTCAGGCAGCATTAAATAAAGACAAGAAAAATGACTCCATGGTAATGTATAACTATCCTATTGATATATAACCTTATAGCTGCTTTTCAAAAAAGTTACTTTTAACTTATTTTGTTTGAGAATTGTGTCCTTAATACAGGAGATTTAAGTATTTTTAGTGATTTGTTGTCTTGTGCAGTTTCTTAAGACATATTTCATGAAGTATTTCCTAATTTTCATTAAGATTTTATGTATATATCAAAAGTGTATTATAAGTAATTGTCTAGCAATGAACAAAATAAATGTCAGATATTACATATGTTTGTAACAGTTGAATTTTCTTGCTTACAGATGTTTAGTGGTTCAAAATCAGCTGAGAAAAAACTTTCTGAAGATCCATTTGCTGATCACGATTTTGAAATAAAAATTGACATGGATCTCTCGACGACAAGTAAGTGGCTTTATTAAAATGAAAAAAAAATATCCAGACCATGGACAGGATGAACAAAGTGTCAGTTTCTTTGACTTTTAATCACTTGTCCATCTCAGTTAAAAGACTTAGGAATCTTTGAAATGTGTAGGAAAGAGTCCCATCTAATTTAACAAAATACAAGTATTGGTGTAACAACTCGTGTTGTGTTAACTCTAGAATCAAAGCGTGAACGAATTATATGACTTTTACACATTTATATGGAAGTACTCCCTTATGAAAGTTCTTGTAATATTTAAAGATAACAGTATAGGCCCGCTCATAATTAATGCTTGCATACTGTATTGTTCATGCTTTTAATAGGCAGAATTGCTCAAATGTAGTCTCTTTAAATAGTAGAGAGAAATTCATAACTACCTGTAGGAGATATAAATGTAAGCCACAAATTGGTGACAGGGAGTATAGTCATATTTAATGAAAGTTTTTATTTGTTTATTCCAGATACCGCTGTAGTTGTACAAAATCGACCAACACCTCAATTTAAGCCAGGAGCCCCACGACGTTCTCTAAACCTAGATGAATATAAAAAAAAGAAAGGACTTATATAGCATATGTTGAGAGGGCATTGTGAGATTCTTGAGTGGGTTGTGAGCAGGGAGTTAGAATGTGAGAGAGAGAAAGAAATGTGAGGCTGAGTTTTAAGGAGAAAATATTAAAATACTTGAAAACTATTAAGTACATATCCATGCAATTTCATGAAAATCAAGCAGAGTTTACTGTGTTTGGGTCAAATTAGATTTACCAAGACTAAATCTAGAAACTAGCTAGCTTTTCTCTGTCTAATTTAATAAAATAAATGGATAATGATGAAAGCTTGCCAAATGTTTGTGTTAAACTAATGGCTTACACCTTTTATCACCGTGATTATTCTTTGTCTGTCTCATAGATTTCCAATTATATTGTTTATAAATAGTTCAGACATGCTGAGCATAAATATTACAAAAATCTCTGTGAGAAAATCTCTTCACAATGTTGAAATTTAAGATATGTTCTCTTTTGATTTTTTTCCAAAAGCTCAGTTAATTTTTAACACAACGTTGGATTTGAATTACTTTGATAGGCAGTGACTAACTGTTAGCAATGAATCTTGAAAAACTGGTGCCCAAACTGTTGTAATTTTTGAGTTCCTGCTACAATTTTTGTTTCAGTATTTTGTTTTCACATCCATTATGTTTCTGTAGATTAGAACTCAGGTGAGCAAGTACCAGTGTCAGGGGTTATATAGAAATTTTCTGATTTCAAACTCGGATTTCAGGTATTTGATTGGCCAGGAACCGTCACAGAATGTGCACTGACAAATGAAAATCCTGAGATATGAGTCAGATCTCGGAAGAATGTTTCATAACCTTGAGGCCAGGCCATTTTGTCATTGTTAATAACCTCATTTTTGTTACATTTTTACACCAAACATAATGGCATTATCATGGCAGTAGTGTCCATTAATAAACTGTTTTAGGGGGATATATTGTAAATTTATGGGGGGATTGCCTAGTGTGAAACAAATAATGAATGAAAATAAAACATTTTTAGCAATTTTTTGTTTTACATAGGGTGTTGTATGTATATTGTCTTACGGAGTTGAATTTTGCTTATTTTAGTCACAAAAGTTGTTTAGAATTTGAAATAAAAGCATTAACATAATCTTTGATCATTAATCTGTTTTCAGTGTACTTTTAGCATGGGGTTAATTTGATGATCATCAGATGTTACATTGATCATACATTTGAGCCGCGTCACGACAAAACCAACATAATGGCTTTGCGACCAGCATGGATCCAGACCAGCCTGCGCATCCGCGCAGTCTGATCAGGATCCATGCTGTTCGCTTTTCAACTCTATAACAAGTAGAGAAACTGATAGCGAACAGCATGGATCCTGATCAGACTGCGCGGATGCGCAGGCTGGTCTGGATCCATGCTGGTCGCAAACCCACTATGTTGGTTTTGTCGTGACGCGGCTCATTTCTTGAATCTTTAGATATTCAGACATGCTTATATTTTCACATGTTGTCCTCTTATAAAACCAATTCTTGTATATCTACAGTTTATTATTTTATTTAAAGATTAAATAATTAAGGAAAAGCTGTGTTAAAAATGTATAAAGATATATATACATGTATTTTAATTTATGGTTTATACAAATTTATTTTAGTTTAGTTGTGTTTGAAGCTATAAGCTTATTGAAACACTCTTGAATCCATACCTGGAACCAAGCTGTACTAAGCCTAAGGAATGAGCGTAAAGATTCTTGCTCAAGGAAACAACGACTTGCTCCTGAAGGGGTTTAAACCCCCACTGTCAGCAATCCTGAGATCACTTGTCTGATGTGTTATTTTAATTTAAAAAGAATAAAATAGACTACTACCAAAATGATTGCATCAAAGAAATATGCAAATAAGCAAATGGCGCATACACAAAATCATTGCTAAATGGAATGAATTCTACTTATTAAAACAGCAAAGTAATATTTTGGTACAGAACATTTTATTCTGTTTACATACAATATTGATGTTTGTTCAATAACAGAGATATTCTATGTTACAACTCTTTGGAGAATCCACCATAAGATTATGGAAACAATATAATTTATTGTTAGTTATTCTTTTAAAAATATTTCATAAGATATATTTTTATGAATATATGTAAATTGTTTTTTGTGTAAAGTTGAGCATTGTTGTATTTAGTCTGTCTTTGTAATGAAATTCTGAGATGGATATATGTCTCATTTTTAAGGTCAATTGTTTTATTGTATACAGTATTGTCTTTTCAAAACTTTTTACCTTGTTGTAAAAGAAAAAGAAAAAATGCTTTTTTTTGTAACAAAATAAAAATCAAATTCAATATTTCATTTTATTCACACAACGGGTTTCCATTCAAAAAAGTTCTTATATCGCAAATTCTATAACAGTTTTTCAACAAATGTTCTTGGAAATTTAAAACTTATACATGTATAATGAAATGTTTGCTAGGGATAGTTATTTTCAGCCTGAATTCATTTAGTTTTTTTTTTGGTCAACATATTTATACTTTATTTATAGGCTATCTATAGATAGATGTGTACTTTGTATATAGAAATAACGTGACTGTAAATTAAATATATCTATCACATAGGCTACTGAAATCTTTTGATAAAAGTGCTATATGTTTTATTATGATTTTTTTTATAAGACAAGTGTTCTGTCCTGTTTGTAAGTATTTTTTTTTATCATATTTACTGCTGTAGTTAATTTGGTATAGAAATATAGTAAGTCCTATTGTATTGTGATTGTATGTTGATAGTTTAGGTTAACCTTTCACCCTTAATCTACCCAATTTTTATAATGGATTTTGCCTAGTTTTGAATTTAGAACAGTCCATTCAAAAGTTTAAGGGATTTCAATATAAGAATACAAAAGTTGAGATTCCATCAGTATAGAGCTTACTCACACTATACAGTTGTGCTGGCTGGCCTGTATTATGCTGGTGGCAAAAAGGTCTATTACTTTTAGGTTGTAACATTTTGAGGATTAATCTGCTGGAACTGAAGGTGAATAACTTTTGCTACCATTGCCAGTATAGACTTGGCTTGTCACTAGATTAGACCTGGCTTTATACTGTTGGTAGCTTATGTGTTGTATTTTCAATATTGAAATCGCTTAAACATGTAACTGTTCTAAATTTACAGTAGGAAAAATCTATTACACAAATTTAGGTGATTAAAATAATTACTTTATGATTAGTGCCATTAAAGTTCTGTATGAAAGTCTTATACATGTATTTCCTACTCTTGCAATCTCAGATCATTCATCATTTAATTTTCACTATTGGTTTCCATGAAAGTAGCATACCCATAAAATCATTCTAATGTTCATGAAGTTTTTTTTTAATGGAAATAAAGAAAGAAAATTAAGAAAGTCTGTTGAGTTAAACAAATACTTACATATTTTTGGATACAGAACTTGTTATGGATTTTATGTTTTATTGCTTATTGAATAAAATTAATTTAATTTCAATCTGCTTTTCTGTAGGGTAAATGTTTAGTTACTGATTGTAAATATTACAAAAGTTAAGCCCTTAATGTCATATATTGTAATTTGTTATTTCCATTTTGTTTATAACGATGTGTTTCTCAGACCTTTTATTTTTCTTCTTTAATTATTCCCGGTTTAGCAACATCATAGGGGCGTCCATTGCTGGTTGGTAAAGGTCGTTGACTTCAAATCACTTGGCCCTCACCACTGTGGGTACGAATCCCGACAGGGACTTTGGATTGTTGTATGAGAGGAAGCTATCCAGCTAGCTTATGGAACGTCAGTGGTTCTACGCAGATGCCTGATCGTGCCTGAAATAATGCACTGATGGGTACTTGAGGTCCTCCTCCGCCAGTAAAAGCTGGAACGTCGCCATATGACTTATACTGTGCCAATGTAACAGAATCACAGAAACAAACAATAACCAACAGCATAAAAGAACCAAACTTGAGTCATTCAAATCCTTGTAGTATAAAATGTTTCGTCAATTTTGTGTCAGTTTTCGACCTTAAACCTGCTGGAACCAAAATGTTTAGTATCTGTTAAATCTGACCAGTCTCTTAACTGTTGGTAGATGTCTTTGTATTTTGTTATTGAAATCCCTTCATATTTGAATGGACTGTTCCAATGTCTTTGTTGGGCAAATCCATTACACAAATTCAGCAGGCTATAGGGTAACAGAAATTTCTTACTTTTCTGCCAAGAAATTGAAAAGAATACAAACTAATCATATGGTTTATTTATACTGTTAATTGAATTTTACATTGATATAATGCTTGTATGTTATTTAAAACTGAACAACTTTAAACATATTATGTTTGCTTTCCAGTTATTTCATTATATTTTCTTGTTTTGTTTCTAACATAAGCAAAATTCTTCTCTTTATACAAAATTAAATATTTTATGAACAAGCTTTGTTGTTTGTTTTAATTTACCTCCTGTACAACTCTCTACTTACAATGAGTTTAGGGGCGTCCGTGGCTGAGTGGTTAAGGTCGTTGACTTCAAACCAATTGCCACTCACCGCTGTGAGTTGAAATCCCAACAGAGACTATGAATTATTTCATGTAAGGACGCTATCCAGCTAGCTAACTGGACATCGGTGGTTCTACCCAGGTGCCTGTTCGTGCCTGAAATAATGCACGGAATGGCACCTGAGGTCTTCCTCCGCCAGTAAAGCTGGAATGTTGCCAAATGACCTACACTGTGTCAGTGTGAACAAACAAAAAAAAACAATGAGTTTAATTTCTCTTCATTACAACTGTTTTGCTTAAGGGACATTGATTTACCTACATTACAACGGTTAAATTATGCAAGTTTTACTTTTTTCCATTACATCTGTCTATTTTGGTGAGTTTCAAGGGACTCCACTGAGGTTTTTGACATGACAGGACTAGATTTTTTTTTCAAAATTAATGTTCCATTTGATGTAGGTCCAGACTAGTAAGTTTTACACAAAATTTCAAATCATTTGCTCACCCTGGTTTTACATGGATTATTATTTTAAATGTGAAAATGACCCGAAATTGTAGTTTCACAATGCTCAAATCAGGCAAATATAGCACAAAAATAGGGTTTTCAATTTATTTCTTAGTATATTTCTGAATTATCTTTTGCATATCTTTCTGTTTTAAAGTTCACCTAGCTAATCTATGTAAGAAATTCAAATTTTTGTTTTTAGGATTTTTTTTGGACTAAAGTGGTGTTTCTTTAATATTATATACTGTTAAGTAACAATAAGTTTACAAATCTCTAGTTGTGAGTTTAAGTTACCTGCATTAGTACTGTTCAGTTACAATGGATTTAATTTTCCCCAATTAACAATAAGTTTTCCAAAAGTAAACATGTGTATACATATTTCATTGTTTTTTCCCTTTAATTTAAGACTGCAGTCATTCTTAATGTTAATGGTAACATGATCCACAATTAAGACCACCCCACTTACCCACATTTAAGACCACCAGTTTTAGTCCCAATTCATTGTTTTATTTATCGAACCCCACTATTGAGACTACTGATTTTCCAGTCAGTACCTATTCAGATGACAATTTTTTTTGTTATTCATCTGCTTGAATTCTCTAAAACTTGAAACAATGTGTTGAAACTGTCATGATTAGTAGAATATTGTATAAAGGTAAGAAGATAATCTTTAAATTGGTTTAATGTTACCTTCTGCACATTTATTTTGTGACGAATTAATTTCTTAATTAATATGTGAATTATGCTAATGAAACAAGACCTATGAAAATTCAATCTGTACATTAAATATCTTCAGATTAATGTTCTAATTAGGATTAATAAATATTATAACATCAGTTTATAGTAATCTTTAAAGGTTATAATATAATTGTTTCAACATATTCATACATAATAATTCAAATAGAGTTGTCATGAAATAGAAATGCTTTGATAATTAATTATATCCACAATTTAGAACACCCGCAATCGAGACCACTCTTGTGCAGTCCCTTTGGTGATCTTAATTGAGGTTTTTCACTGTATATATAGAACGTAAATGTCATTTTAACCAGTGATGATGAACGACAGCAAGTTGGAATATTGCTTGCTTGCATGCAGTTGTAGCAGTTACACAACTATTTAGAATGAGTAATCGCTGGTATATGAAGCACGATTTTAGCTCATTGTGAACGCCGTGTGAGCGCTGTGAAAGCGCAGTGGAAGCGCAAAGAACGCAGTAGAAGCGCAGTCCCAACGCAGTCAATCGCCTATTAAGACGCCGTAAGAACGCGTTATAACGCCGTGGAAGCTCTGTAGCAACGACATGATCGCCATGCGGACGCCATAAAGACACCGTGAAGTCTCTATGTCACCAAAAATTTCAGATTATTCTTGCGATCTCGCGGCGCTTTGTTGAATTTAACAACGCCATGCAAACGCAGTAAAAGCGCAGTCTAGTGTGACAGGGCCTTAACCAGTTTGCATTTTGTAGTCTTTATCAGGACTATTATTGATGAATATGTCCTTTGTAGAAAACATTGAGTTACCATAATCCAAATTTTAACTATGATATGGCTAACAATTAAATCATATCTGAATGGTCTAAAGTCAATGCTGCTGTCAATGTAGGCTGCATTCTGAGAGTATTTGTTCTTGAGCTGCACTTAGAATTGGTGTTATAACAAACCATAGGTGATAACATCTTATAAAAATGTTTATGTAAATTGTCAATTCAGATAATTTAGCAAAATATATTTTAAAGGGACTCCACCAATCTGAACAAAATTAACATATACTAGTAATTTGTATCAATAGAGCATTTTTGGTGACCCTGTACAGTGTTGTCCGTGGAGTAAATTATTTTATATAAATCATGATTTTTTAATCGAGAATAGTCCTGTTTCTAGTTTTTCATTTTTTGAGATTACAACTTATAAGCAGTATAGGCTTATTCACTTTATATTTTGTTATATTTTAATCACCCTGAAAGAATTCCCTGCATCCAATCTTATAGATACAATGAACAGTCTGCAGGTTTAGTCTTCCTTTTGGATCACGGTCAAGATTAGCTCACTCATTATGTTATGAATTTCAATGCATGTGTTTCAATGGAATGAAATTGAAACAATTTGGCAGAAATGTTAGCTATAAAAAGACATTGTGCAGAGCAAAGATTTAGGCTTCAACAGATCATGGTCAACTTCAAAAGCTACTTTTTAGTTGACCATTACATGTATAAATCTTAATATTTCCTGTCAACTGTGTATCTTTTGAAGTGTTGGAAGAAAATTACGACTTTTTTCGGAAATTTGAACTCAGGAGGAAATTAACATGTGCAGAACTCAGGTTTCATCCTCCTCTGATTAAGGTCAAGGTTGCACATAGTGACATTCAAAATCATAATTTCAATATTCATGCAAGGGAGAATATTCTATTTAATGTTTTAATGTATCTAATCTATTTAAGTATACATTAAACAAGTGTTTAAAGTCCATGTAAATGATTTTTTCCTGCTTTTGTTGTATATACATGTAGTAATCTATGACAAGTTTATTTCCAATATATCAAGTAAACGTCCATTTAAAAGAAGTTAAGTAATAGATACAAAAGCAAACAATACATTATTTATATATTTATTATGGTCGTAGAAACCGAAAGTACAAAATGCTAAATTTTTGACATTAAGTCGGATTTGTTCAAAAATGTATATCAGTGGGCATATCTAAATAAAAAAATGGTTATCAGGAACAAACATTATGTTCATTTGAATGTCAAATATAAACATTCGTTTTAAATTATTGAAGATAACACTCTCTGTTTCTGTTTACATCTGAAACCACGTGGTAGAATTACTTTTAATCCGTATGAACTCCGTGGTTATTATAGATAACAGCCAAGGATGTTCCGATTAAAAATCCGCCATTACACCGTATCGTACGTACCATTTCACCTCGCTTAATAAAAGTATCGTACCTCTATACGTTTGACACCCTCAAAACTATAATCATGCCTAGGTGCGTGAAAAAAATATGATGATAAAGGTTTGTGAAAGGAAAAGAAAAAATAGCCGAGTTGAAAGAAGATTTAAATATGCATCTAATTAAAAAGTTAGGTTTTTAGTTATATTATTTCTAAGCATGATCTTTGATTCATTAGTCTCCCGTTTTTATGGGAGATAAATGGTATGGTGGCTGAACTTTGATGAACTCACAATGTGGCTCGGGGCAGACAACCAATTCAATCATTTTTTTTGTACTGAAGCTGATTCTAACAGAAAGTGCAGTTTAATATATGACCAAGCATTTTGATCGATATTAAAAGTTCATCAAGTTAATTACAAATGACTTTGTCTCCTGTAAGCCGATATTGTAATCATCAAAGAACATTCTAGAATGATATCATCAGTCTATCTTATAGAAAGCTTGAAAGCTCCTTAGAATGATTAATTAACAGCATAGATATATTACACATCATGGTGATATTGATTTCAACATTTGAGGTACTAGTATATGTCAATAAACTTAGCAAAAAAAAAGAAAGGGGAAAAAACACCTAAACATCCAAATTGATAACATTTTTACTGCACGGAATCATAGAGAGCCGGCACAGTTTTTGGATAGCATATAAAATGCTTATTTGAACATCTGGACACACTAGAAAAATCTTTCTTACAATCACAAATTACAATCACTACATAGCCTAAGGTGACATCAAATTGTGTTATTTCGATGGTCAATAATTTTTGCAATATTTACTAGGGGCGAGTTATCTATACAGACTTAAGAAAACGCCATGTCCTAGTTCTCTCCCATGTACGCTCTGCTCACATAAACCTTTATAATATCATTAAAATATTGGTTTGGTATAATAAAAAAGGTTTGGTATAATAAAAAATAACGCAGTCCTCTCAGGGTAAAAGTGCATATTTAACAACCCTTGAACTGAAGTTACACCCTCGGCCATCGACCTCGGCTTTGACTCGGGAGTTATTTTAGTTCTCGGGTTGATAATATGCACCATTTTCCCTGCATTTTTACATTATGATATGCGATGGTGAGATTTTATTTTCTAGTTATTTTAAAGGATATTTTTGGTACGTATTTCGACTTAAGAAAGCACAAAACACACACTATTCCAGGAATCACAATCTCAACCAAATACGATTTGTACTTTCGCCCTTTTTCCGAAAAACCCTCCCATTTGGAACACACTGTTTATCGTTAAACGTTTTTTATGAATTATTATGATGACATTATCCTTTTATTTATTTACACTATGCCTGTCATTGATGTATGTACATGTATATAATTTAACAATAGGTTGTAATGTTGGACACATTATATAAAATTATGTTTAAATGCACAAAATTTTGCACGTCTAAAAACAACAACAAAACCAACCAACAAACAACAGCAACAAATAAATAAACAACACACAGACAAGCAATGGAAATA